TACGTTCGATGTACTTTTTACAAATAAGAAGAATTGGACTAGAATCCAGTTGATGCCTAAGTTAATGAATAAAATTGATCAAATGTAGAAATACAAGAAATTTGAGTATAAAATGTAATTTTTCCCTCCTCTGAGTCTAAATAATGATTATGAAATCCTTCGTTAGTCAATGGGTATCATTGATGTGATTAAAATGAATGAGAGAAAGAAGTTAGGGGCATGTCTTATTATCTTCCCAAAAGAGTCTTTCATAAATTAATATTATTTATTTTGTTGGAAGACTAAGCGAGATTTAAATGAAAAACTCAGAATGAATGAATACACTTTCCCCAACCGTTTAGAATGCAGGACATAGCGACGTGGGCGACATCTACCTTGATTAGTTGTTATTAGCAGTTACAACATCCGCAGATGCGTCCTTGAAAAGCATGGCGAGTCATAGGAGCCCTTAGTAAGAGGGGGGTGAATTCATTCGATAAGCACTGTAGCATCATACATTTAGGGTGGCTTTTTGAACATAGAACTACCCGATAACGCTGCTTTATTTCCAGGAAATACCATGTATTTTCCCTGGAATAAAGCTGCATTATCAGATAGTTCTCAGTCCAAAAATCCACCCCTAGTGTCACGTTTTGGTGCCCCTGGTGAATTTGCGTCCTGTGTGGGGGCACATGTGGCACATGCCTAAGGCTGGCCCTGGCTTACGCTGGTGTTGTGACGCTCTTGTTATGCAACACGAAAGAGAAACATTCTTTAATTCGTTGATCCTGCAACTGGTGCCCATATTCGATTCGTACAGCACCTGGTCCCAGAAAAATGCCTGTTCCGTAATGAGAGGAACCCACGCAAGAATTATTCGCGATAGAAAAAGTCCTCATGCGATCTCTAGCCAGGAATCACAGAATCTTGAAAATGTTCTCTTGGAGCTCTTCAATCTTTTGCTAATACTTCTGATATCTATTACACTACTTGCTTACTGACTAGCAAAACATCACATGTTGACGAATTTGAGTGCTGCTCATGTTAAAAGTCGCCCCGGATACGAGTGCCACATTTTCATCTACATCCCACTGATTACACCGATCTTGGAGAAGGTTTTGTGCTTGTCCCAAACTACAGATGTCTGTCTAGTATTGCTCCCAAATATCTTCTGGGTCCAGCTCTTCACAAATTTCCTAATAAATTGCAGACTTTAACTCTATACTCTCATATCGTCCAAAATTTTTTATTTCCAAAGCTTAAAAAATTGTTCTTGCCAATGTGCATTTGCTCAAAATGTTCACATTCAGAACTCAAATCGCAAGATTGTAACATTTTGTCCGAAGAAAATATTACAGTCATCTGAATGGAAAATAAAATCTCCATCCAGTAATGACTTCTACATGTCCAAATATATCAATAGAACAAAGAACACATCGGAAACCTTTGAGGATCTCCAACGTCGACCACTATTTTACTGCTCTGGAGTTCATTAAATTCAGCGTATAGTTAATCCAAAACTTAATTGAGAGATAGCATTATAGTGTATACATCAACGGCATATCCTCAGACACAAGCGTCATCTCTCTTTTTAATGTTTTATTTATGTTTTGGATGAACCGTATTTGTTCCTATAATCTTCAGATCAGAGCGACTTTGAAAAGGAAAATTTATAATCTTATGACTGCTTAAGAAATTTCGAAACCATCATGTTGTTCCCCTTCTTTGTACCTATGCACTGGTGACTTGAAATTTTAGAATTTTAGAACTTTTCTGAATGTTTCCTTTAATTCTATGAAGAGTGTTGTGTGCTACCTTTGGCAACTTATTTTCTTTCGTTTGATCAACGGGCATATTCAAAGCTATGCTACTGTTTTTTTTTTTAAATCCATATTTTTCTTCATAAAAGAAGTCACGACCTTCCAAATAAGATCTTTCGTATTTTGTGTATGAGTTTCTCGAGGTCATTCAAAAATGCTGGGACATTTGAAACTCGTCTGTGATTATTGAATTGGCAGTCACTTGCTCTCCTATGGCTATAATCGAGGCAAATTTGAAACTCGATGGAATTCACTAATCAATTATGAGGAAAACACATCAGTTCAGGCAGTGACGGTTCGTCAAGGTGTCAAGTGCACAGTGGCGTAAGGAAGGGAGGGGGGGGGGGGTTAGGGGGTTAGAAACCCCCTCCCCTTGGGTTTCCCGGTCAATGACACTGACAGACATATTTCAACCTTCCTTGGGAATTCCAACTTTAGGTATCCCCCTTAGAGGAATGTTCGATGTCCGTCCACAGACCCAAGCTGCCAGATCACGATTTCTTCAAAAAGGTAAATTCCGGTAAGTGGGGCTAGGCGTAGGGTTGGGTTGTCTACCTGGCCTCAACCCCCCTTGACAATTTCCTGCCTACGCCACTGCAAGTGCACATCATAGATGTAAACAACAACGTATTTCGAACATGTAATTTGAGATTTTTTCCAGGATTGACACTTGTGGTCAATTAATGGAGATTTTTGGCGGAAACGCTGTAATAACGCTCCGCACTGCACTCCTCAGGAGAGTGAGAGAGAGAGAGAGAGAGGGAAAGAGAGAGAGAGAGAGGGAGAGAGAGGGAGAGGGAGAGAGAGAGAGAGAGAAAGGGAGGTGTTCAGTTTCCTTCGCAAACCAAGGAGTAGCGCCGCTCATGCCCATGCGCCAGTCATGTTTCACGCAAAGTGAGGCAGGTTGAGGAAAATCGAAGTCAACTCGGCTAATGGCGTGGACTAGTCTCATGTATTGTGAACCTGTCGATGCCTCTGCACTAATTACTGCACGCTTCATTTATGGATGCGGAACTACGTCGGAGTCTCTGAATTCAATCAATGTTTTTATTCATCGCCAAAGAGGAAAGAGAAAGCGGGTTATATTTAATCTGAGTGACGACATAAGAATTCAGATCAAAACACGGTGTTCGAGGTACGGCAGGGCTTCGTGCATCGCTGCCCTGATCATTGTGCTGCTCCTAAATTTCGAGAGTCTGATTCTTAGCAGCATCATGTTTCTAGGAATAGGTTCACTCCTGAAGAATTTCTCTGCGGTGTGAAAAAGGGAGTGACTTCTATCCCCAAATGAACCATCGTACAGTAGGTTCTCCTACTCTCTTTGTTCACTGATTCCACTTCGGTTTGGAGATATTCCTTGGAATTATGACCGGATAAGTTAATCAGCCTCTTCAAGAATCTTTTCGTCAGCTTGAAAGAGACCACTATCCAAAAATGCAGCTTTATTTAAAAGAAAATGCATTATAAATCCCGTAAATAATGCTGCAATATCGGATAGTGCTCTGTTCAAAAATCCTAGGTCTCAACATTATCGAACATTTTTACTCTCAAGGAAACTGCCCAAGTCTGTGACCTTTTCCTTCCCCACACTGTACTTGGTACATACGCTTTTTTTCAGATTGAATTCGTACCCCGCCATGGGAACGCTTTCATCGATTGCAGGTTGCAAAACCTTCTCAAGGGAGTTTTTATGGATCATATAATGAAGTGGATCCTGTGGAAGTGGTGCTTTCTCCGTTCTCCACTAACCGTGGGGTGGGGGGGAAGGGGTGCAAATTAAATATGAAAACTGAAAAAGTGTGCAGTGTGCAGTCTCCTGACTGTCATTGGGTAAAGGGTTCTGAAGCAATATTTACTGCATCTCTTGTAAATATTATTTAATAATGTAGAGTAAGTACTTTTAACCAGAAATGAAAGTTAAGAATGCATCTGAAGACAAGAATGAGCATATTTCGATGAACATCGAAAACCAAAACAGTTTTTGATCTTGAGCAACCGTGCATAGGAAGAGCTGGATTGAAGGCGCGATGTGCGACTTAAACGAGAAATATTACGAACCTTGCCGGTGACAGTCGTAGGTGGTGTTAAAACTAACATCTCCATTCTCCGCTATCCGCACACTGGTAGGCGACTTTTGCGAGACGAGGTACATGCTTCATTTCTTTTCTTTCTATTTATCATTGGCCGAAGCCGGTAATAGCGACGTGAAGTAGGCCCAACATAGTAAGAGTGTTGGTCTGAAAGATTCTAGACAATTTATTTCGCCATCAAAACATATTATCGTCACATTGCACCAAAACCTGTACCAGTGTGTGTTTCAATCTTCCACAAAGTCACCCTCAACGCAATTCACTTATGATATCTGGGCACAAATTTATGTGTTATCTTATATTTATCTTGCAACATGGGGAACATCCACAAAGTTGCAAGTCCCACTTGTAAACTCTCTTTTCATTTGATGGGTCGATATATATTTATGCATATATTGAAGAAACAATGAGGTTTTTGTTTTTAAGAGACTGACTTTAGTATTGAAAAGCATAGATAATGAGAGTATCTACCATTTTGGAAGCAATGCATGAGACACTTTTATTAATTGACTGGAGAGATGATTGCAGGAGCTGGCAAGCTTTGTCTACTTTTGTGTGGAGGAAATTCCATTCAGCTATTTATTTTTTCTCTCCGTGTTATTTCTTTACCACTTCTCTCTTTCTCTCACTCTTTCTGTCATATGTCCTCAGCCTCAGTACAAGCTAGTCATTCAAAATTTCATTGCTCTTTCATTCTGTCTCCCATCATCTCTCGGTTTGTAGGGGCAGGTGGGTGGCTCATTAGGTAACAAGCTTGCCTCCTGTGGTAGGGAACTAGGTTTGAATCATATGAAGTCTGGCATTTATTTCTGAATGCAAGTCCTGGTGTGTTTGGGAAGGGAGACCCCTGAGCATATAAGCATTCCTGTCTCAGGATATGGGAATTCAAACATCCCTGGTAGTGAATGCTGAACCTGGGAAGTGTATCCTCCAAGTAACTGCACAGGCCAAATTGAGTCTCTCAAGGTTACTTGTACTAGCTGATGTTATGAGGGGAGGAGGATTTAAATGGGAGGGTGGGTTAGTCAGTGCTCCAGAGTTAGGATGCAGTTATAGTCATAGATCCTCTTGTGCTCAGTACTGTATCATATCTCAAACCACTCACTTGTTAGTTTGCATGAAAATTGTTATTGGGTCTTGATGGTCTAAGCCAATATAGACTGACTTATATTTTGGAGGTTGTCTTGGTTGTCAGAGAGAGCTCTCCATGTGACTGTTTTGATGGCACATATCACATATATATTTATAGGCCATGCAAGTAGTTGAGGGTGGTTAAGTTGTACAAACTATTCTCACAGAAGCTACTGGCTTATTGGCTGCATTTAGCAATGCTACTTTCAGGTTTTGAGAACTCAAAATGATTCTGGGAATAACCTGTTCACTTGGTGGAATTTGTCAATCAGACCCTTAGTTTAACTGACTTACATGATGCAATATTTCAAATGTATTGTAACTTGTTTCTGCTGACCACATTTTGTTTCAGAAGTGGACTAGGTCACTCCCTGTCCTAATAATTGTTTCTGCCTGTAGGCCTACCAGCTGCAATAGCCTGATAAGCAATGTAGCATTAAAGAAAATAATCATGTAGGTTTGTAGCTGTTGGGTAGAATTGCAGACCTGATTGTAGATAGTGGGAAAGGATGGGTCACAATAATGAAAAAGTAAGGTAACGATAACAATTCATCCTGAAATCATGAGATGAATGTTTAATTATTAATGTTGAAGCTGGACTAAATGAATTCTCTTGCTATTTAATTCAGTTAAATATAGTATCATTGCAAATGAAAAAGCCAAGAGGTAGAAATTGGCCACATGTTGCCAATAAGGCAGATGTAACTGAAAAAACTTGTAGGCTGTGTAGCTGTAGTGGATAATTTGTAAACATAATTTTTTTTTCCTAACATATTTCAGATAACTTTATTATCATCTAAGCATTATCATATATGGGTCCTGAGTCAACTGAAAAAAAATCTCGTGCAGTGAAATACCATTATTTGAGATGTTGGTGGTCTTGAGCTGCTTGGGATGCTATCACATAGAGCTTCATTATAGTTCACCTGGCTTAGACTATATGGCTGTAGGTAGGCCAAGTTAGGCCTTAACAACAACTTATCCTTGAAGTGTAAGTCTGTTTCTTTATAGAATTACTGGTACAGGTCATATGGATCAGTTTGTCAGGCACAGTGAGGACATGAATGCTTCTGTTCCTTCTGGATTCCCATCATCACCTTCAGTGAAGCTGAAGCCAAAGCACATACATTGTGCAGGTAGGTGGCTTGAAACATGTGGCCCACTTATGCCTCTGCTTTTTGTATATTTATAGACCTATTGTAGATGTTTATCTAATGCTGTTCCTCTTCAATTGTTAGATGGATCTCGAAGCTTCAGCTACAATGCAGAAAGTCCTGGACTGCGGGGAACAAACAGGAGCTTTGGTTTGGATCTCAGCCTTTTCTACCCCCCTGAGGATTCAAAATCACTTCAGCCTTTAAACCCAAATAAAGGGATTGTTTCTCTGGAGGAAGGAAGTCTGCAGGTGAGATATGGCCATTTCTCATTGAGCTTTGTGTAAAGCCTCACTACTTATTCTCTAGATGGTGGCACCATAAAACCCCTGGAATATACTTTTTCTTTACTTTATCATTCTAATGGGATTATTCTCTTCTCTTCTCTTTTAGGTCTTAACAGTGAACAAGGTAGCTTGCAGAATCCTGGGGTACTCAGCACTAGAGCTTAGCACTTTAACTCTGAAGGACCTTTATCAGGGACATAAGCTGCAGAAGACCATTGCAGAGAGTATTGGGATTGATTCTTCTGGCAGAGGTGTCTTACATAGTGGCACAGTGGTGAGCCAGATATTAATATTTCCCCTTGGCTGTATCTCATGTCAATCTATGATAATGAGTGCCCCCAACTTATCTGTACCCAACCTTGATTGATTCCTATCAGGTTGAGTTCACCCACAAAGAAGGTCACTTGATTCCTGTGAGCCTATGGTTGAGATTGTTCTCCTATGGAAATTGTCAGCGGCTCATTGCTGTTTTTGAACCAGTTGAGAAGTTCGTAGCCAGGGTAAGATCCTGGACCTTGAAGAATCCATGATTTGCATGAGTGTAATGTGTTCAGCATGATGGTCTATGAAGCCCTTAGGATTTCTTTATTTGTGGTAAGATTTCAAGTTTCATTTAGATACATTTTGATGGGGAGGGAATCATCCAAGATGTGGATGAGGTGGGTGCTGCTCTATTAGGAGTACCTCTGGACAAGAATGAACTGATTGGGAAGAAGTTGGTGGACTTTTTCCCCACCATTGCCTCACCATCTTTACCATCCCAGCCACCAGCTTCACCATCCAAAGAGGTTGTATTTATCATCTTCCTTTTATTTTTTTTTTTCGCATGATGTGAGAAGCTTATGAAGCATGAAGGTAATATAAAAATCATTTCAGAGTTGCATGAAGCAGATGCTCACATCAAGGACAATAGATGGTATTAATACACCTGTATCCATGAAAATCCTCCCTGAGGAAGATGAATTGGGGGAACTCATCCCAGGGAGATTTTGTGCTTTTGTTTGGGTGAGTCTGGAACATTAGACACCAGAGTGATATGGAGTAGACCAAATCAAAATGAAAATTCCCCTTGCCATCTGTCTTGGCATTGCATACCTTACTTTTTAAAATGATAAATGTCATGAGGCATTCTTCCAAGTGTTGTATATCAAGTCAAATATTTTTTGTTTCAGACTTACTTGAATGTGAGTGGTTTGGTTGTGTGGGATGCTACCAAGGATACTATAGAAGATATCAACCCATCTGTATGCTCTCTCCTCTTTGGATATAAAACTCAGGAACTTCTTGGAAGAGTGAGCTTCTTTCATCATTTTCAATAGACTTCTTGCAAGTGGACTAGCAAAGGTTCACCAATTATTGTATCCTAAAATTTTGTCATGCTGACACAATGTAAAATTCTTTTAGAGCATCACAGTAATTCTACCTGAGCTCATGGAAGATATTAAGATGGAGGAAGATTTGTGTGACAGCTCCTTCTTCTCCATACATGGTATGTCCCCTGTTCAAATTTCCACCAGCTTAGTTGGATGTTTTTCCTTTTTTTTCCTTTGTTTTGGAGATATTGGAAGGTGTGCTTACACACAATATATATTTTTCACATGAAAAATCTCTCTCCCATAGATGGAGATTCAAGACACATAAAGCTTTCTCATAGTGATCCAGAGTTGAGACTTGAAATGGAGGATCTCCAGTTGGAAGTATCACCTGCTATAGATGCTACATCAAAGGTACCAGTACATTACTTGGAGGATTACATTTTAAATGGTTTTTCTATGTTGCTTGATGGGCAAGGTTAGCTGCCCAAAGAAAACAGAACCAGGACCCTTACTGCTCTGGTAGAACTTGCTTTTTGCATTGGTGTGTTGGATTCAAAGGTAAATGTTGTCACTTTCCACATTCTGCTCCCTATATTGTGGAGGGCATTATATACCCTGTTGTGACTGGGTGGGCAACCAGATGGGATGAAACTCTGGCACTTCATATTGCAGGCAGATGCTCTATTACTGAGCCATGCCATTGATTGGCATGGTGGGAATGTGTCAGCTGAAGGGCTATTCCTTTCTGGCATTTGCTACACATTTTTCCATTATATCTTGACTCAGAATGAAATTAATCTAAAAATATCCATGCTCCCTGTATGCCTTTTTTTTTAAGTTTCATACTTTATCTTTTCAAATTTGTGTATTAAGAAAAATACAAGGGGAGGTCAAAAAGTTCTACAATCAAGGCACTTCCATTTGCAATGCACCATTCTTACTCTTATCATGGGAAGACAGATGTCTTTCATAGTGACTGGGAAAATTTAATCTTATTTGCCAATTGAGTATAGCTTCTTTGAATTTTTTTCAATGTGCTACCAAAGGGCATGCTGAAGGGATATTAAAACTGAGACAAATGCTGTGAGGAATTTTCTAACCTCTAAGGAGCAGACCAACCAGCAGATCTTTTAGAGGAGGGTCAGTTGGATTCTATCCTTTCAGTCTCGAAAAGATCTGCTGGGTGGTTGGCTATGTGAAAGAAATTGGCAATGTGCCTTGCTTCAGTTTATAAGGGAACGTTTTTTTTTTTATTAATTTGGGGAAATGGGAGGTAAAGAAAATATCAAGGGTCTACCAGCACCTGTCATCTCATGAGAAGAGCTAAAAATTCCCAGCTCACTTACCTCTTCCTGTAACAGCCACAGCTTCCTTTGCAATCCCAAGCAGCCACTCATGGTTAGATTCACTAAATGATTGTGGATCACACTGGGCGTTACTTTGGCTGCACTTCCCTACTTGGTTATACAAAAATCTTTAATACCCTCAATGGGTAATACAGGGTATGGCAAAAAATATAAGACCAATGACGTTTGACCTAAATATTTCTGCTCACAACAGAGCTTCATTTGTAAAACTTTCACTTTGCATGTATGAGTTTCCAACAGTTTAAAATTTTCCTCAAATTATTAAACCAAAGCAATACCATCAGTGTCTATTGAAAAGAAATTAAACATTGAGAATGGACAAGAGCTCCTGGCAATAGTGAAGTGGAGGAAACACTCAAGTGCTTTCCCTCCTGGTCATTCAAACCATGTCAAACTTCTCTTCCTTTCAAATTCATTCTTTGGGCTGTCTCTTTGTTTGGTCTTGGTTTTCATGAGCTTATCTCCGATGAATAGTACTGTCGACACTTGATATAATGAACCTCCATATGACTAATTATCTCTATTAAGATTTTTTTTTTGAGTTCCTGGTAATTTGCCCATTCACATGCATGTTGAAAAGTTGCTCTATAATGAAGTTCTTTATGGTGAATTGTTCAGTTTTATTAAATGATTTTTTCATTTGAAGGAAGAAAACCATTCTGTATTATGAAGTTCAAGTCTGCTGCACATGGTGAATTACTTTTTTGCTCATTCCCAAGGAAATCTCATCTTTTATTTAAATTCAGCATGTCCCATGCACTTGTTTGAAGCATTCGACTATCTTTAGCTATTTTTCAAAGGGCAGAATTTCAAACCTGAAATTTGTCTAACATCAAGAGTTCTTCAAGCCACAGCTCGAAGAATCATTCAGGAAAGTGTGTGGCTGATGACCATTTGGGACTTTGTTTCAGATGAATAGATGGCCTTTGTGACTCGTCCAATTTTTTTTTATTGCTCCTACATGAAGATGCACTTCAGTGCACTATATCAAGTGTTGACTGTAGATGAATCAATGTGTTTTCTCGAAGCTCATTCAGAATTCCCCTTGGTTTTTTGTTTTGAGGAACTGTCCATTTCATGTCAGACTTGCCAAAGATATAATATCATTTATAACTTTGATCTGAATTAATGGATTTTTGCAGCCTCGTTGAATTTAACATAAGTAAAAACATGCTACACTCTCAGCAAATTTGGTAAGATATGACCTAAGAAATCATGTGATACAAAGTTGTTGGTCTTTTTGTCATGCCTTGCAGATTTAGGCTGACATAAAACAACAGAAATTCTAAAAGAATGTTGAGAAAACTCTCTGAACTGATATTCATTGATTACTCTGCTATTCATTGTGAATAAGCTCTTAAAAACCATCTGCAAGGGACATTCAGTCCCATGAATGAATTTAAACAGAGGAGTTTGATGTGGTCTGAATGACCAGGAGTGACAGTGCTCGAGTGTTTTCTCCACTCCACTACCATCAGAAGCTCTTGTCCATTCTCAATGTCCAGCTTATTTTCAATAATTACTGCTGGTATTTCTTTGGCTTATTTAGGCGAAATTTCAAGTGTCTGTTGAAAATGTACTCATGTATGCACAGTGAAAGTTTCACAAATATAGCTCTCTGTGAGTCGAGATATTTAGTTTGAAAGTCGTTGGTCTTGCTTTTTTTTGCCATATATGTGTGTGCGTGTGCGTGTGTGTGCGCGTACATTTTTTTATTTCTTTTCTGGTCTCTCCATACTTGAAATTGTCAGACAAAATGGACCATAAATTGTGCAGAATTTATTAATAACTTGAAGGGATCAATGGACAGTCCAATGAAATATAGTTACGTGTGTCACAGCCAAATTTTCCAATTATTACTTTCTGAAGATAAATTCTTGAGATTAGATGTCATGAGGACATGTGCTTCATCTTTGCCCTAAAAGGAAATGATGATTGTAACATGAGTCACACAAGCCCAACTACTTCTTTTTTTTTCTCTCAGAAGCATTGTAAAAATTTGAGTGACTATTATCAGCAAAAGGTCAATGGTGCCACATCATTGCTGTTCCTGTTGTTGAATGCTGCTACTGGATAATTGGGGAAACAGAATGCAATTGATTGCCAACATGTTTTTTATAATGTAACAGAAGTCTTGATGAAATGACTATTTTATTTTCTCATGATATCCTCATAACCATGATATGGTTTTCATTTCATCCCTCATAAGGTTGATGGTGCTGAAGTGTTGAATGGCAATTTTTCAAGAGGAGATTTTCAGATGATATCAACTCCAGCTGCAAAATCAGCCCGTCCCAAGGAAACATCCTCCTGCCTCCATATACCTCCTGGCCGGTACTCCACACAGGCAAAGCACAAGACAGGGTCTTTGTTTTGTGAGTTTTACTGGTCATTGAGAAGCTAGAAGTATTCTGAAATTATGGCTGTATGACTTGTTTGGTAAATCAATGAATTTAGTATGCTGTGGCATTCACTAATAACTCGATGAAGTGTTCATACAGAAACTCACTGCAAATGACCAGAAATGAAAACTATCATGAAATTGTTGACTACTGAATGTGATGAAGGCAAAGTTGTAACTGTAAGAACAAGGAAGGGGAATTTCCTCTTTCCTGTGCCATTGTGTTTGTAGGTGGGAAAACTAATATGCAAGGTGTCAAATACATCATTCAGGTAACATGCCTGCTATTAGACTAAGTCATGGGTTTATAAAAAAGAAAAGGTAGGCAATAGCTGTGAATTGTTCATGAGCATCTTGCTGTCTTATGCAAGTTTCCTGGTGCTTGCATTTCTTTGAGATTTATGAATCAGTGCTTGAACCACTTTTACTTAGCCACTGATTGAACCAGCACTTGTCCAAGTTCAAATTTAAAGGTGGAAGACAGGAAGTGGGAGAGTATGTATGCAAATGGTTAGAGAAATAACATTGTTTTTTTTTTTGTTAGCTGAGTTCAAATTTGATTCCATGCTGGTGCACCTTCTTTCTTTTTACTGAATATAATGAAATTGTCTTTGCAAATATATTATTATGTGGAAAAAAATTACTGAGGGTGCTGAGAACTTACCATCTAGAAAAACAGATTGCTTGCAATTGGAAAAAACTATAGATGAGTTGGTAAAGTAGACTTTTTATACTATGACCCCTGAAAAATGTACAAGACCCTTGGAGGGTCAAATTTTTTAGTGCTGTCATCTCATTCACTTCTACCCAGGTGTCACTGTGGATGCCCGGAGTGTTGAACAGGACCATCATAAAAGGAAAGTCTTTCTGCTTTGGATTTCCTTGGAACTGGATCCTCGTATTGATGCCAGCCTATCTGTCCACTGCTCCAGCATCCAACCATCTGTATGCTAAATCTTATTATCATAGATCTGCATGACTAGCTTCTTTCAGACATAGTGTCCTTGACATGGTGTCCTTTCAGTTCCTAGATGGAACAGCCACTCCAGATGCATTGATCCCTGAGAATGAGTTTGCAAGTGGAGAATATGGGAAGAAGTACACCAACCTTCATGAAATTGGACAGGGAGGGTTTGGCTTTGTCAAGGCAGCCTTTAGGAACTGCGATCGTAGACTTGTATGCAGTTTTGATAAATAATTTTCACAAGCTTATCATTACCGGAGAACTTGTTGCTTATGCTGTTGCATTGTTGCATAATATTCCCCCATCCCCTCAGGTAATAACCAAGTTCATAGAAAAGAAGAAAGTCTTTCGAGAGTCCTGGATCAAGAGTGATCATTTTGGTAATCGTGATGTCCCTCTTGAGATACACATATTGAGCCAACTCCATCATCCTAATATTGTGAGTAATTAGCCTCCCTTCATGTGGGATATCAAGTTATTTTTAAAGAAGGGTATTACAGGGTGTTGAAAAAGTTACATAACCTATGGTACAGGTAACAGTCTTCTTTTTATCTTTTTAAAAAATGAAGTCTTGTCCTTGTTACTGGCTAAGATGAATTTGATGAACCATGTTTTGAAACATGCATCAGCATATCTACACTGGCATTACTCATTTACCTCAGTACATGCAACTGAAGAACATACCTGCAAGGGTCGTGTGACATTTTGAACACCATGTATTTTCTTATGAACCACTGATTTTGATGAGTGGCATAGGGTAACTTGGGGGAATATTGCTTAACAGATTGAAGAATTAGTTTAAGCAAGTTAAAAAAAAAAAGTTATTTTGAAGAGTACAAGCAATTGTCAAAATGTTTAAACCTGTTCCTTAATCCAGTTCTTGCAGGGATTCAGGATGCATCCATGTTTTTTTAAGTCATATACATGCAATTGTTTAAGTCATGACCCTGAAACTAATGTGAACCTCAAGCAATTTAAGCGTGTATTTCCTGATAGCAGCAAGGAAACAGAGACCATTTCTCTCAAGTTATTCTATGGTCCCTCCAGAATGCTTGTGAAAAAGTGCCAGCCCCTTCACTTGCGGTTTGTAGACTGTGTTGTCAATTATGTCATGTGAGCCAATATGCAGGAATACTGCCATCTCGATTTCGGGTGATATGGATGCATCCTTGATTTCATGGTAGCATGGCACTAACCTATTGGCAGTGTCAGCTTCGTTTCATTTGGGACCTCAGACCACAAAAGATCATCCTATGCACATCCTCTGGATGTATGGGTAGATGTACTGGACATCTGGACAAAATATGCAGTGCATGAAGATATCCTCATGCACCACCTACTGGACATCAGCTTGAAATACTCCTGAAATTTTCCTGGCATGAAATTTTAATGCAGGTTAATATCCCTTGAACAAAAGTAAAAATGTCATTGTTTTTTTTTGTGACTATTTATGCATACATGCAAAAACTATGCAACGTTTTTCTTACAATGTAAGACCTATTAGTTCACACTCTTAATATGTTTTCTCTTTGATCTATGGTTGATCTTTCCTCTTACACCCACATTCTCTAGATACAGTCTCCCAATCATGTGCAATGCCTCTCAAAGCCATATATGTTGCAATCCTGCTTTTCACAACAGTTCCTTCAGTCAGGTAATGATGGCAACTTCTTTGCTTGTCGTCAGTGCAGTTAATGTGTTTCTTTTTCAACTGCCGAGCCTCCTTTCTTATGTTTCAAGGTACTCTAGCAAGTTCCAGTATATTTCACTTGTACCTCAAAAACCTTGGGTTGTTTTTTGAGAAGTGGCTATATTCCCTACAACAATAGGGGTAATATGGCCTCTTGGGACCACCTTGGAAAGGATCCAAATCCATGCTTTTTTTTGCATGTGCCTTGCTGGGACTTAGTAAAGAAGATCTCAATCAATATTTTAGAAAAATTATAAAAATCAAATTGAACCATGATGGGCCATTAAGAATAGGTTTCATTCTTTAGGGCCATATTCCCCCTGATTACCCTATAATTTGAAAGGTCTTTTGGTACTTTTATAAAAATTAATATTCATCAAATCATAAAAAAAAACATCAATAACGAAAAATAATTTTCAATATGTTTTGGATATTTGGACAACAAAGAAGTAATATTGGCATAGCCTGCTTTCCATCATGTGAAGGTATACTTGAAGGAAAATAGAGACAAAAATATTTTTTTTACGTTAAAAAGTAAACTTATAATGTGCTAGTGCTATCTGAATGCAATGGAGGGTTGGAAATTCATTAAACTGTCCATGTGGTGATTTAATATCAAGTGTCTACTTCTGACATTACTCCTATTTTGTGCCGCAGAGGCTTGGATGGCCACCTTTGGTGTTGGTATACTCATACCAGCTGGGTTCACAATTTTTCTTGTTCCAGCAGTTACCAACAGAAAGGAGGAATTAGTCTGACACAGAATATGAGTTCTATGCCTATTGCCTTGTGCTGTGTGGATTATGCTCCCATGGTGGGGAGCTCGTTCTACTTGACTAAAATAACTCTGCTCACATTGGAACAATTTTTGCGAAGTGTTCACTATGCATACATGGGAAAGTTTCCAACTGAATCTCAAAATTTCACCCAAGTTTGTCAGGCCAAAGGAATATTATCAGCAAATATTGAAAAGAAGTTTAAGATTGAGAATTGACATGGGCTCCTGCTGGTAGTGGAGCAGAGGAAACACTAAAGCATTATCCTTCCTGGTCATTGAGACCATGGCAAACTCCTGTTTAAATTCATTATGTAGGTTTGTTGTCTCTTGCAGGTGGTTTTCATGAAATTATTCTCAATGAATGGCAGATGAATCAATGAGTATCAATCCTAAGAGTGTTTGGTTTTGACCTTGTTAACTGTTAATTAGTAATTATCTTGAATAATTCTGAGCTCATAATTCTGTAACGGAATGAGATTACAATAAGGTGCTCATACATTTGACTTAAAGAATCTATCAAATGATCCGAATATCAAAAGGGCCTGAAAGTAGTATCCCCCTTTGAGTTAATTCATTCACTCAGTACTTCATGCACAATTTGCATCTGCAGGTGGAGGTATTAGATGTGTTTGAGACAGAGTTGCTGTTCCCATTAGTGATGGAGAAGCATGGCAGTGGAATGGATTTATTTGAGTTCATAGAAAGGCACCCCAAACTTACTGAACCTCTTGTATCTTACATCTTCAGGCAGGTTAGTGGTGTTATATCTTTAAGACTAGGTGTGCTATCCATCATACTCTTGAAAGCCTGTGGCATTTCATAGATTGTGGAAGCTCTGAAGTATTTGCACGGACAAGGAATAGTACACCGGGACATCAAAGATGAGAATATCATTTTGAATGAAAAGTTTCATGCCAAGCTGATTGACTTTGGGTCTGCTGCACCCATTTCCCCTGGGAAATTTTATTCAAAGATGTGTGGCACTACTGAATACTGCAGCCCTGAAATACTTCTTGGTGAAAAGTGAGTTGGGACATGATGGATGAGTACTTGCTGTAGGAGAGGTTGAATTGAAAGCATGACTTTCCACTCATTACTCCATGGCAGGTATGCTGGACCAGAAGCAGAGGTCTGGGCTTTGGGTGTCACTCTATACACTCTGGTGTATGGGGAGAACCCATTCTTCAGCATTGAGGACATTATTGAGGAAGACCTCGAGTTCCCTTGGGATCCTTCTAAAGGTAGGTCTGCCCATTGCTGTCATCTGGATTAGCTATGTGCATCTAAAATAAATTTAATAGTGTTTTCTTTAATCTCCTGTTTTCAATGTGCAGAATTGAGTCAGCTCCTGCAAGGACTCTTGGAAAAGTATCCAACCAGGAGGATGAGTTTGGAGGCAGTAGCCCAACATCCTTGGGTTCAGTTGCCTTTTGACCCCACTTCAGTCACCTTTGAAGAAGTCATTTCCTGTGGTAAATTATTTCTGTATCTGTTGCAGCATTTTGTAATGGATGAGATTGACTGAATTGCAATCATTCATACTTTGCCATTTTCTATCTTTTCAGATGCAGATGAACTGGTTCCACCAAAGTATTATCCAAAGGAAATACAACAGCCAAGGACACCAGGTGAGTAGTTCAAAAACAAACAAGCAGATGCAGCCATACCTAGAGGATAAATTCTGCAATTTGTCCTCAGCTGGGAATGATGTAGCATGAATGAGATGTAATAGCAGCCCTGCAGAATCATGTATGTATATGATGGTTGTTTGAGCCACTGGGTAAATGTACAAAGCATGATGTGAGTATGACAGGACTGTCCTGGTGATAGGATGATACAGCATGACTCATTGTGACATGTGTACCAAGCATACAAGATTTGAATTGCACCTGTTGGTGTACCTGTGCAATACCTACATGGCCTTCTGCATCAGTTGATGTGTCTCCTGTCTTCTCACTAATAACTAGTGATGCAACGATATTTTATCGATTATCGGATCGGCCAATATTAGGTGAATCCGATATATCGGCCTAAAACGATATATGACCTGCCGATAACCGATATTGAAATTACACCTGAAGTATGCCAAACGCTAAGTATGTAAAGCGAATTATGAATATTCTCACCTTTTTCCCATTAGACAACATTTCACTTGACTCGAACACACGTTCATGGGACGTTCCTCATGTATGAGTGTCAAAGTCAAGTGAAAAAATGTCCAACTCAAGTGAAAACACTGCAGAAGGTTGAAAATGCCTAAATGACCCATAAAAAAAAAATAAGTATTAGGCTGCTGAAAATATAAACATTTTTCCCTTTGCATTGGAAATCCCCTAGGATTCGACCTTCACTGCCGCGGTTCCTCAACGTCCCACATCTAGAGATAGGAGCACTCTGTGCTCGGGTACTCTCTTCCCAAGCACGCTGGCGCTTGAACTAGGAAATATACACTTGACTTGGCTAGGTTCGAGCCCAGGCCACCCTGTCACGGGACATAAGCTCATTACCCGAGGTAGAGATGAGAAGCGTCATCTATTTAACTCGGCCTAATGCCATTACCATAGCCTACTCCGTACTTTCTGCGAAAATAGACATCGCTTATGTTAGCGCGAAGAACCCAGGCCTAGATGGATCCCAAAACCTTGGTACAAAAATCACTAGACTATAGTCTGATTTCAATTCTTTCGTGTCCAGGGGTTCCATTTGGAACCACCGATTTTAAAAAATGTTATCTTTATATTCATGTTAGGACCGTGCCGATGGCCAGGTTTGACCGGTAGACTGATGGCGCATTTTGAACTCGTACCCATTGACCGGTGCCGGAGCCGGAGCTGATGATTTATACTCTATAGATTGCGAAAGTAGCATGAAATCGCATACGAATTCAAATAGGCCTATTTGGAAGCCTTATGATACTAATCAATGAGTCTCCTGAAAACGACAGAGACCACTTTTAGACCTTTCCAGCCTGTCTGTCTGCGTCCGTCATGGTTACCTATTGCTAATATGAGGGCTTAACGGCACTACTCGCTAATGCATAGCATAAAAGGAGATGCAATTATTTCACGGTCTTTACGGCTATTTTCCTCCACCAGTTCCTACAATCGGGCTGAAATACAATAAGTCCTCGATTTACGTCGTGGATGCGTTCCCGGAAAACACGACGTAAAACGAAACCAATTTCCCATGGACTAAATTTATAGACAGGAAGTCCTCGATTTACGACGTCATATCGGAACGACGCAACGTATATGTGGTATATGTTAGCGACGTTATATCGAAACGACGTAAATCGAGGACTCCTCGCATAATCTGATCGATACTTTTTTCTGGGAGAGGACAGCAGGGAAGGCTTTCAGCGAGACAGGCGGGCCGGCAACAAACCGCGCTCACACTCACGTAGTTTTTTTTTTTTTTTTGCATTTTGCCCTCTTTCAGGCTTCGGCATGGACAGCTTCCAACCTTACCGTAGCCATGGCGTCAATGGTGCAACACCAGAGGCGAATCTCTGTGGTTGTCAATATGTCGATGCAGCCCTAATTTATCAAAAATATTAATAGTCATAATTTATATTTGAATATTTATAATATAATGCATTACATACATATATTTGTAGATAAAAACTTCTGTAATATAATAAATATGATTGATTGCTTAAAAATTTTCCTGAAAAGCAGTTATGTTCACATTTCATCTTCATGGCAAATTACCTTATGTGTTGACAATTTGTCAGTCATGTGTGTCTGGGTGTCCATTAGAGGTATGAAGGAGGGAACTTTGACATTCTTGACATTTTCTGAACTGAGTGCTACTTTGAAAAAAAAAAAAGAATTGCTATTCCACCTTGACATTCTTGACATTTTCTGAACTGAGTGCTACTTTGAAAAAAAAAAAGAATTGCTATTCCACCTTATTGCAAGTTCTAGGATGGAACATAGGAAATAAAATGTCTGATGCAAATCCAATGTAATATTTAAAAAATCCACATTGAGGAGCATGGCTTCAGCATGAAGCCATGCTCCTCACTATTCTCACTATAGGAGAAATGGCAAAAGCATGAGGTGCAGCACTGATGCACCTCAAGCTTTCCCCATCAGACCTGGCCCCAAATAAAACTTAAAAGTGGAGGGGTTAATGCCTGAGGGTGGATTTTTGAACAGAGAACAATCTGATAATGCAGCTTTATTCTGGGGAAAACACATATTTCCTGGAAATAAAGGAGCATTATCAGATAGTTCACTGTTCAAAGTCTACCCTGAATGTGCAAATATAAATGTATATATAGATATCGTTATCGGTTCTTTTCCATTATCAGAATTATTGGTATATCGGATATTGGCCAAAATTCAATATTGTTGCATCTCTACTAATAACACCTGAAATGTTCCCAGGTTGTCTATAGAATATCTTGTGGCACTTAAGCAGTGGTGATCTCTTGTGGAATTGGAGTTGAAAATGGCAAATGTATATAATGCCTCACAGTACAATTGAAGGATGTTGTGAGCTCCTTATGGTATGTGAACCATGGTACAGTCTGCACATGCACAGCTGTTATATATGCCACATAGACTACAGATTGCCTTCTGTCTAAAAGCCAAGTTCTTGGCAGAAGTGTAAAATGTAATAAGTGTCCTTAAAGTAGGAATAAATGAATATATGCAGGGTATTTATGGCTTTATACAGGATATGGCAAAAAAACCCATGACTTTTAATGTGTTACTACTCATATTAGTGAAACTTTTCATGGAGATCTTTTTTCATGAAGTTTCATATACATTTTTTGTGGCAAATATCCAATTATTGAAAAGAAGCTAGACATTGAGAATGAAAAGGAGCTTGCTGGTAGTGAGGTGGAGGATATAATCAAGTGCTGTTCTTCCTGGTCATGAAGGCCTCATTGAACTCCTCTTCCATGCATTCTTTGGGCTGGTTTCCACTTGCAGATGGTTTTCATGAGATTATTCCAAATGAATAGTAGATTAATCAATGATTATCAATCCTGAGTTTTTCCTCAAAGTTCAATCAGAATTCCACTTGTTTTTTTTTGTTTGTTTAAGGAACTGTCTGTTTTAAAAGTTGAACTTGTTAGAATATTGTTCAAAACTTTTATTTGAGTCTTTTGGCAGCCTTTTTTTATTAGGTTGGTGCAAAAATAATTGCGGTTTTTAACCATCAACTTTAAAGCAGTATATCTCAGCTTAGAATAAAGTTTATTAATCGAAATAAGAACCATTAGAATCTACGCACTTTTGCCAACAAGAAACAAGTCTATTTATTCCGGTAGCATAGAATTCTGGAGTCCTGGAACCGATGAATTCTTCGAAGGCGTTTTGAGCTGCTGCTTGGTTGTTAAAAACTTTCTCTTGCAGGAAGTTGTCGAGATGCTTGAAAAAGTGGTAGTCGGTCGGAGAGAGGTCTGGTGAGTAAGCTGGGTGAGGTAGAGTTTCGTAGCCCAATTCGTTCAATTTCTGCAGAGTCATTTGCGAGACATGTGCTCGGGCGTTGTCATGGAGAAGAATTGGTCCTTTTCGATTGACCAATGTTGGACGTAAACGTTGCAGTTCTTGGTGCATTTTGTCGATTTCCTGGCAATACTTCTCTGATGTGATGGTTTCCCAGGGATTCAAGAAATTGTAGTGGATGATTCCACTTGCCGACCACCAAACAGTGACCATAACCTTCTTTTGATGCAGCTTCGGTTTGGGGAAGTGTTTTGGTGCTTCACCTCGATCCAGCCACTGCGCTGAACGCCGTCGGTTGTCGTAGACAATCCATTTTTTGTCACATGTCACAATGCGATCAAGAAATGGATCGTTTTTGTTGCGCAAAAGAAGCGCAGAGCAGACTTCGTAACGGCGAACTTTTTGATTTTCGTTCAGCTCGTGCGGCACCCATTTGTCGAGCTTTTTTGATTTTCCAATTGAGTGCAAATGTTGAACAACTGTTGAATGGTCAACAATTAGTTCTTCTGCAATCTCTCGAGTTGTTTTGCATGGGTCCGCTTCAATAATGGCCTTCAATTGGTTGTCGTCAATCGCAGAAGGACGTCCACGACCCTCCTCATCTTCAAGGCTCTCGTCTCCGCTACGAAATTTTTGGAACCAATGTTGAGCTGTACGTTCTTTGACGGTCCCCTGGCCAAATGCTTGGTTGATATTGCGAGCAGTTTCCGCTGCTTTACGTCCCATTTTGAACTCATACAATAGAATCGCTCGAATTTGCTTTTTTTCCATCTTTAATATCACAGCCGAAAATAAACAAGAATAAACAGCGAAAACAAACCATTAGCATAAATCAGTAGAGCGAATACCGCACTTTAACATGGTATATTGCATGAACATAGTTAAATAAAAGTTTATTCCAGAATAAGCATCAAAGTTTGGAATAACAAAAACCGCAATTGCACCAACCTAATACTTGTAAACAAATGAAGACTTGCTACATCCTCGGTAAATTTTTTGACTCATAACCCTTAAGAGACATTTAAAGTTGCTGGTTATAACCTGTCAAGCCATGCTACCAGCTGATGATAGCATTCAGGAAGGCAAATATGACCTTTTATACCATAGTGACCAGCACCTCTCTTCTCCTTGCCTGTCTGTATTTGGTTCAAACCTTTTAACCTACATGGTGCTAGTTTTGATAGAATGATGGAAGATGTAGTAATAACATCAATCTGTCTTGTTTGCAACAGATGGAATCACAAATCCATTTGACTGGAGGGATCCTACTGAGGGTGAAGTTGTGTGCTTGGATAGTGATGATTCAGAAGAGGACAGCTATTCCTGAAGATGGGACTCAACACTTGACACATGATCTTGAAATTTGGAGAATTTTGTGTACATAAATTGACACTGTAAAAGTTTTCACATCTCTATCAAGTAATTTTGCATTTTATTTCATTGGTCAACAAATCAGCAAAATCCCACAATAAGAGCAGAAAAAAAAAAAACTGGGTGAGAGTATCACCATTTCTTGCCTCTCTTATTACCCAGTGGAGGCTGTTGGAGCCTGAAGGCTGGCTGATTTTCCACAGCACCATATGTAGTTCCTGGTGCCCCAAAAGTGCTACCCTGACCTGTTAAACCAATACACACAGAAATTAAAACTGCAAGGAAGAGATAAGAATATATTGTTTGTCTGACTTCTAAGAGTACTTCATCAAGATTATAATATGTCCATCTTGAAAGCAATATGAATAACATTATCTCCACCAAGGTGAGGAGAAACTGAAAAGTCTACAATCTACAAACCTTCCATAAAATATTGCACAAGCTCAAACTGATTGCTCTTATGGCATAACAGACATGCATGTCAGCTGGCTCAAAGTGGCACAATTCTATGGAAAATGGCCTATTGGAATTTTCTGCTATAAGTGTAAATTATGATCCCTTTGCACAGCCTACAGAATAATATATGAATTCCAGCATTAAGCTTTTTTTTCTGTTCATTTATCACGGGAAGCCGTCATTTCAAATTCAGCACACCTAAGACACTGGGTGCTCCAAAAAATTCTTATTAAAAAAGAATTAGTTATCCCATCACTAGACATGGAAAAGAGTATTGTTTGACTTTTAACCTTTCACTACTACTATTACATACTAGCTACTACTATATATATATACAGGGTGTTAAGAAAGTTGTGTCCCATCACAATATGCCTATAACCTCAGCAAAAATGTGAAAATCAGGAAATTTTTTTATACACAACAAAAAGGACAGTTAACTGATTTAGATATTTAAAACTATTAAGTGATTCTAAATCAGTTAACTGTCCTTGTTATTGTGTATTTAAAAAATTTCCTGATTTTTAAATTTTTGCTGATGTTATTGGCATATTGAAGTGGGACACAACTTTCTTAACACGCTGTAGCTTCCTTCATATACCATATTGTGTAAGCATATAACTGGACTGGTTCAAATTGTCCTAAAAAGCCTCAGTTAAGAAGCACGAGAAGATACACACTTCCATGCTCAAGTTAATTCAATCATAGCAGTGAAAGTATGCAAGCATGTCTTCCCAGACAAAATGCTGTGGTGTATATATACATTTCAGGAACTTGGGATTACAGACTTCAGGACATGACAGTTTACCGATATAAATAGAGATCTCTTACCAGGAAATGGACAGGAGAGGGAGAAAGACTGAGTGAATGCAAAACCAAGACAAACAAAACAGCAGGAAAGAGAGAGAAAGATAGTGAAGACTGACCTGGGTTTCTTACCTGTACCAAGGGAAAAGGGGGAGCTGAAGGATGTCCCAAAACTACCACTGCTGCTTCCAAATGAAAAACTCCCTAAAAAAAGAGAAATAATGTTATATTCCCTTCCTTGTCCATGAAATAGGCTGGATTAAAATATATTACCAAGTGGCTGTGAGGGTTGGTTATGAGATATGGAGATGGCTCCACCCTCTTGAGCCTTTTGAAGGGCTGTAGACACTGCAACTGCTGTTGATGGGCCTCCACCTGGGGGAAAAAAAAAGATATAGTCTCACTGTCAGGTGAATCCACAAATGGTTGACATATTGAAGACTGATGGAATATTTTTGCATACCTCTGAAAGGTGTGGGTCCTAAAGTCACAGGAACTGCCTTGGCTGGCAACAGAGCCCTCAGGGTGCTTTCAGCAGAATCTGTTCTTTTCTCACCTTGGGATCTCTCTTTCTGAGTTGCTTTCATACACTGGAGTTTTTCATTCAAGGTATAGAGTCTTCCAGCCAGAGACACAAAGATCTGGTGAAGACTCACAATGAATTGTTGCAAATCTGCATGAGAAACAAGTCAAGAAATAAGATTTAAAGATGAAACTTTTTGTTTACCTGATATTTGCCTTTAGACAAAGTGGCCATATTCATAGTTGGTTCAAAAAACTTGTTCTTTATAAAAGTAGTTCATCAATGAGGGCACATCACTAGTTTTATAAATGCCTTTGAAAAAGGCCATGTTACCTCAGCTCCTTGGTTTCAGCTGGTTTCATCCTCCCAATCCAATATACTAGCAGTCCTTTGTTGAGAAACTGAATGATCAAAGGAGTTGGGTAAGATCCAATGCACATATATTACCAGTTGAGCCTTAATGGACAGCTACACTTGATTTCTTACACTACAAGGTGATTCATAATAACTGCCCCAAGTTTGACGTGCTGTAAATCATGGACAAAAATGCATAAAAATGTGTGATGCCTCATTTTACTCACCATGCTTTTCTGTAATAGCAGAAGTGCACATTTCACTCATTCACAGTCATCTTACTACCTCAAACTGTTCCCCAAGCATATCCATGCAGGTCTGGCAACATTTCAGAAAGTTGTCCATTGCATGATAAAACATATCCTTCAGAATATTAGCAATTTTCTCATGAATCACCACCTCTAACTCCTGAACACTTCCTGGTTTTATTACATAAATTTGCTTCTTAAGGTGTCTCTACAGCTAAAAAATCTGCAACAGTAAGGTCTGGGACCCTTGCAGGCCACTAGATGGGGCATCATCCATGCAATGACCACTGAGATTAACAAGTATTGCACATGCTTCTGATGAATTAAGTACAGGAGCACCATCCTTTTGGTAAAGATGGTGTTTTTAAATTATTATTATCAATGTTCACTTAACAGTGGCACAATGATGTCTTTTTGGAGATGGCAATATCAGCCACAATTCATTGGCTGAGTCATTGAAGGATGGTTTGCTTAGTCTCCACATTCTCCATGAAATAATGAATGCTGACCAATATTGCAATTTTCTAAAAGACATCATTGTGCCACTGTTAACATGCAAGTAAATATTATTACAAACATCACCTTTACCACCAGGATGGTGCTTCCACACTTCATACATCAACAGTATGTGCATTTCTCGATGGCAATCTCAGTGTTCATTGCATAGATGAAGGTCCCCAGACCTTACTGCTGCACACTTTTTAGCTATGGGGACACCTTAAGAAGAAACTATGTGCAAGAAAGCCAGGGAATGTTAAGGAGTCTGAAATGATGATTTGTAAGAAAATTGCTGATATTCTGGAGGATGCTTCATCATACAATGGATAACTTACTGAAATGTTGCCAGACCTGCATGGATGTGCTTGGGGAACAATTTGAGGCAGTATGAATGAGACATCACACACATACTTAGGCATTTTTGTTCTTGATCTACAGCCTGTCAAACTTAGCTATTATGAACCACCCTTTACTATGTCTTTTTCTATCTCAATCTAGAATCTCATGGGATCAGAGTATCACTTTTTTCACCTTGTCAACATCCCCTACTCTTGACCATCAATAGGATTTGCTCATGCACAAAAGAAGGATTTTGCATCAATGGGAGATGGAAAAAATAGGATCTATGATAGGACTAAGCAAATTACTGCATGAAGGGTTTGTTAGCAGATGGAAAGAATTTGCTATATGAAGGTAACTTCTGAGGATAATCCAGTTCCTGGACAAGAAGTAACATAGCTAGATTATTTAGCTGATATAAATGGAACAAAGCAATAATCTTCATAATTTTCTCAACTCTCCAAGAATGCCATGGATTCTTGGATAAATGAAAAACAGGGGCTCTGATGCTCCTCTAAAAAAAGAGATCTGAATAAGGAGAAATTGATAACATGGACTCACCTTGAGGGCTGACAGGTGAAGGATCATTGAGAGCCTGAAGATGCTTCTCAAGCCTATCTATTTCCACCTGATACAAATGCACATGGGACTCAAATCCAGATAGTAGTTTGGCAAAGTAGTTCAAGGGGGCTGTGTTCTCATACTGAAGTCCAGCAGGTGTGTCATGAGTAGATTGGGTCATTTCTACATTGTGAAGCTCCTAATTTTGAAAAGAATGGAAGAGATTTTGCAATCTAGGACTTCTTGAATCCTTATGTAATAGGCCTCCATAAAATGGCAAAAGGAAATAAAACAAACATGGATGACATCCTGCTTCAACTTTGAAACTTGGAGGGCATCTTGATAGACATTTCTTGTTACTTCTAGGAGAAGTTTCTTCATTGCACCAGCATCCTCTGCAACTCGATGGATTGGACGAGATGAGAACCGAGTTATTTCTTCTCTCACACTCTTCTGTTCCTTGACATGCTTCCTGGAAAAGATGAAGAGTCCAACAATGATCATAAACACATCTAATATGAAGTTATCTTCTCATAGACTTTGTTATCTAACTGACTCCAGAGAAAGGCTACCTCAGCTAATAATTACAGTAAACTGAAGTCTTTTTATTTGTATTTCTTCCACTTCTCTAATAATCTCAATTATGTTTAAAAGGTTTATCTACCAATGCATAAGTTGCTGGCGGCACAGTGCGTGGAACATGCTCCTGTAGATCAGGAGTTTCTGTTAATGGGCTGGGCATTGCAAGGTTCATTTCCATTATCTTTACAGGGAGAATGAGTTTTCCAGCACATATCATCCAAGAAGGCAAATTGAGATGAATAAGTGAGTAGGTTCAGAGAAAAGTGGAAATAGCTTGATAGTGAAAGTGTGGTAGAACCCTTCACTAACAAACATTGCTGCTACTGCTACAATCCTTCACTCACAGAAGGTCTTGAGTGGTTAGAAAGAGTTCCTGTGGTATCTGGGCATCCTTAGGACCAGTTGTGTTTTGGCCTGCTCCTTTTCCATCTGCTTAAATACAAAAAAGCATCTTAAGAAAATAAAATTCAACATGGAAGTATGTTATTTTTTTGGACAATTTAAAAATAATTTTAAACTGATTCATAATTGTGTTTCACCCACCTGTGCTAGGGTCAGGACCAGAACCACCCAGCCCCAAAAAGCCTTGAGATGTGCTGGGAGTTGCAAGGGATGATGCACCTGTCATAGGAGCAATGCTTGTTCCTCCAAGCAGAAATCCACCACTAGAAGTAGTGGTTGCATTGGGGGTGGCTAATCCACCAAATGAGAACCCAGCACTGAGGGGAGCTAGGCCTACTGTGGCAGGTGTGGTTGTAACATTGCTCTGTCCAAAAGAGAGTCCTGTAGGTGCACTGGATGTTCCTATGGGCCCTCCAAATGAGGTCGGTGTGGTACCAGTGCTGAATGTCACATTGGCTGTCTTGGCCAGGGAGGGAAACCCCATCCCTGTAGTAGAAGCTCCAGAGCCAGAGGTAAATAAACTTTGTCCACCTCCAGTTGCTGTTCCACTCAATCCACCACAAGTTGTGTTGGATCCAAATGCAAATGTCATCCTTCTTTTCTATTATCTGGAAGCTAACATAAATTAAATCAACTGTTACTTATGCCAACTTTTTCTTCTTATGCCACTTATGCCTATCAAAAGTTATAAAAAGCAATTGGAAGGTAACAGAAAGAGATGTAGGTCCAGCTCATGCTGAAAGTACTTGAAAGACTGTTCCAGATGCATTTTAAGTATTGCTTGAGAACAACACAAATGAATCCCTGGTTAAACGTCAGAATTAATACATTATAAAGCAGTGAAACACTGACAATATGATGAAGTATACTCTCAGGGTTCAAGTCAAAACTTTATAACAAAAAGTTTTGATATTGAGATAGTATCATACTCTTCAGTCAGGGATGGATTAAAAAGACACATCATTCAATGTTGATATATAGTAAATACATATTGCAACATATAATTACAATAAATATATTACAATAATATATACAGTAATAAACATGCATTTATAATTTTTTTAAAACAGGTTTGGGGGGCCACCTAAGAAATTTCCAGAATCCTGGTGGGCCAGTCCGACCCTGGTGAACATGGATATTTATTCTCTGCAAAATTTGAAGCCACTACATAGTTGGATATGACTCAGCTACTTGAAAGGATGAAGCGTTTCTCAGATCGTTCTTTTTGGAATATTTCCAGTCTCGCCATAGTGAGTCATACTAGCCAGAACCTAGAACTTCACACGAAATTATGCTTTTATGACCGCATGAAGGCAGTCATTACCCGATTTAGAAACCCCAGTGGTGGCTTGAGATTAAACAGGCTTTGTAAGAGAGACTTACACTTAGTCAAGGCCACTGCAACTAGCTAAAGTTCAAGACAGTCCCCCAAAGTCAGACTTAATATCTAATTCGGACCTAACCGAGGCAGGGCAAGCGACCCTTAGTCACGTCCATCGAAAATACAAACCGAAAGTTAACGCGAGCTAGGAGCTGCCATTGAGCCTACAGTGTTTTATGCCATATCAGTATCTGATTCAACAAATCTGATACACTAAACCAAAAGAACATTCATGAACCTTGCTTTATTTCGAGTATTAAATTTTTTAAATACAAGAATTGACAGGAAACTATGAATTGCATGATGAATAATGAAAGGTAGCAACAATTTATCAACCTCAAAAGACCTTGTTATGAGTTCCACTGTGCCGAGAGCGAATGGCGCTGTCCATGATCTGACATTCAGTGTTCTACCTATACCACGTTCTAGCCTATGATGACGCTGAGATCCTTGGACGCTGGTAGGGCTACTTGGTAGGAAACACGGACTTTATCTGCTGTAGGCCCAACATGAGGTGTTACCCTCCAATTTTAGATGACGAAGTAGTGGCTGCCCCTTCTGTGAATTTTTTTAAAAGAAGAAACTGAATGCTTTTATGGACAGGCAAAAAGGTGGGGCTGCAATGTTGAAGTTAGGGACTAGGCAGTAAACAACAAGGATGCGCTTAAAAAAAAAAATCCAAAAATTAGCTTTAAGAGGATTAGGCCTACCCTAAAATTAAGGAACACTCAACCTTTGAGATGTGATATTGGAATGAATGTCATCACCTGATGTCACTGTCTATCTAGATACCTTGAATGTATAAGGCTAGTTCTCTGGGCCTAATGTTATTATATACCCCAGCCTCTGGCGATGTTTTTGAAAGTACCTGCCTAATAAAAGCAATAGTCTCAGCCAGAATGTAATCAGCAGCTTTCATAGGCTGTACTTTCTTTGATGTACCATCCAGCTAATGCTCTATTTCTTGGCAGGTTTGTTCTTTACTTTTTTTTTGCAGTGAAATTAATTTGGTAGAACCAGAATATGAGTGATATATACTCTAACCTTACTCATGCCTCAGTGCTAAGCAATGGTGAGTAATTTAATTCTACAGTACTTTTCCCTTGATTCAAACACTTGAGCTCAGGACAGTCCTCATCCGTGAGTGTCAAAATCAAGTAAAAGTATGTCTGACCTGAGTGAAAAATGCACTTCTTTCTTTCATGAGTCTCAGATTATGTTCTTTCCAGAATTGTTCCAATTTTCAACCGATAAAAGAAGATCCAGCCAATGAAGGATTGACTGCTGCCGATATAATGCTAGTGTGGGGTTAATAGATAGTTGAAGAGCATCTCTATTTCCTAAATATGGGAGGGATTGTCATCAACTGTAGCTTCATTACAACATTTACAATAGTGAATGATTCAAATTGATGTATGAAAATAATGGCAAATTTGCCAGTATTGGGTTAGCATGGACTAATTTAATCCTCTTCATGGCATCACTGAGAAATTCTTGGACTGGGCAGTAGCACTGCATCTAAAAACCCACCAGTGAAGGGAGGAAGTGTCTGTTGCCCTCAGAAGAATATGCAAAAATGCCTGTGAAACTGGCTGAGAGCTATAGAGGTTGACAGCAAATGTGTTCATTATTTATTGTCATTACTATTTTAAGTGGTGTGGTTTTGCATATGAAAAGGAAGACTGAAAAATTCTCATTTTGCACTATAGCACATTTAAAATTGGATGTAAATGTTTGCCATTAGGCTTGGACATGATGGGATTTCTGGAAATGTAACCCTGGCCTTCAATCTGCAAGGCCTCTTCCATCATTCTGCAACATCTGTGCAATTATTTTTTGTGCGAAAGCCACACCATCTATTACTATCTTTATCATGGTTTCACAAGCAAAATTAGGTGGTTGCTAAAGTTGGAGATGGATTAAAAATCTGTTTCTGTTGAACTTACCTTCGCATACCCATATCTAAACATCCTGAAAACCTTTAGAGTATGAAGGAAAATGCCAAAATGTTTATGGAAATATTCTTTTTTTTTTCAGAGTTTAATAACTAACCATACTGTAATTTCTTCATTACTCTTAGAATTCCTCAACAAAAGATGCAGCTCTGTGCATCTAGCATTTACTGAACTAAGGCCCAGCACTGATCCTGGGGTTTCAAATTAAAACCTTTGTGGACCAATTTGCTATTGGAAGAGGACCATGGCACCAGGTCCCACTATACAAAACTCACATCTCCCAGACAAGAGGCCACATCCAGAAAAACCCAGGTATGTACTCAACAGTTTTTGTACTTCATGAATGTAATCCAAATGTATATTAAACTCTAAATGCTCTGCTTTGGAAGAAAATGAGTCTGATGCTGTAGGAATAGCTTTAGCAAGCTGCTAGACATGTATATGACTGAAATATGCATATAATGTCCCATTTCAGAGCTCCTGAGCTGGTATGCAGAGTGAAATATTGCAACACACTTCCAGATATACCATTTGACCCTAAGTTCATCACCTACCCTTTTGACCCCAACAGGTAAAATATTGATATTGTGGTGTATTTGTTAATACAATGCAGTATGGTATTATTTGAAAATCTCTTCCTATGTGTATTCTTGAAGTAGTGCAATATAAATAATTTTTATTAATTTTCCCTTGAGGTTTCATATGAAAAATGTGCACTTAGGAGCATGAGGTTCCTCAGTAATTGAAGCAGGTAGAATATTACCTAATTGTCAAAAGTGGTTGAGAACTGCTTATTATTTATTTCTAGGAGTTCCTACCTCTTGAAGTGTTTCTCATGGTTTAATGATAGGACAGGTTCAGAACAAGAGGATTAAGATTGGCTTCAGATTAGCACAAGGCATTTATGGTACTAACCAAGGGTTAAATTTAGCCCTCTTTTTATTAATTAGTAAAGATCTTTGAGTTGAAATTGCTTTTATTCTGATAGCCATTCAGACCTTTGAGAATTCAAACATAAGTTTTGCATATACGACAACTTGTGCCTTTTATGATTCATTTTTAGGTATTTTTTGTTGTACCCAGACCTTGTAGTTAAAAATGAATGGTGTTCATCAACCCTTTGAGTAAGCCTGCATATTTATGGACTGATGCTATCCTGCCCTCTGAATATTTACTATGGGGGATATACAGGCATTAGAGCCCATTCCTCAAAGGTTAATCAAGAGGTTCTCTCTACATAATTGTATGGATCAGCTGATATAACAGAAGTGTAATTTAGTTCTTTTCAGCCCTTTCTCATGAACCTATCTCTTATTCATGAGTGGCATATGAAATTTCGGGTGTGATCAATGTATGATCAATTAGTATCAAGAGCATAATAGAAAGGTCTGGAGAGATTACATAATACACCTCTTTTTGTTTCTTCGATGATTGCCAATTTTTCTCATGTTGTCAAATGAAAGGCTTCGCTTGTGAGGCCTATGGAATTTTTCAATTTGGCTTTACTTAATCTCTGTCTCAATTTCTTATGTTTTCCAGTCTTGATACCAGTATTCCATGAAGTTTCAATGTGCTTGACTTTCAGGATATATTTTAGATTTTCCAAGAAGGAATTATTTTGGAAATTTGACTTATTTTGAAACCAAAACACGTTTAGAAAACACTATGCTAACCATATGGTATTTCAATGTTTATGTTTAGGCTTTGAGTTAGACAGAGCCTGAATCTTTGATTTTGCATTTAGGTTTTTAATCTCTTTTCATTCAAGAGTCACAATCAGTTATCTCCAATGAAACCATAGGAAAAACTTTAAAGTACTTTTTAAAAATGTACTAGATCTTAAATAACTTTCATTCAAATCCTTCTTTTATTAAATTTACAGTATTACTTGGTGTCCCGTGTGAGAGTCATAGGTGTTGTGATTCTCCCCTTTTCATAGATTTGTGAGCTACAATGCAACATCCTTGGAAAGAAGTTACAAATGGGAAGTTCTAACAGAGCCTGACCTTGGTGTGTCAATTGATCTCATAAACTTGGAAGCATATGAACCACAGCCAGATGCACAACTAGATCCTGCTGATGAGCGGCTGCTGGAAGAGGATGCCCATGCTCAGCAGGATTCCAAGAGGTCAGCTTTGGTTGATGGTTGGCTTGCTTTTGCTGAGGAAACTTGTGACTGCACTCCTTTATCTTTCTCCTTGCTCTCATGCATTGGATAAAGGAAATCGTCACACTTCATGACAACAACTACTTGATTCTACCTAATGCTCATCAGTTACATTTCATTGGAGTCTTAAGTAAGATTAAGGCTTCAAGTTAAGTTTGCCAGTGCCATCATTGTCAGTATAATCATCATGCTTCTAAAAATTTGTCATTGATTTGGCTTCAGAATGACCAGTCTATTAGAATATGATTTTTAATTTTGAATGATCCAAGAGCATTTGTATTGTCCTGAAAAAAGTTGGGAAAACTTGTGCACCTCTTGTCAAAGGAATTCTGGTGATGCTCTTTTGGTTTTGGGGCAAAACCCAGCCCCAAAACATCCAGAAGCTCATCAGTGATGTGTACCTGATGACACAACTGGAATTAGTCCAAAAGGTTGTGGCTAAGAAATGTGTTTCTCTGGGAGTCATAAGATTGTCAAAACTTGAACTTTTTTATTGGTTCTCATTGTATCATCTTGTAGAAAGCATGATTGTCATCACATCTGTTGCAAAATCTGAACCATTTATTATTGTCCAATGAGATACAAGTAATTTGCTCTGATTTTTATTTTAAAGAAAAACATTGGGTGTGACAGATAAACTCAAAAAAGACAATGCCAGAAGTGGCTGAGTACAATAGAAGAAAACTTGTTTTTTTTTTTTTAATTTATATATCCGTTGTCATTACCACATTACCCAATGCTCTGTCTCTGTGCTTGCAATTCAACTTTCGCATGTCCTAAGGAAGTAATGGAACATATTTACTGCTTGTCTCCATGTCTATCCTTTACTGCATATAGGGCCATTAGGTTGCTGCTATCATAGTCCACCAACCCTCCATCTTTGACTCCATGAAGCTTGAAGTAGCCTTTGCTTAAGCCTATTGGAGAGCAACTATCACCTAAAAGCAACTAGGGAGCTGTTGACTCAGGAGAAATCCATCTCTCTCATGAGTTGAATCTGGACCTGATATTCCACCAAGAAAGGCTTCAAGCCACATCCTCTAAGTCTTTGTTACATTCCTAGAGAGACTGGAGAGGATTGGGGACATAAGAGAATCCAAGTTTTATTATTATTATAATTTTTTTTATTTACCATGGGTAAATCATCTCTTACCCATTCAATGAATTCCTGTGCCTTTTGGCTCTTAACCCTTAAATGGACTCGCCACATATGTGCGGTCTGGCACCTGCCTTCTCTCAATGGAATCACCGCACATATGCGTTCAAAAGTTCCCAGTTAAAAAGTTGAAAAGTTAAAAGAACTACTTTGTTAATATTCTTTTGATGGACTTGGTGAAAAATTTGTCAAGATGGGCAGGAGTCTTCTTTCTCTTGTCATACTACTGTCCAAAGCCATAACTTTTATATAGAGCACAATTGAACCAACTATCAAAATTAAAAGCAACCATCATAATTAAACATTTTTAAATGTGTACTGGTATTTCCATGAACTGCATATTACCTCCATGCAAATATTTTCTTTCGTTTATGGTATGTGTTTAGATCCCGTCATCATGCCAAAAGTGTGTCGTGGCTCCGGAGGACTGAGTATATTTCTACAGAATTGACTCGCTTCCAGCCACAAACTATTGACAAGGTAGAAGCCAAGGTTGGATACAATATCAAGAAGATGTACAAGGTAAGACATCTCAAGTAACCTATTCCTTCTATTCCCTCAAGTGTCTATTCCTTCTTTTTTTTTATCTTTTAATGTGTATCTCATCTATTGTGTCATATATTTTGTTTGTTAGGAAGAGAATCTCTACATGGATAAAGAAAGTCAAATGAAGGCAATTGACAAAACCTTTGATGATGCCAAGAAGCCTATCAAGGAACACTATAGCAAACCAGGTGTTGTCCCAGTGGAAATTCTCCCTGTTCTTCCTGACTTCCAGGTGTGTCAAATCTTTCTTGCATCCTCCTCCCTTTCATTCAATAAATCACCATAACATTCAGGGCTTGATTTTCCCTTTAGCTATGGAAGTATCCATGGGCACAAGTAATTTTTGACTCAGACCCAGCTCCATCTGGTCATCCTTCAATGCTGCAGCAAGAAGAAATGTCTCAAGCCATGATCCGGTATGTTTTGACAATCCCTGACATTGGATCCTGTGTCTTTCCCTCATAACCTATCATTATCATTATTCAGTGCTTATTGATATTCTGCAGAGGTGTGATGGATGAGAGTGGAGAACAATTTGTTGCATATTTCCTGCCAACTGAGGATACATTGGAGAAGAGGAGGAAAGATTTTCAAGAAGGAGTGGAATATAAAGATGATGAGGAATACGAATATCGGATGGCTCGAGAATATAATTGGAATGTCAAGAACAAGGCTTCAGGAGGATATGAAGAGAATCATTTCTTCATTTCCCGCCCTGATGGAATGTATTATAATACTCTGGAGACCCGGTATGTCTTGACCCCATTGCACATGTTTGCTGTATAAATGCAGGACTCATAATGTCTCAAATTTGTTCAGCGTACGCTTGACAAAGAGGCGGCTCAAGCCTGGAGCAAAGCCAAACAACACTCGTCTCATTGTCACACACCGACCGCTGAATAGGCAGGAGCACAATAACCTCCGAATGAGAGAGAAACAACTTGAGACAGGAGGTGAAGATGAAGATGAGGAAGAGGACCAAGAAGACAAGGATAATGAGAAAGAAAATAAATCAAGTAAGTAATTATTTTGATTTTTCACGTATTTAAATCTGACCTTGAGTAAATTTCAAGTTTGGCATGTAGGTTCCAGTGATGAAGAGGAGGAGGGAGAGAAGAAAAGAAAAGCTAGTGCAAGTGAAGAAAGTGAAGATGAGGGTAGTGGGAAAAGTGGTGAGTCCTCTGTGATTTTAATCTTTTATTTACTTTTTTAAACTTGAAATGAGTTTTTGGTTTCACAGGATCCAGTGAGGAGGAGGATGATGAAGGGAAGGAGAAGGCTAAACAAAAGAAGGCAGAACATAGTGCAAAGGATGGTGAAGGAAGTGATAAGGGTATGGGTGATTTTATTCAAGCCTCATGCAAATCATAATAAGGGCTGTGATGATACTTTGATGATTGCTTTCATGGTTAATCAGGTATTGCAATGCTTTTTTAGAGTGAAAGGGGAAAGTACCAGAATAAAAATCATTGGGTGGGTAGGTGATGATTAAACCATACTGAGCTAGAAAAATGAAAGAGAAAAAAAAATAGGGAAGATGTACAAGATAAGACTTTTGTTCTTCTTTCCTTATTCCCCTATTATGAACCATTGAATGGATTAGAGCAGATAAAAAGAAATGGGGGTCCTCATATTCAGCAGTGGATGCTAAGTGGCTTTGATGATTTCTCCCTCTTTCAATCTGTACTGGTTTTGAACTCCTTCCTAAATGAGACTGTGGGGCTATGTGAAATGGACTTGCAAATTATTTTCCATTGGCCCATCAGTGGTTCAGGGCAATGCAACGTTGTTTTAAATCTGTTATCATGACAGCCCTACTCATGATAGTATCAGTGATTTTGACCAAATTATCCTTCTCTTATCTGCAGAGAGCACTGGTAGTGGAAAGAAGAAAAGCAGTAGCAGCAGTGAAAGCAGTAGCAGCAGTGGCAGTGAAAGCAGCAGTGCAAGTAGCAGTGATGAAGACAAGTCCTCAGAAAGTGAAAAGAGTGATGATGAGGAAGAGAAGCAGAAGAAGAAGGATGAGGAAGAGATCTTCGGCAGTGACAGTGACTGAATGTCCCTGTTTAAAGTTCTGTGATTTCTTGATGGTCAAGATTGATCCTTTTTGGTCAATATGGAACTTTTCCACTTGTAAAAGTGAAATCAAGGCTGTAATAAAGCAGTTCCATCTTTGTTTTCTCTTGATGTAGTTAACAGCACAAGGCATGAGGGGAGAAAAGGAGCAGGTGTGCAGTGTTACATATTGTTTGTTCTTTGATCTGATTCACTGAGTCTCACCTGGTGTTCTTTTGCATATTTATAGGTTTCAAGCTACAAGTTACTGAAATAGTTTCTGCAGTTGAAAGAGTCATGTCTTTTTTACTGAGCCCTTCCAGTGAGTATTGGTGCAATGGTTGAGTAATTATGTTTGACCCTTGCTAGTATAGACACCATACTTGTAACCTTTTTTCTTTTGTTTTCTGGGCTTATGGTCCAGAAATACTACACCAGCATGTTGATATTCTTTTATTGCTGGTCTACATGTAATATGCAACATCCATGATTGATTTACCCATCAGCAGGAAGCATACTGTTGCTAATGACAATCCATCCATGCATGGTGATATATCTATTCAATAGAAATTGACTCTGGGAACCTTCAAGGGAAAGCTTGACCATCTCATCCATAACATTTGAATTGTACAGTCTTTAGTGGCTCCTTTCACTTGTTATCCCTTGTGCCTTTGACTACAATATTTTCTTTGATTGGGAAAGCTTTAGAAGAAAATTTATATGCAGCAGTGTGTGATGGGTTCAGTTGTAGTGCTGATACCTTCCCTGTATTTCATTGGTCACAGCTTCAGAATCCAATCATCATGTAATTGAAAATGGATAAATTTTGGACCACAAAAGGCCCATAATCCAAACAAAGTTCTTTATATATGAATAACAAACCCAATTCTTCCTGCTACCATTCACTGATGAGCAAGCATGCTGTTCCTTCATGGTATAACTTTTTTTTGGAAGCAAAATGAAGGGAAAAAAAGGAGATTAATCATGACTATCTGCTATATCTATATTCCAAAAAAGAAATGGGGGATTGCACTTTTTTTGCATGAGTTACAGTATCTGGACAGCTAATGCCCAAAATATAGATATGAATGTAGGAATGTGTAGGTTGTAAATTTACAGGTAATGGCATGCTTTCAGCAAGTAAATAGCAGTTTTAGACTTGATCAAGGATGAGATGGAATTTACCTCATCTATTTGTTAATGCCTTCTCATGGTGGGAAGTTCCTAGATGATGCAGACTGTGGAATCTGTGATAGCAAATTCTTCCTTGCCTTTGGAGAAAAGGCTCACATTTGCAGAGAATGTATTCTTTGCTCCTCGTATGGAGATCCATTGGAAGGAGAATTCGGTCTTGGAGTGCCTGTCATCCCTCCTCCTTCAACCTGCTGAACCATCTCAGCTGTCTGCCATTGGTAATCTCCTCCTAAAATGTCTCTCAAGTCAAAGACTTCAGGGGCTTTCAAGAACTGGTCGTTTATTGCCTTGTACACCATGTATGATAAAGGTTGGTGAAGTTTTCAAGGTCAGATTGAAATCTGCAAGGTGAATTCATATCACAGCAATAAATTCTTGCACTTTTAAGGCCCTGACAGCCAGTGTGGTGAATAGCAGAGGTGCAGATGCATTTGTGACCTGCATGAAGGCAATGTGCCAAGATCGAACACTCTCACGATCCTTTTTTCAAGACTTCAATCTCTCTTCTTCATCGAGCATGGAGATACTGCTAGCTCTCCCATCTTCAACCATCAGCCATGACAAGCTTCAACTTATGACCTTGCTTCTTGATATGTTGGACTCTCAACTCCGTTCCAGGAACAATGTAATTTCATCATTTGAAGATGTGGTGAAACATCTCCTCATACCTCTTGCTTCCTTGCTCTATGAGTTTTCTCAAGTTCACCGTGAAGAATATTCATCTTTGAAAGCAGAAGAGGTCATGCTTTCAATTAAGGATATCCAAAAGAAGATTCAAGACTTCCTCATTAAATACCTGTTCCATCGAGACTTGCACATGAGTTATCATCTTCTTTTTCTGGTGATGCAGGGGAAAGAACCTCGCAGCCAGCTCCAGCCTCATATCCAATTGCTGCTTAAGATCTTGGTTGAAGCCCTTGGCAACTTAGAGGCTTCCAAAGTGTCCCATATTTTCCAAGTTCTGCTCATGGGATACTTTGGCCAGGTGAAAGAAGAAACACACACCCTACCCAAGGAAGCAATGCTCCTGTTCCTCTTCCATTTGCTTCGACTGTACCCAAAAGTGGAAGGGGGGACTGCCTTTGAGTGTGGGAAGCTTCCAAAAGCCCCTCCAAAGTTGGAAGCCCCTCAATGCTTGTCCATCCTGGCAGGAGTATTTGAAATGCTGCAACAACTGAAAGTCGATCCTCTCAAAGATGTATGTGGTGGCACCCTACAAACCTGGATCTCAGCATTGTTGGAAATTCTTCTGAAGGAGCCATTCCATCCTGTACCTGCTTGGTTTCAGGTGAGCAAATCATTAGGCATCTAGCATGTGCATTTTTATTTCTGGAGTTTGCTTCACATGATAGCTTCTGTAAATTTCTTTCATTCCACTCTAACAAGAGTTTTACCTTTATAAGCAGTAACCTCTCATTTTGACTTTTTTGCAGGTGATGTCAGAAGTAGGATTGTTAGATATACGATTCTTGGAATCAAAGATCTCACGAATCCTTGCCCTTGGGATGACTAGCAATCAGAGCACTGCTCAGAGCAAAAGTGCACTTGCCCATATGCTTTGCACTTGTCTCAGTCAATATCACAGCATTCGTCAAGTTCCAAAGCTTATTGCAAAGCTGCTGAATGGCCTGAGAGATGAGATCATCCAGGAAGGACAAGCTATAAAAATTGCAGAGATCCCTGAGGAGTTTTTATTGCAGTTTGGTGAATGCATCAGTCGCTTGGCACCTGGGCAAAGCATTGAGCTATGGAAGACACTTCTGCATTTCACATCAGCCAAAGCCTTTCAGGATGCTAACTTGTGTGAGTTTCTTGATTTTCTTAAAGATAAATTTCTATGGAAATTATATGAGTGCTTTTGTGATATAGTATGGGTGCAAGAGAAGCATTTCCTAGTTATGTCAATGAAGTTGTTTGAAACATATATGCGGCACGTACGTCTCCTGGACTGCTCACTCCCATTGGCAGTGGCTAACCGTGTACCAGAGCATATGCATCGGACACAATGTGACACCTTACTGCATCTGGCTCAAAAGATCCTCCAGCAGGAACATGTCCGTTTTTCCCTTGAAATAGGGTGTTAATCTGGAAAGAAGTGATTTTTATTAATGAAATTGTTTTATTGCCCTCTAAATAGGACTGGGAGATAATGGGAGGATTTCTCAACTTGAGTCACAGCTGGGGAGAGCTTCACACACTTCTTCAGACATATGACAAAGGGGAAACTGGTCCTAAAATCATGAAGGTTCCAGACAATGGAGCAACAGACTTATCTTCTGTGCACTCTCACATCGATGCAACCACTTGGGCCCAGATTGCTTCCCGTGTCCTGAACTTTGGGGATACTGATTGCCATAAGTTCCTGGTAAGCATGACTGTGAAACTTGATTATACTGCTCATTGTCCAGGAAAATTATCTATCAAATGTGTTCTCTCTTCTAGTATAAACTAGTGGTCCAGAAGTTGAAGGCAAATGAGTTACTTCAGGAAGTACCAGATCTGGATGCCAGGGCAAGTTGTCTCAAATTTTTGACGGAACACTGTGACAATCATGGAGAGGAGATGAAGCAATATGTGCCATACCTTGCTGTCATGATGAATGACTTCCAGCTCCTTGCCCTTGGGAATGAGGTAGTGGCTGCACGGCTGAGGGCCCAGTCGGACTGGGGCAGAGATATCTTGGCTTCCTTCTGTGAGATCCCTATGCTCCAGAATGCTCTTGTGTTTGAACTGTGTGCTCAGCTAGGACGCTCCATTGCTCGGGTGAAGGGTAAGCACAAGGTCAGTGGCCTTTGTGCCATGCCAGCACTAGGTGTTTTGAGCTTGCTTACAGAAGAGCATGGAGTGAAGTGGGTCTCACAAGGTCAGACCAAGAACCCAGAACTTTTGGTTCAGGCCTGGGGAAAGTTTGCAGAGGTTATACGTGAGAGAGAAGTGACTGGTGAGCTTCGGGTGAAAGACTGGACAGGGATCAGAGGAACGCTAGAAGCATTCCTGGACTTACCACTTGAGTACATCTCACCTGATAATCAAAGCCTTGTTGTTCTTGTTCTCTGCCTCCTCCTGGACCATATGAAAGAGGTCAGGGAGGAAGAAGACTGGGTAAAGCCCTTGTGCTACCAGGTCATGCAGGGGGCTATTGGGCATCAACAGTACATCCCATTATTTCAATGGGCTGACACCTCATTCTTCTTTCTTTGGTTCACTTGGCAACATGACCAGGTGGACGGAAGAGTCTTACGGGCTTTTGGAAAACTTGCCAGTGGAAGTAAGACTTCAATCAATTGCCTAGAACCATTTGTAGATGCCTTTAGGAATGCTGCTACCATCACACAGCAACATTTGGATGTGGCTGTTTCACTCATTGTCCCTCTTTTCAAAGTAAGATTTTTGCTGTAAGTTTGTGCCTTGCACATGCTTTCTATTGATTATAAATATGGGAAATGTTCCTAGCAATGGACTGCAAAAAGCGTGGAGAAGGCAAGGAGCCTCTTGAAGAAGCTGGTAGCAGCAGTTGAGGTGTGGATTCTGGTGTACCTTGAGAGCCTGAGTGAAGAGACTTTGCAGTTGCAAACAGAGGAAACCCTGTGGGAATGTGCTGAGGCTTGTCTTGCATACCGGTTTCATCGTTCCAAGAAGTCACCTCATAAATGGAAAATACTTGGGAGTCTCTTGATGTTTGCATGCTCTTCCTCTCATACAAGAGGAACTTTGGGGTTCCTGCAGCTCTTGAACACTCATCAAGATGAACTGAAGGAAGCACTTCCATCAGATTATCCCCAGATCCAATGGCAAATTCTTCAGAGACTCAGTCTATGGGATGAAGCTGGGAAGTGTCTTGAATATGTCTTTGTACACAGCAAGGAAGATGAGCTTCATGTGCTTTGTAAAACCATGCTAGAATTGATGGTCAGTTAAGAATCCAATTCATCATACTTCAAGTTCACTTTTAAATCAGAGGGCTAAAACTAAATTTTTATTATTCCAGCGGGAGGCAGTTGAGTCTGGAAAAGAAGAGAAGGTGAGACTAGCGTTATGTCCATGGAAAGCACTCTTGCAAGCTTTCATGCCTGAAGAGACCTTTCAATTCAAATGCAATGCTGTGGAGAAATTGTCTGTGATGCTTCTGTTGCCTGAATTAACCCTGGCATCCCGAGTCCATGTTCTCAAGTTCCTCTCTGATTGCATTTCTCGTGGATCCGTAAGCGAAGTTCTTGCAGTTGTAATTGTTGATCAAATGAAGATATTAATATTTTCCTGCTGAAAATATTTAGGTGAAGTGGGATATGGGGCTCATCTTGGATTGCTTCCCATGCAAGGAGCAGATGGAGCAACATTCCATGATTACCATAAATGCCCTCACAGCATGTGGTGATGTCTTGAAAGCTGTTCTGGGTCAGCCAATGCGCAATAGTAGAGTGCCTCTCATTGTGGAGAAGCTGCGATTTGTGATCCACACCACCCAGAGATATGCATTAAATGGCAACTTACCTATCATGGAGGAAGCTGCACTCACTCAGTGTGCCAATGATATCACAAGGTAAGATCATGATGCTATATTCCTGTCCTATGTGGAATGAAAGCACATGTCTCCAGATTCATCTTCTCCATGCTTGTTTTAGGCTTTTGGCACTCTTGAAGAATAGTGCAGAAGACATGAAGCGTGTTGCCCCATATCTAGCAGCCAGTATCATTGCTGGCTTTGTTGGTGGCACCTTTCCTTCAGCTATTGAGGTACCTGATCCACTCATTAGACTTTTGCTTTCTCAAAGTACATGTTCAAAGTTGGAATTCTGAAGTGTGCTGTTTATCTAAACTCACTCTTCCTCATAGCAGGGGTAGTAGTAGGGGTCAGGGTAGAGATGGGGGGACTCAGAGTGATATGATGGCTGAACTGTTCCCAGTTACATTCCATTGAACGAGCTCAATTTCTTTGAAGTGACCAAAGGCAAAGTTTTATTGCCTCTAACTTTGAGTCCAGGGTGTTGTTTTCATTATTACTGCAAGATATTCCCAACATCTTTCTTCTTAGTTGCCGTGATGAAATCAAGAAAGTATTATTTAAAAAAAAAAATCAATCAAAGCAAGGAGGAATTCTGAATTTATGCTTGCCTACACTCATTTCATATCTTAGTCTCTTTAATTGATATAACTATGTAAACCTGGTTCTTTCCCTTTTCCAGAGTTCTCTGATGGCAGGATTGATGAATGTATTGGACCTGTGTGATGAGCATGGAATTGGGATGCTTAGAGTCCAGCTCAATCATGCACCAAGAGAGGTGTTCCTGGCTGCCCTTGAGCAGTACCGCAAATATCACAAGTATCGAGGATGGGTCTGAATGAAGCATTCTGATTTGTTATTGAGTCCTGTCTTGCCTAAAGATGAAATGAGAAAAAAATTGTTTTATTACATATCTTGAGTGTGACTTCATTCTTGTAGTAGCCAGAACTTGAAGGTCTAGGTGTTCTGCTGGGAGATATCAAGGCAATACCAAAATCTTCGCAGGTAGCCACTAATGCCATATGAGCAAAAAGTCTGCAAAAGTATTTTCTCCAATACAAGGCCAAAAAAAAGCATATAATAAAGGGAAATGGGTGTACTTCCTACATCCCATCCCATCCCATATCATCTTTGCCAAGTACTGTTCACCTTCAATGGCCACATTCTATATTTCATGAGGAAGTTTTCTGGTTCTTCAAAAACTATGTTCAACAACGAAAAATGTACACAACATTTTAATGCCAGTGAAATCATAGACAAACTGTACTTCATGAGGTTTTACTGATGAAATTTGTACCAGATTTTTCACAAAATTTCAGGAGTGTAAGAAAGACCCATGCATCATTACACCATGGCACCAAGTGGCACATAAGGTACTGTAGAGACCTTGGGTTCCACTTTGTTCCCCTCATTATCAAAGTAGAAAGACTTGTAGCAAGCATCACAGACAAAGAATGGCTCTTCTGGTGTCCGAGTGTTGTTGTATGTCACCCACCTGTTTCAAGAAGAGATATCTTTTTCAATCTTAGTTCAGGAGTTCATGACAAACTGTGAACTCAATAAATGCAGTACTGGTAACAGCAAAAAGCTATAATTCAACTCACTTGGGGACCAGCAGGGCACAAGCCATGCACATGAACCCTTTCCGCTGTCCATGGAACATTTTGATGGGATAATCCTGCTTCAGTTGTGGATCATTTGGATGCACTAACCTGAAAGAATCAAGAGAGAATCTCAGGTGTGGGAAAAGTCTTCTATTGGAAATAATATACAAGTTCTTAAGGATAGGAAGGTTGATTCCACCAGAAAAAGCATGAGAAAAAGATCTGTAACTGTATCATGGATTTCCTCATATACCAAATTACAAAATCTTATAAAGAAAGAAAAAAGGCTGGACTTTAGGTTATAAGTAGATGGGGACCATATCCACCTTGCTTTGTTTACCCTCCATGTTAACAGGACAACAGTAATATCTAAGTTTTTGTGATTTGGTAGAGATTGTATGTTATAGTAACCTGACTTACCCACCACTGAAATTTCAAATTTACTGACATTTTGGAACCATTGCAATATGTATATTCTAATAGGCCAAATAGATATGGAAGCAAGCTCTTTTATTAAATGACATAACCTTTCTTTCTGGATCAAGTACTATTCACTGTTTTAGAGAAGAATCTTTATTGAAGGATAAATTTGTGATTCACTGTGCCTAAGTTTTCAACTAGGATTCACCTCTATGCTAATAATGAGTTTGCCTTAGAGTCTGTGAAAGGTCAGAATTTTTCAATCCATTTCTAGGAGATACCATATCTGAACTGAAATGTGAATACCTAGCCCTAATGCTGACTTCACCTCCAAATACTGTTACTCTAGCTATCCATCTTATTTCTTAAATGACAATGAAGGAGCTGAGCACAATTAGACTTCTTATGTAGATTACAACTCTGTAGACAACAACCTCTGGCTACATATGAAAATAAAACAAGGAAAGGCTTTCTGCAAATGTTTCAACTTGCCTGGCATCAGAGAAACTGAAGAGATGTTCACAATTCCCATAATGAATATACACATATGGGTAGCCAAGTTTGAGTGAAAGGTTTCTGAAAGTGACTTCCTCCATCTTGGCTGTTTGGAAGGGCCCAATCTCATACTCAGGGTGACTAGCTGCCCAGTCTCTCACCCTCTTACTAGTGTCCTTATTCCCAGTATTTCGCATGTCATCATAGAAGGTTTCATGAATGAAGAAAAATCCTGAGCCTTGATTCTCCTGAAATGTTACAAATGCAGATGCATCTCAAGAATCACTCAACTCACAAGTCAAGACCTTCCTGAAGAAACTTGCATGAAGTTCAGGTAACACACTATACATATCCAAAGTACAGTATGATAACACACATTGGTACTAGATTAACATGATACCTCAATTGATAACAAGAAAAAGTTACTCTTCAAATATCTGCATTGAAATTTTTCTTCACATTCATTTAATACAGGGGTCGGCAACCTTTCACTAAATGTGGGCAGGAATGACACGGCTCGGCTCTATGGTAGGTCAGAATAAATTAAGCATAAAAAATATCCTCTTTTCTTGGTGGGCTTGACAGGCTGGATGAAATCTCTTCATGGGCCAGAATCCGGCCAACGGGCTGTAGGTTGCCGACCCAATTTAGAACATGGTTCTCCATTTTGCTTTGATCATCATACAGGGTGATTAAAAAAAAAAAAAACAATTCAGATGGAGTTAGTGGTATATAGGGTAAAGCAAAATAAATGAAAAAAAAAAGATTAACAAATTTTAATCTTAATATCTCTGCTCACACTGGAGCTATTTATGCAAAACTTTCACTATGCATACATCTATGAGTATGTTTCCAACAGAGTATCAAAGTTCATCAGAATTTGTTGGACTGCACCAATTATTGAAAAGAAGTTAGATATTAAAAATGGACTAGTCCCTGCTGGTAATGGGGTGGAGGAAATACTCAAGCCCTATTCTTCCTGGTCATCTAGGCTATGTTGAACTCCTCTTCCATTCCAGTTCATTCTTGGGCTGGTGGCTGGGCTCTCATGCAGATGGTTTTTATAAGCTTATTCCCAATGAATGAATAGAAATTGCAAGCCCATGTGAGTCATGCTGCCTCCTCCTTTCCCTGCTCAGACAGACTGTATTGTACTGTACTTGCCTCAATCCAATGGGTCATTTTCCCTTTAAATTCATTTGCCTATGCATCATGATGGTTGAAAAAACAATCGATATCTCCAACCATCAATAGTATTGATGCATTGATCTATCATGACAGCCATAGTCCTTACCATGTTATTTCTCAAATATCAGACTTCATAGAAAGAAGCCACAATTCCACCACCAAGCAAGTAAAAAAGGAAAATGCTAGACTTTTTTTTAGCAGAGGTGTGGAATACCATACCCTAATCCATTCCTCAGCAGACATGGAGGTACTTTGTGAACCAGCTCCTTCCTCAACATGCTTTTGCAAGTCCACAGGACACAGTAGCACATCACGGAGTGCAGTAAGAGGCTGGCTTCCATACACAACTACTTCTTGACTCAGGTACAATTTCCTGAAATACAAAATGATAATTGCATTTTCACACTGTGCCTGTTTGTGAAGTGCTATTGCTTTGTAACAACACTAAGATGTAGAAATTCAAGTTCCCCCACAAATCGACTTAATTTGAATGAAGAACAAAGGTCAATGAGTACAAAAATATTGGCACCCATTCCTGCATTAAAGGAATAACATTTTCTATTTGGGAATAAAAGGAATCAAACTGCCAGAAGAATACTTTTTCCTACACCCTATGAACATGATCAATGCCCCTAAAAACATTCCAGAAAGAACATTGTACAATCCAGGTTTGCTTTCACCTGTAGGCAGGGTAGCCCACTAATTTTTGATTGTAGATCTTAATGTTGAGTAGGACTTCATCAGCTGCTAGCTTCTTGCCTGCAGGATGTTTTCTCACCTCCTTTTGATTGGATGACCGCAACTCTTGAATTGCCATCTTTGAGTAGATAGAAAGGGGAAAAGCAAGGGTTCAGAGTTCTGTCTGAAGTTTGAAATCTTCATTTTCTCCAATCAATCAAATGTCCATTTAACTACACTTGAATCCTTGACTTAGTTTTAAATGTTGAATCACTCTCATATTGTAAGAGAACCAAAACAGGTAGTTTGGTCATCTCAAGCTGAAGTTTGGCTTTTGCTGGCTTAATCTGGTCAGCTAATTATGATCAACCTTACCATTTTAAGTAGACTACTGGTCACCTCATCCTCAACTGGCCTATCTTCACCTCAAATGGGCTATGTAAGATTTTTTTAAATCTTGCAACACACTTACATGGTGATGAATTCCAGTGTACTTCAAGCTCTTCATGTAAAGTCTATCAAGTGTTTCAGAAGATTCACGAAGTTTGTTTTGCTTCTCCAAAACTTGAAGAGTCTTCAGATTTGCTGCTGCTTTAGGAGGAATCTTTTTTGCTTCCTTGCTCAAGTAAATGTTCTTGCGGTCCATTGCAGGAGTAGATATTTCAATCACTGGCACCTCATCATCACATTTCAATTGGCTAATGCTGAAAAAGGAAAATGTAATAAGTGACAATGATTGAGCAAAGCCTAAAACCCATTCACCATCATAACTCACTTGCACTCTTCCTGGAGACGAGCAGCTAATTTCACAGGTATGTTCATGAGATCACTCATCACATCCCATCCCCTGTAACTTTTTGTCTTTGGTTTGAGTTCTTGGACAAGGGAGTGGAATTCCCGAAAATATTCATCTGCATGAAGCACTTCCTTCTGCACGAAGTCAAATTCGTTCATTGCATGCACCTTCTCCATGGTGACTTAGATAGGCAAATGCCTTTCTAGTCCCTATACTAAACAGCTTCACCTAGAAAGTGAAATAATGTCCAGTTTAAATTTAACTAGAAATAATGCATAGCTACGACAAGCAGTAAGTAGACACAATAATTCTTCCACAAGGATTTAATTTGCAATACATTCTCACAATTAATTGTGATGATGATAGGGAACTCTTTGAATGAAGTATGGAATGAAAAAGTAAAGCAAAGTTTGGTCTGGGCCCCTTTCAGTGTGAAAGGTCTTGGCTACAAATGGGACATCCCTAATATATTCACATGTATGATCTAAAGCTAGATCTCTCATGTCTTATAGGCCCAGAGAGAGATACAATCATAAGTACTATGGCAACCACAGGATGCAATGTAGCCAACCATAAATGTGATCCATGGTTTCTTGGAGCTTTATTGCCTCAAACAAACAGTTAGAAACTGGCACAATGTTAAGTGAGTTTAGGCAATTAGGCCTAGGAAATAAATGGGTAAGTCTCTTCTACATCACCGCATTGCAGAAATATGCCAGCTGAGGCTCTTAGCACTTAAGATGAAAAGCACGAAACATATATATTAATAGAAAATGCAGCTGCAGCAAAAGACGAATAAACAGATGACGGCATAAATTGGCATGGATCAATGACATAAGACTTTAGTGTCATCTTTGACATGGTATATGATACATTTTATAATGCAGGGTCAATGTAACTAGGCCCATCATTTCAACAGAAACTAACGGGAAAGGAAGTTACCATGGCTCAGTCTAGGGGCCAGTTGCACTGCCTCATTCATGTCAGACTTTCGCGCAACGTTTGACTTTGGGAGCCTGTTTACCATGCTTCCTAAGTCTGACTTTATTGAGGCAGTCCAACTGACCCTTGATTCCCTCTCAGAAATTCAGTTCCGATTTCATAGGCCAATTACTTGACCAGATTGTCGCCTTTAGTCCCTGCCAACCATTTGCGAGGGCTGGTGTCTCTTTCCTTACCATGTGTTTCCAGTATCAAAAGAGATCTGTGAAAATACTTTTTGCTGACTGTGCGATATCAAATTTTGAAACAATATCATAGTCGATGAGTTTACCTCTTGCTCGTTGGGATTTTCATCCAGGATATTCGGCAACCGTGCAATTCTTGACCCGCTCGCTTGAAGAATGGTTTCCATCATGGCGCAGTATTCGGTTGGTATTTTGTATTGCGCGTTAGTTTCAACATGTTGTAGGTCATGCTTGTTGACTTAGCTACGTCTATATGCACGTGCTAGTTCAGTATGTAGAAGTTTTAGAGTTATTCGAAGACCTGATCTAGCGTATTTTCCTTTGAAATTTCTACATTTCCTGTCATAGGCATAGCCGAGGCTACGCCTGATGTTAACTTACGTCGTAGCTTTACTTTGGACAACCTTGGCTTAAACTATTGGCCTACTGATCTTGAGTTAGTTTAATTACAGTGCATTCAGATGAGAATGATGGAGAAGGGGGCTATCAGTCTCAAGTTTTCATGCTAAATAAATGTTTGGAATATTGCAAAGTAGAGATAATCTTTTTTCATGTCATTTTTCTGATAAGCAATCTGGTGATTGTTGAGGAACCTAAATTTGAACCCCTATTAGGCATAGGAACTGCAAGATACAGAAATCCTTATGGATTGTATAAGTGGAGGAACTTTTGAACTTCTATCAAGTGGGAACCTGGTGGTTATACCCAGGGCAAACTACTCCCCTTGCTTGGTTTTTCAGGGTCTACTTTCACTTTGAACCCAATAATGAGAATTTATAACTAATGAAACTCAGCTAAAGTGGATGGAAATGAAGTATAGTGTCATAGGGGATATGAATCGATAACATGGTATTGAATTCCATGTTGTGAGGCAACCAGCTCTCACAAAGGATGGGATATCATTTGGAACTCAGAAAGAATAATAGCAATGCTACACCAGGTATCACTGGATCCAGGGCATCCCTGAATATTGCCACTATTAAATGAAATGATATCAGCTATCAAAATCCCTTTTAATGTTGATCACATGGGCTCTGGTTGTTTAATTCCTGTAAGCCTGAGTGACTCATGACTTGTGTATTCCTTGTTAGCTTAGCATTATGGACAGCAAAAAAAATCACTCAGAGCTGGAGAGGGCCATGATAAATAAAACCAAGTTGTTCTGTTTAGGTTTGATGCTATGGAAGTTATATATTCTACATATGAAGAGAGATATGTGTTATTTTCCATTAGCTAGATACACACCAGTGTTGTATTCCATTTGTTGCATTGGTGTGGTGTAAGTGGGAGTGTATTAATGCAAGAGATGTCAATTTGGATGTGCTAAGCTAATTGTGTGTTCAAATGAAAGGAGAGTCAGTAATTTTGCTGAGTGATTTACCACTATTGGTCTACTATATGTGAATAAATTTAAACCTCCTATCTTAGCTTGCTTTTGTTACTTGAGCAGTGTTGGTTTTTTCCCATCCCACAATAGAGCCCATTGTAGTCCTCAACCACAATTATCTTTTTTTCTTTAAATCTTCAGATCAGCTGTGAGTTGCAACATGGTGAGGACTTTGCGTTCTCAGAGAAACTTACAGCAAGACAAGGAGAATGGTTTCAAGCAGGAGACAGCAACATCAGGCTTGCAAAGAACAAGAAGAAAAAAAAGACCTTTGCAGGAGAAACTCCAGAATCAGAAGAAAGCTGAGAGCTCCAGGCAAGAGTCGGAATGCAGCCCTAGCAAAAACAATCTTGGAGAGAACAGTTATAAGAGAAATGAATCTCATTCAAGTAGCAGTGAGGCAATCTCAAGATTGCATCCTGCACAAATTAACTTGGACATCATCCTCCAGAATGTGGCACATGTGAAGGAGAAACAAGAGAAGAAACACAAGAGTTACTCACATCGCTCATGCAATTTAGGACCCTTGAATCCATTGAAGACTCCAGCCGCAAGAAGGCTGAGGCATGTCAAGCAGTCCACTCCTCGGATTGACAAGGAAGAACTTGAAGAGGAGTCTTGCTTTGGTTTTACCAGTGATGATAGTGACATTTCACTGCCAGTGTCTCCTGTGAAGAAGGATAGTGTTGTGGGGGAGTTGCATCTGGCAAGCCCTGGAACATCCTCAGTTGCATCATTCAAGTGCAAACCTTTTCGAGCCCCAAATCATATCCCTTTCAGATTCTCAGTGGATGATCTCATTAGACAAAGGCAAAGAGCCCTGGCCTTATCTCATATTCGTGGGGGCTTCTCATCCCTGCAAGATGAACATTCCAGATTTTCTTGTCTTGATTCACAGACATCTAACTCGAATCAGACTGAGATTACAAAGTCAGCAACTTTTCTCAAGGTATATGTCTTTTTAACTATTGTGTATTTTACTATGTAGCTGTTTAGCATTTGTACTTGACTAATTAATACATGCCAGCATCTTTCTCATTATTAGCCAGTGTGGGGGATAATTCAAGACCATATTTTGCTCAGGTTAATGTGTGCCCTAACTCCTGAAGCTGTTTTTTGCTTATGGTAATACAAGCCTAGACAGCCTAAAATGTACTGCTCCCTTTATAAAATTATTTTAACCCAGTTGATGCAGAATTGAAACCACAGAATTTCATATTTAGAAATGGAAGTATAGTCAAGCCAAAAATTAAGATTTTACTAAGTTTTTTTTTTGCTTCAGAAATCAGCTTTAAAGTCGAAATCAACTAAACAGCATTTTTATTAAATTTAGGAAGGATAACAAAATCCCAATTTGCAGGAAGTTTACTAATAAGAAAAAGTAATAAAATTTTCCTTTCTTGATAAACTTTTCCCCTGTTGGGAGTTTCCTTGACGTCATTGAACCATACTTTTTCCTTTGCCCCAGTTTTGTTTTTAAGTGTAGCAGTTTGGTGGTCCTCTTTTCTTGGTTCAGGAAATTTCTTTTATGGCAGAAGGTGCCTTCAAAGTGAGGATCACACCAATCAAGTCATTTGACCAAGACTGAAAAATGCATTGAGATGATTCTCTTCTTGAAGCCTGTTGGTAGAAAATTAAAACTTTTTTAAATACATATTGTGTTGGTTAGCTTTTCTTTTTAAATATGATTTCTGATAGATGAATTCTGTCCTTAGATAGGTAGGTCTTTTTTTAATTGTTGAAGGTATCTCCAAACATACATGGCTAAAAATATTGTAGGGTTTCACTTAGGTCCTAGAACACAGGAAAAATGGGGGGGAATTCCCTTCTCAAATTTGTTAGTTGAAGGCCTGGAAATTTACAGTTGCATCTTATTGTATATTGCTTACTGTACTAATATTTTTTGGTTCAGAATGTAGCATTTCTACTACACCATGCATGAAAAGGTTTAACAGTAAAATGTGTACAGGATGTTGTAAGTTATATTTTTCTATGATTTCTTTTAATTGCTGCAGTTTGATGTTTGGCGGGTTAAGACCCATGCATCTGGCATATTTGTGTGCAAAAGGTAGCAACTGAGCCTGCACTCATATGCCATTTAATAAACTTTTCCCATTTGGAGAAGAAAATGCAAACTATTGCATCTCTTGATAGAAAGTGAACTGAAGAGTTTTATCTCAGAAATCCATTTTCCTTTGTTAATCAATTATGCAAAAAAAGTGTATTGGCATTATCCTTCACATGGGGTGAAAGCCTATTCATACAGTTGCACACTCTTGTGCTTGGGTTCCTTGGTTACATATTAGACAAGGGTTTCTCTTCTTGATATTCTAATTTTAACTCAGTTTTCATGGCAATTAAAATCAGTGAATGCTCAATAACCTACTTATGAAGTGTTTATGGTACAAAAAGTGAGACTGAGTATGGAGTCAGCATGACCTTGTGTATTGGGACTTTTTAGATCCAGGAGTGCCCTCTGGTTGATGATTCAGATCATGGGAAAAGCAAGCCTCTCAAAGAGGAAGGAAAGAAAAATAGAAGTAGAAAGCCAAGGAAGAACAAGGATGAAGATTTGGGAAGTCCAAAGAAGAAAAAGAATGAAGGTTTAAGAAAGCCAAGAAAGAAAAAGGATGACAATTTGGACAAGAAGTCACATCCTTCCACATTCAAGACACGAAAAAAGGTTTGTTTTCAGTGATAATTTAGTGATTGTACCTGATTCCATAACTTTGTAATCTTTGGATGACAATGCCAGTTCAATGCTATTAATGCCAATGCCAGCTCAATGCTATTAACCCATGGAACTCGTATATTTGCTTGTCCATAACCTGAGATATTTCACTTTTGGATGTTGATGGTACCATTATATATTGGATAGTCTCTAGTCTTTGTTAAAACAGAAACTAGTGGTAAGTTTCCTTCTGGAAACCATTACTTTCTGACCATAACAGAAAAATTACAAAATATGGGCATAGAAGGAGAATGGATATCATACTTCTATCTAATGGATACTTCTATCATGTGTGCATGACAGAAATATTCATGGTAATGTACAAAATTATGTATGTACAATTTAGGTAATGTGAAAAACACATATAGAGCCATTGTAAACAGCAGTCATTTTTTATGCTGGAGATTATTACTTTTTTTTGGCACTGTCCACCGTATTCAGAATTTTATCATCGCAGATCATCACTTTTTCTAACTAAAAATGGTATGGTTTGGCATTTTCTATAAGGATTCAGTTATGGTAGAATGTTTTGCAATTATCTGATGGCTTATTTCTTGTTCAGATTGCTCAATGACAATACAGATTTTTAAAAATGAAAGTGGAATCTTATATCTCTGTGGTCTGCCAGCATATATCTCTTATCAATCCTCCCCCCCCCCTTTGCCCATTTGAAGTCTTAACCACAAACTAGTTTAGCAGTACAGGACCTGTATGTAGCCAAATAGATTAATGAATTTCACATGGGTGCTCAAAACCTGAAGCAGTGCTGTTGTCATTCTGATGATTTTTTTAATACTTGGCATAATTCATCAGCATCCTATTAATGGATATAAAGAGGAATGAGAGGTAGCCTTTGGGAATAAAGGGTGAAGGTTTGCTTGAGCTAGGGCCATGGGGGACATTCATACCATCAGGTTTTGTCATTACTTGGTTTATGACCTGACAAGTTGCTGTAATCCATTCATCTTCCACTGGATGGGAGCAGTCTAGGATGCTTCCCCATCCAATATTGAAAGTTTACATAATTCTGTCAAACAACTCTTCTAATGTTTATACATGAAGTATTTTTTATCTGTCCTGTTGTGTGACCACATCTGTCTCACTTGTAGGTGCCAAGACACACTTGGAGTTGAACTTCAAGTGGATCTTAAAATGATCCTGACAATATTTTCATACATTCAACCTTGTCATTGAGCATACTGATTTTCCCACCATTTTCAGATGAAAGCAGTAATGATTCTGAGTATGATCAGTAGCAGATGCAAGTACAGAATTTCAATAACCAAATAACATGTACAAATCCCATATTTTATTTTTTTCATAAAGGAATCATTCATCTTTTGATCTATTCCAGAAAGTAGATCCTGCTGAAGTTGAGAGGTGGGCCTCGACGATGAATGCTCAGTTCGACGAGATTGACAAGATGGAACTCTGTGTTGAATAAGTGTCATTAGCATGTTTGTACAAATCTGAGAAATCCATGCTCCTCTTTTTGCTGTGCGTGTTCTGTGAGTGACACTTGTATTTACCATCTTGGGACACATTATATGAATGTGAAGTGCTTCTCAGAGGTATTTGTATTATTCTAATAAATGAAATCCTCAAATAATACTGATTTATACACATTATACTATGTATATTTTATGTTTTGACTGTTTTATTGTTCCTTTATATTGTGAGGTGAAGAAGTGGAAAAATTTTAAACACTAACAAGCTCTTATATAGAAGTATATTACATGCAACAGGAAAGCTTTTGCATATAAAAAAATTATAACAGAATTTGGCATATTGTTAGATCTTTTTGCCATAACTGAGGAATATGTCAATTTTTGTTCATGTTTGGTTCAACCAATATCATTGTAATTTGTTTGTTTTTTTTACATAGAATTATAATTTAATTTTAATATAATTATAATTTTTTTTATAGAATTGTATAGAGTCTTTTGGAATTAGGAAAGATTGTACAATTATATTTAATTAACAAAGACTTCTGAGACCAGCTACAAAGCTTTCAATGGTAAAGCTGCAGTAAATGTTAACACTTTGACTACCGAGGATTGAAACGTGCAGCCAACCTCTCCTTGCCAAGCACTTTTCAGAACAGCAGTAGAGGTTCACTGCCCTGAACATGTAAGACTGCCAGGGCACAGTGGGTTGTGTGTGTGTGTGGGGGGGGGGTCAGGCAATAATAGAGTGGCGCAGAAAGAAATCTTCAATTAAGGCATCTCTGCACAGCGTCTTTCAAGGAAGTACAGGGTGGGGCAGGTAAATTGGGACAAACTATAATGGAAATTAAAAAGACATGTTTTGCAAGCAAAAATCAGTATATTGAAATGAAAATTGGCACAGAAGCAGTTCAAATGATACAGTTTTGAATTATTCAATGTAGTTTCCATTGTTGGCGACGACAGACTTGAGGCGAGTGCGGAAGGAAGCACAGGCCTTGGCGACGATGGCCTTGTCCATTTGGGTCATCACCTTGTGAACCGCATCCTTGACTGACTGGATGGTGTTGTGGGGGACTTTATATTCAAAACTGTATCATTTGAACTGCTTCTGTGCCAATTTTCATTTCAATATACTGATTTTTGCTTGCAAAACATGTCTTTTTAATTTCCATTATAGTTTGTCCCAATTTACCTGCCCCACCCTGTATATGATGTTTCACTAATTTGAACCCAAAATCTTTGGAAAATCAATCTCGCAATTCCAAATGTTTACTCTTTCCTGCAGCCAAGTAGATCCCATGTGCTATTTTGTTCATAATTCCAGAAGTACCCATGTACGAAACACATTTTGTCATTCATGTTGATACAACTTGCTGAAAATAAACTTTCCACGGTTTTATTCCTAATACAAGTACCAACTTCTGGGAAGAAGCAGAATAGTGCTGTCTAATGCCAAAAAAAGATACAGCCCTGAAAAGTCAGAAAATTGCGAATTTTTCACCCATCCCTGGAATTACCCCCTTGTGACTTACAGGGAATGGGATCACCAGCTGCAAATAATGCATAATTTTTGTTAGGACATCAAATCGGTCAGATTTTTGACAATATTGAGGGACATTTCAGTGATGTCAATTTGACAGTATCGGAATGGCATTTTGTTCGCCACATCTGCAAAATATTATTACATTTTCATGAGTCTGGGTTCCTATGTTTGTGGGAAAATTTTGGGATAAATCTGAGACACTATATTTTTTTGGCCTATTATTGCCTGCTAATCCACTGTGCTGGGATTGCAATGTCCAGCCAAACTCCCTTTGCAAAGCACTCCTCCCGCGCCGAACACGCCATATGGCGTGAACGTCAGTGAAAGTGTTAATACATAACACTTATAATAATATATAACACTTAAGCCTGATCCATTTACAGTTTTTCATTTCTTACTCAGCCTGTCACTGGAAACACGCATGGATAGACCTCCAGACCATGGAGGTCTTTGTGAATTGGGTTTTGCTTTGCACAATCTTGCCATCCAGCTGTTCTGCGTCCGAGGGTAATAACTGAATTTAGAGGCTCTGCTTGCCGATATCTTGGTCCGTCCTAGGAAACCATATTGGAACACCCACAGTTCCTAAGATTTATTTAAAAAAAAAAAAGGAGCATACATGAAGTAGCAATTGAAGCAGGTAGACCTGCTATTGGACAAGATCTTTCAAGTCAATGAATCAAACTGACCGGATCTACCATGACCCTAAACCAAGTCGCCGCGGAATCGGTGCGATTCACGACCTCTATTGGTCCAATCACGAAATGACGTCTTATGAAAACGAATACAGTCCTAGCTACTTTACATTTTGTGGCTTTGAGATTTTGCTTTGGATCTTCACACGATGACGTGTGCGATTTCGGAAATTTTCAGTTCTGGACTGAGCATTCTGCATTCAGTCATTTGTTCATTGTCTGAGTGAATTCTGGAAAACTATTTCGAACTGATTTGCGCTGACGAGTACTTCCGAGACAAGCTGTCGTTTCGGTCACTTGTGGAATAGTGTCGCCGATGCATCTCCACGAAGCAGAGCCGGATTAAGGGGGGGAGCAAAGGGGGCAGTTGCCCCGGGCCCCACTCTTCCAGGGGGCCCCCGAAGGAAACTAAAAACGTTAAGTACAAAAGAAGTATTGTATTTGCGTGAAGTAGGGGGGGGGGGGGGGCAGGAATTCACTTGCTCCGGACCTCGCAACTTCTTAATCAGGCCCTGCCACGGAGGTAGGATTTTCTCTGTAGTTTCTCGTGTTAAGCCCAGGATAGCAAGCTGAGAACCTAAAGTAGACTTATTCGAAGTAGTTTTTGGTGCTCGCAACTGTTCAACTTTTGATGACTTGGCCCTCAGGACAACTCATGCTGCTCTTGTTGCTTCCTGCTGGCTTCCCGATGCATGATGGCGAATCACTCATTGAGTGATTCGCCAATGAGTGCTGAATAGCAAAAAGTTCCAGCTATTCATTAGAGATTGGGAAGATTTGATGAGAAATGCATTTCAGCTGAGGCAAAGAAGAAACTTGAAGTCGATGCTCTGTTGTCAGCAAGCTAGTCCTGTCATCTCTCGGGTGATTTCTGTATGCCACACTTCCAGAATCTTTCAATAGATGTCGTGCATGCTCTAAGGCCTTGTGGAAGCCCAGTCTCGACTCCAGACAGCAGTGAAGGGGGTAAAGACGCCCGTGCTCCATGATCATTGTCATGGATTATCGACTCAACTGACCTTGGCTCTCATGACAACAAGTCGCAGTATCTCACGTTTTGTTGCCTTACATCTTAGGCTTTTAGATTCAACTTTGCCATCGTTACAGAGAGAGGCAAGTTATGCCTCTTCCTGGGCTACGATGGAAAATTTTAATTCCTAAAATCCCAAGATGAACTAAATGCAATATTTTGACTCGGGATATAATGCGAGTCATTAGTTAACTTCATGTGATGCATCTATAGACTGGGGCTCACGATTTGTGCAGATTGATTAGGTTTTAAATTGTTTTAAAATGATAAACCGTGATTAGTCTGATATCTTTAGCTCCCTTATGTTCACTTTTTAGTCCCACCTCGGCTAGGTAATGCATTTTTAGTCATTTTCAATTGTCATGACATGAGATTGAGGCGACTGCGTCTTCTTCGTTTGGTGGATACATGCCAAATGTAGTTTCCTTTGGTTCCCTAGAATTTTTTGCTTCCTTTGCCAAATTCAGAGAGGGTATAATGAATTGGTTGGCTTTAGATTGGTCAATCGATTAAATGAATATTTTGATTAAATGACTGAAGCCCGTGTCAAACCAGTTTTTTTTTTAAGTTTGGGAAGGGCTCGAGCAGGGCTGCAAAGATCATGCAAAGACCTTTAAAACCTCTTTGTGATGAGGAGTCAGGATGAACACATGTATCAATGAATTTGAGCGCTTGGGGCCTGAGATATGAATTATATGCCGGAATCGATTCGTGATCTTGAGAAAGGGCAAGTTCGATCCGTGGAATCGGAATCTAAGATCAAACGTCACATTTCGATCCTGAGACCGATTCCGAAATTGATGGCCGCATGCGTTATATTCGCTTATGCTGACCATCATGGAGGTTCCACTCGCTTCTCGCTAAACCGCGACTTCGGCTGCTCCGGGAAACGTCCTTGTTTTTCATTCCAGACTACCGGAATGGCATTGACTTCCATAAAGGCATTGACTTCCATAGAAGGAATGAGATAAAATCTATTGTCGATGAGCGATGGCGCGAGCAGCATCTGTCAACGTCGGGAGATAGGACTGTCATCCTCAAGGTTCTACATCGGTAACAAAACGGCTCCTGTGCGGAGTATGCCCAAAAGTGCTTCCTCGCATTCACCAACGTCTTAGATATCGTTAAACGTATATCGAGTTGAATAAAAGCGTCCATGACCCCGACGCAATCTGTGCACGAGGTCGAGAGCAATCGGTCAAAAAACTGTGATGGGTCCCAAGGTTGCCCTAGTAATCGGTTTTACTACCGCCAGGTTTCTCCAAGTCATTTTCATCTAAGCAATTAGCATTCTCACTCTAACCCTTAAATGAAAAATTGGTGATTGAAAAAATAATGTTAAAATAGTGGGGGCCGTCTCGTTTCATCGTGTTAATACAGATTTTTGCCAAATAACTCTTGACTACTTGCACCAGATTGGATGGAATCCATGTACATAATTATTCTTCTACTTGAGATCCATCTACTTTTACTAAAGCTGTACCGATGCATTGGCAACTATCGATATGACAATATCGGCCATCGGGGAATTAAGAGAACGAAAAAAGTAGAAAAAACACTTGAACGCAGTTTGATAAACGACTTGTAACAGCAATAGGAGACTGTCCTGATACATCGATCGATGCCGCTATCGTTAGTTGGAGGCGTCCATGGTTTTATTACCCATCGCCATGATTACCCCCCCCCCCCCCCTCCACATCACCTGTCACGGACAGGTGATGAAGGAAGACTGAAAGAGTCCTCGCCCGATCGCGACGAGAGATGACAGAATCGGCCTACACTCCCCCTTCCGATCCATCGATGTGCAATCGGTAGTTTTGGCCTATACAAAGACGTTTTCAAAACAGCCGTACTGACAACCACAAAAAAAAAAAAATAGAAGACTGACTTCCTAATAGGCCAACAAAAAAAAGTTATATCATGGTTCTTCTCTCACTATCCGCGTTCCACGATCGACATAGGCACTGGCAGATGGGTATGTGATCATAATCGGCCATCGATACCGCTCTAAATTTAACCTCTGACTTCAGTCGACGAGAGGGGGTGATAACCTTTGGGGTTTTCAGCGTTCTCCTTTGAGGATTGAGTTACTCAAAACTGGTTTCACCTCGTCCTGCTGAGTTGAAAAAACATTTCACGCTCCTCGTTATCGTTGTAGCTTCCACGGCGCTATTGAGTCTACGTCCTTTGGCGTTGATAGAATTACTAGTTAGATAGGATTATCTCTTTTATACCTGCATCGTTAACGCTGGTTCCGTCATTCATGATTGTGCGATTGATTCTGTATTTTATTACTGTTTTCTGAGATAGTTGGATTCCCGGAAATCTCAATATGCATTAAAACCAGGAATTGATGAAAGGATTGATGGTATCCGTCTCGACAATGAATGGAATTCGGGGACATGACCCGGAAGGACGAGGATTTCCAAGAACTGGGAGCTGAATCATTCCGCTCGTGACCGCGTGGTCGATAGAGGAGAGAGGCAATGGCCTACTTCCGCCGTTCCGACAAACGAGCAGGGAGGTGGGAGGCATGCAACCGCATGGCTGTGGGTGAGGCGTTTCCGAGAACAGCTGTGGCCCTGGGCAGGGCAGCCGCTGTTGGTTGTGACGTAGGAGGAGTTCTCCTGTTTGATTGGTCGAGACTAGGGGTGACGTCAGCTTGCTCGGAATAGCTGGGGCCATGGTGACATCACGAGAAAGGGAAAGGGAAGCAAGCAAGCGCTCGTGGAGTGCTGCTGGTGTAGGCCTAGTATAAAATTCAGGGGATTCCCCATTCTCAATCTCAGATGACTCACCGCCCGGCGAGAATCTGATCGAAGGACAACCTCACTATCACGTGGCTACGCATTCATTCATCTCGAACGTGTGCAGACTCGTTGCGTTCGAGGTGAGGGCATCATCCTACACGTAGGCTACCCTTACGTGTGATGTTCCTGCCTTCTGACTCCACTGATAGTAGTGACGTTAGGCCTACGCTGATGGTCACCAACAGATCCAGCTTGAGATCCAGTGTAAGCTCGAAGAATCAACAGCCGAGAGTGAGCCAAGCTACAGTTTTACGGACTATGGCGAATGGAAGTACTCATTCATCGGTGAGTGTAGTAAAGATGACTCATTGGCGATCCCCTGCCAGTTAGTCTAGGTCTGTGCACGTCTTATCTTGTTTATCAGTGACCCAATGAAGTTACGTTCGGGGATTTATTGCGTTACTTTATCTCTGGGTTGGTTTAGGTCTCTAGGTCCATCTATGTTTTGATAAGGCCCCTTTTCTTAAATCATGGGCTTTACTTTCAGCTTGACCTAAGGTAGGGAAAAAGTTCCATTTTTTCTTTTTTCCCCTTCACCCTGTGGCTCTGAGCCCCAACTCAGAGCTCCTCTGGCCTTGGCTTGTAACTTTCAAGCACCAGCATTTAACCTTAGCTGTTTTGTTTATGCTAACATTAGGTTTGGATCCCCACTCCTTATGTGGTCCAAGGCCAATATTAGTTTTTTCATCAGAGTCTGATGTTTTTAGATACTCTTAGTCCCTTTCTGTGCATGGGTGTTTGAGTCAAGTGGAAGGCACTATAGATGTGTCAGTCCATCTGAGGGGGAAGGGGAGGAATTCTCTATGGAGTCTGTACAGTAAGAAGTGAAGATTTCCTTTAATATTCCCCCAGGGCGAAAATTGACTCCAGTCCAAATTTTACAATTAAAGCCATGCTACCACATATTTCCTTCAAGTTTAGGATAGGAAGGAATAATTGTCAGAAGGTGCAGTGCAGTCAGGATGTGATTCCAAAACAAAAGAAAATCTATTTAATAAAAGTGATGCAAAATGAACTAGAATGGCAAAGGTATGTTGTCATGACAGATGCAATGAAGACAATTGATCTCTGACCTGAATAAATAGGATGTGGTATATGTGAACACCACTGGAATCTGAAAAGGTGAAGTAGTCAACAAATGAAGTTGTGGAAAGGAAGACCCAAAAGGTTACCAAAATTTTCTTTTAGGAAATTTGTCTGCTTTGTGCATCATAGAGTGCATGTATTCCATTAATTAAAGCTGGCAGTTTGTTTTCACCAGGAACTCTTTCTCTACTCACATCCTATAGTAGAGTGTAAGCCTTTGAAACATGTACAGTTGTGCATTTCCCTGTACACTTAGATTCTTGAGGCAATCAGCCCTTTGTGGAATTGTCACATCCTGATGGTGCTTCTCTGTGGCTTATATATTCACTTCCCTTCTTGCATATCATGGTGCTTCCTGTGAAGGGGTCACATCCTGGATGGTCTACTATGTTCATAGCAAGCCATGGGAGCCTCTCTCTCCCTCCCTTTTGAGAGGGTGTAGAGCAGCAGAAATGTACATACTCAGAGAGAGAAGGTTTAATTCAAGTTTTTCCAGAAAGCAGAGATAGATCTGCAACTTTTCAAGACATTATATGATATATTAAAGTGTAGCTCTTGTTTGACCAACAAGAGCTTGGGGGTTTTGTGAACTGGGAACCATGGAAAGGAATTATCTTTTTTTTTTTGTAGAATTGGAATTGCAAAATATTTTAGGAATTTCTTTAGAGTTGGAATTGAATATGATCATGTGAATTTTGAAGTCAAACCTGCAATTTCTGTATTTGCAGTTTGTTTCCTTATCACAATGGTGAACCTGACTAAATAATGTATTTCATTACATTAATCAGAAGTTGAGTTTTATAGTAGGAGTCCTAAGATGTGTATTCCATGGGACAGAAAGTTTGAGATTGATATTTGAATAATTTTGTGAACAATAAACATGACCATTCTTTTTCGTTCCTGTTGGGGTTTGTAAAGGAAGGCAGTGATTTTCTGGAGCAGAAGTTTCCAATTGGCCAGTCCATTCACTGAATCATGCCTTTTGAGCCGGAGCGTTAGCTCCTTTTTTTCTAGTTGCTAGAGCCAGTCGACTGAAAACAGCGAAACTCGCACCAAAAAATTGTACGAATGGCGCATTTTCGTGACATTTAAAATAAATTTTAGGTTCACGGGGAAGCGCTGAAAATGTAAATAGCACGGCTGCTTCTTGTCAATGGTTGGCCTACATGGGCATGCAACTCGTTAATGCTCACGGAACGCTTATTACGAGGATTTCATGGAATGTTGTCTGCGCAAAGCCGGAGACATCGAACACAAGGGATTCAGCGAGTTGCCTGACCAGCTATGATTTCAGCATGGATCGAAAGTATCGCGAAGAGACGATCCTTATCCATTCTAGCTATCAGACGGAGACGGAGCAGACAACGAGCCATGTCATAACAGGCGTAGCCTTCGAAGTGAGGAAAAGACAGTTCAGAAACAGGTTTAGCATGTTTTTCCTGACCGGGATTCTCTTTAGTATGAGGTACATTCAAGACATTATACTTTCTCATGTCTACTCTGCCTTGGTAGGGAAAAAATACTAATTTCGCCTTGTTACTCGAAGTGCTTGCTACTTGCTAGACACTAGGTGAAAATGGGTTAATTTAATACAGAATGAGTGAAGGACTGTTATTTGCTTCGTGTCTTCACAGGGGGAGACAAAAACGATGTTTATTCACCGTAAATTGGTTGATGCTTGTGAAAAAAATTTCAATATAATGCAAAAAATTTCTGTTCAGAAACTTGCGTGGACAAATACTTTTAATTTTAGTAGGTATGGGTTCGGCGATTCCCCATTATGTTGAGTGTTCTTTGGTATACTCAACTAGTAAGAAGTTTCTGCTGCTTTCCAAAAGTGGTTCTATATCAGAAGATATAGTGTGGAATTTTGAACGGAGAATTATCCGATAATGCAGCTTTATTCCAAGGATAATACATGGCATTTCAAAAATCCACCCGTATATTCGGGTGGATTTTTGATGGATGTCAAGTACGGAGACAATTCCGTAATAGGAGCTAATATTGAACGATTTGCCATTGTTTGCAGAACTTTTTAAAAGCATAACGTGAGAACATTAGGAACTTAAACGGAACCTAGCGTAGTGATCAGACATAAATAATAGATTTGGAGAAAATGAGATCTTTGTCCTTTTTGGTGCTTTGCTTAACCCTGAGATTCATGTTTATTTTTCTTTTGTTTCCTTTTTCCCTCTACCCTCTTTTCCCATGGCTTTAGATAAAGCTGATATGTGTTCGGTTTTGTTTTTTTTTTTTTCTCAGCCAGAAACTAACTTCGTTTATGTAAAGGTTTCTTTTTTTAAAATGGACTTGAGATAAGGTGACTCGTTTTTGTGGAAGTATGCCCGTTGCCGCTTCATTCTCAGAGTGCTTAGAAACATGCTCAGTCCTTGAGGCATCAGCATTTAGAGGTCATGTCTTGTGGTTTGATAGTTTCGAGTGTGCCTGCTTCGTGGAGGCATCGCTGGCTGTGTCTGCCTATTGCGTTTCCAGGGCTTCGCTGAAACACTTCTCTTTCGTCGCTCGGCAGGTGTGGCCTGGTGGGTCGCTCTAATTACAGCATTTCCGAATGGTTTAATGGCGATGTTGACGAGACTTAGGGCTACGGGAGACTAAGGAAACACCCTTGGAAACACGATGTATGCGTGTTTCGATACGGATGTGACAGCTAAAATTGTAAATGAAATCTTGGAACTATCCCTGATCTCAATCCAACGCTCGTGCCCTCGATGGATTGATTCACTGTTATGGAATGGAATCTAATTCTATCAGGCCAGTTCATTTTCTCGAGCCCTCTGATGGATTCGGGGCTGGCATAGTCCATAATGTGATGGTTGCCAGAAAACACAGGAATCGTGCCATTCAGAGGCCTAATCTTCTGGGCTTTCTAAGGCTCAAGGAGGCTCTTGTCAAGCCTTTTTTCTTAACGGTTTGTTATTATACAGTTGAAAGGAAAAGAGAGTAAAACTACTTCGCCCTAGGGGATCGCCATTATGCGCTGCTTTGAAACGTTCAGCCTCCACGAACGCTACCAAGGTCATGAACTGAAATATGGAAAGTAACTGGGAATGCATCCATGAACAGGATATGACAGAACTTTATGAGAATGTGTCCATTCAAAACGACCTTCACAGCGTACCGGAGCATGTTACTTTCGGTAGAAACGTGCGCGGGAAGTGAGTCTTCCGCGAAAGAAGTTTGTAGAGACCAAATCTTATGAGCAGATGATGAACATCCCATAAGGATGTTCAGCTTAGCGCAGAGACACAAATAGCAACTATAAGTGATTCTATATTGTGGTGGTTTATGGCAATCCTGTTAATCGTGTATTTTCTCAAGGTTACCTTCTTTTTCCAACTGGAATGGAAATTTCATTAAAATATTAAACGTGTTTCAAATTATGCAATCTTACCGACAGAATTTTCTTTGCTTGTGATTTTCATGATATTCGATTGAAGCCTTTGACTTCATCCACGTTTATTACATGGAGTGAGCCATGCCATCCTTTCGCCGCAGTTTTGTCGCACTTATCAGTCTCTTTCTGATGCTTGCCTCCCCGTCAATAAGGGTAATTATCTGTTTTAGATAAAATATTTCACACGTGCCAGAAACAGGCAACGAATAACCCTTTTGCCGGATACGTTATGGTGCGTGTGGAGTAGACCGAACCCGGAAAAAGTCAAGATGTGCTCGCAGCACTGACTCGCACATGGGATCCTGGCAGTATCAATAGATAAGGGGCACGTGATATCCTTGTTGATAGAAGAGAGAGAGGAGCAAACACTCGCGTTGCGTCACGCCCTGACGTCGCAGATTCTCCCTGCTTTGCCCCAGTCGCTTCTCCTCAGTTTCTCCCATTGTGCCGTCCCTTGCGAATCTGTTCTATTTATGGTTATCTGGCTCGTTCAGGTGAGTGGGTTGAAATATGGAGAGAGCGAGAGGCTAGATTTATCTTATTGCATACTTCTTGGTTCCAGGAATGGGATGGGGCTTTATTACTGTTATGGTTTCTTTGTGACGGATTCCTGGAATTTCCTCCCATCTCCTCTCCCTCCATTTCTTTGTGGCCTTCAGTTTGTGACTGGCTGATACAGGAACTCGACCCGTGTATGTTTCTCAGGTGGTGTCCGGGAACGGACTGAATAGCGGAGTGCCGACGCAGACCACGCCGACCCTCACCCCGACCACTTTGCGGAACATCGAGCAGAGTCTGACGGGAGCCCTGTTGGAATTGCAGAACCTCCCCGAGCCCTCTCCCCATTCCAGTCAGGCCGGCTTTGTGCCGCCACCGGTTCAGCCTGCGTCCCAGACGCTCTCGAAGACTGCCGGTGAGTTATATTTTCTAGAACTCTCTGGCGCCATGTCTCGCTCACTTTCAAGTCCCGTGCCAAAAGAATGTGTGGTCTCCTGGGACCCTGGCCAGGCCAACGTAGACAAAGGGAAAAGGGAGGCTTTGCCGGCTGACGAAAATCCCTTCTTTTTGGCACATATTCAAATCGAGAAAATCTCTTGGGATCTTGCAAAAAACGTAGTTACCGTTCCATACCAGCGAAGCTGAAGAGTGGAGACTAAGTTTCTTTCGAGTACAAGAAGAGCTCGCTGGTGTTTTACAAAGAGAAGCTTCAATCACGAATGTGACTTGCCTGTAACTATTGAGATAAGATCGAGATAAGAGTTTCACGAGGAATGTACTGGGTGGCCAAAAAAAAGAAAGATATTAACATCGCTTTCTCTGTATTTTGAGTTTTCACAGGGACTTTACTATTCTAAGGACTAGAATCCCATGCAAGGATGACATTTTCCCTTAAAGATTTCTTTGCGATCGGCAGATATTCTGCATGACATTACTTTAGAATGAGTGCTGTGCTAACTGTCATCTTATGTAGCAGAGGTATCGTTCTTATGAAATCCTTCAGTGGAATGTGATTGGACGAATTTGTACAACTGTAATGAAGCTGACAAAAATGAAATCTAGCTTATTATCGCAGAATGTTAATGCTTTTCTGAAAGCAACATGTTATCCTTTCGATTTCCTGAGTGATACAGAGGCTGATGGCCATACACATTCCCTCTGTAATTAGTGGATGTTGGTTCTGGAATGGCCGTTTTGACCAAGCTTTTCTTTGTTCCTGTAACACTGCAAATTCTTCTGGAGCTGCCCATGACACGCTTGTTGAAGGCATTCAGAGGATCTGGCTTTTTTTCCCTCTCACTTCAACATTAATCCCACTAGCTAATGGGGCAGGACAAATTGAAGGTTTTCAAAGTAGTAATTGTCAAGTAGTGCTCACTCATTCTGAACCCATGCCCTTCTATTCCTGAAGCTATACCTTACTCAGGCTTCATGATTTCCTGTCATTTTAGTTTACATGCATGTCTAGGAAAGAGGTATTATGGGGGGTCCTGGTTCTTCACTATTTCCTTTGTCTCTGCCCTGTTTTGTCTCATAGGGACTGATGGTAGCTTCACTGGCAACCAAAGATAAGATAGAAAAAATTCCCTTGTATACTGCCTGATAATCAGTGTGGTTAAATATGTTTCTCACGTTGCTGATACTCTTTGGGTTGATTATGATTTTGCTTTTTTAGAAGAAAATATTAATGTTAAAGTGGTGTATCACATGATTTACTAATAGCCCATCTTTGATTTTACTGAGGTAATGTTCAAGTGAAAAAGCAAATGATCTGGAAAAAAAAGTCAAATATTTTAAAAATTGTTCTTATATGTTAGCTGTGATGATCATGCTTCTCACCTGTTCTAAATTTACAAGCATTGTATGGCTGCCTATTGCATCAACTTCTTGAAATTTTAAGATGAAGCGAAGATTCTAATTCTGTATCAATGGTGATTCTGAAAATGTGGAATTTAGTTGAGTCAGTTTCTGAAAAGGTTCAAAAAGGTTTGTGGAGTGTTCATAAAAATCTAATATATGTAGTAGAGGATTGGGAGTTTAATCTTCCATGTGTCGTTTTTTTAGCAGTCTATGACAAAACTTGCAGAGCTCTGCCAATTTTTTTTTTTTTATTAGTATTACACTTCCATGGTCTTTGCCACTTGACCTGTTCTCCCCACTTGACTGTAGGCATAGCATCAGGGCTAAAAGGAGAGCTTTTTTCAGGAAAATAAATAAAAGGAGGAAGATGGGAGTTGTGTGACATGATCATTCCTATGTTGCAAAGAAAATTGGTTTAATTCAATGAAGGCCATCCTTAAGGAATTCCTAATTCATGGTGTAATGCTGTTCTGGGTTATATTTGTGATGTTATTGCTTGAATTTGCTATGAGCTGTCATGCTTTTTCCCCATGTTATATGCATTAACTAGATTGATTAAAATATAACTTTTGCTTGATGGTCCATTAAGCCAAATTATCTTTGAGTAGAATTTATTTGAGCTTGTTTCTTGGGTTGTTAAGCATTTACTTTTTATATAATTAAAGATGCCCTGTATATTTCTAATTTGGAATCCATGCACTGGCATATATTTACTATGAAGGATTTGAGGTGGTGCAAGCTAAGGAATATTTTAAATTGGAATATTTTAATATGTTGATGCATCTCATTTCAGGAGGTGATAGTGTGATTACAACCCTGGATAGCAAGTCGTGGCAAGGAGGCAGTACACTGATAGTGAAGTCAGAACCCACTTGTCGTCCATCACCAAGCATCACACCAATATCATCCTCGTCTTGTTCCTCCCCACCTCCCACAATGGCTCCTATGCAAAATAGCAAGGCTTCTAAAAATACACCCAGGAAGACAGGAGGTCGCAAACCTACCAGAAATGAGAAGGTAATTTTCATCTACCTGTCTCATTCCATTCTGATTTTACCTGTTTTTCCATTTGAATTTTCAATTCCCACAAATTTATATGTCCTTATACTTTTTTTTATTGTTCTGCTAAACAGTTTTTTCCTTCATATGATGAGTGTTTAATGCATTGAAGTTTATTGCTTTGATTATGGCTGTTTAATGCAAACTTTTGTGACAGCTGACGCCAGAAGAAGAAGCTCGGAGGCACATGCGTCGAGAAAGGAATAAACAAGCTGCTGCAAGATGCAGAAAACGGCGCCTGGATCATACCAATGCCCTTCTCAAGGTGAGCCATCTTTAATGCTTCAGTGTATCATATGGCATGTGTGGTATGTGGTATGCCTAAGAAGAAGAGGTACAGATGACAAGAGTAGTTAGGGTAGAAGGGCAAAGAGGATGCTATCCACTGAATGAGTAAACACCAGTGCAACATACTGTATGCCACTCAACCTCCAGACTGTTAAAGATACTGTATGTCCTTCTTCGACTGACTATAACCATCTTCTCAAAATTCTTCACTTGTACATGTATTTGACAAGGTCTTTCTCAGCATTCTTCACAGTCAACTGTTCTCTTCTAGGAGACGGAGGGTCTTGAAGACAAGAAAATGTGTTTGCAGAATGAAATCAAACTTCTACAGAGCCAAAAGGAGGAACTGGAATTCCTTCTTCAGGCTCACCGATCCAACTGCAAGCTGCTACGTAGAAATGCCCGTTGCAATGCAGATGCATCTGGAGACAAAGAAGGGAGGAAAGAGAACAAACCACTGGACTGTAGCACTGAGAAGCCTCAACGCCCAAATTCTCTCCCATTTCGCACATCCAACATGAAAAATGTTACCGAGCTTGCTGGAGTCCCAATTGTGACGCCCTCATCTGGGATGACATTTACCTTTGACTCCTTTGTGGAGAGTGGAACTGGGTTAACTCCACTCACAACCACTGTTACCCCTCTAACCACCACAATTACCTCGGATTCCCTCAATACTCCATCAGATGCCACTTGTGGTAACCAGCAGAGGTCTTCTGGCCCTGAAGTCACTAGCATGGAGTCCAACCCACCAAAGCTTGTCCCTCTCTGAAAGAATGCAAGGAACCTGTATCACAAAGTACAAAGACACGTCAGCAACTGACTTCATTTCTGTGACTGGAAAGAGTCTGTCTCAGTTCAGTTCATCTGCAGTTAGTCAGTGTTTTGGTGATTTACAGTCACATTGTGTGCTAATGATGTGTCACTCAAAGTCAAATTTTGTTTCCAATTGCTATGAAAAGCCAAAGTGTTTATGTTTACTACAATATGTTTAGATATTTTTCTTTGAAAATATTTTGAAACCAAAAAGACTTCTCATTTTAATTTTTTCAGCATTGATATGGGCCGCATAGTGCACTTGCCTTTGCATGCATAATTGAGATTCTTTTTCCTTTATGGCTTGAAATTATTTGAATACAGATGCCAGATTATTCATAAATGTTTTCTCCTGAGTTTTTTTTCCAGACAAGACATTAATTTCCCTGGGAAGCTTTTTAACAATGACCATTGCAAATTATTCTGTTCAACTTCTTCTCTGCAAGACCAAAGTATTCTCTTTACTACAACTGGTCAGAAACCTAGCAACATGATTCCACATTGGGAAATGATGCCTATTTCCCTCCTGCCTATCTTGATTGGTTGATAACGTCTAAACCCACCATGGTTATCATGTCAGTTCACCAATTATGGGCTTAGAAATGCCCAGGTTGAGTTCTGTATTTTTTAAACTGACCCTTTGCATACTTCCTGGTGCAATGATGCTCATGTGCCTCTTCCTGCTCTGGTAGTGCCCATAAAAGCCCTTTTTTTTTTAGACTGAAGTCTATTCTGTGGACTCTTATGAGCCTTATAATAAGCAGTTACATTGGTGCCACTGCATACAAATACAAAACTAAGCGCACAAGACACAAATCACAAATGAAGAGCCTTTGGAGGGTTAGAATCTTTCTCATTCAGAGTTAACGTCAGTAGAGCCTGTTCTTGTCTGATAGGACTATATTTAGGCATCGATCCAGAAATCAAGGTCAACAAGGAAAATCTCTGCGGGGTATCTTCAAACATGATTAGCAATTCTTATTTTCAATGTGCAGCATGAGTTCCAAGCAGGGCCGGCCCTAACTTTCGGTGCCCTGTGCAAAGAGACTCCCAACGCGCCCCCCCCCCAAACCCCACACCCCCTTCCCTACCCTACCCTCTTTCAGAGTAGAATCAATCCTTAACGTCCGAAAAGACGTCGAAAGGGAAGGCATTTCCACTTTCTGAAGTAAAACTGTGGGTGGCATCCATAATAGCTTTATTTATTCGGACACGTTTTGACGCCCCCGGTGAATTTGCGCCCTGTGCGAAGGCACATGTGGCACATGCCTAAGGCCGGCCCTGGTTCCAAGTTTGCATTAATATTGCTGAGTGCTGCGAATGTCGGCAACGAGGGTAATCTCGGCACTTCGTGATCGTTAACCTGCTTTCACTACTAGTCCTCTAGGTACGGGGAGGAACCCATTCTCAGATGGTGAAACGAATGTTGTAGGCTTGTACTTGGAACAATACTATTTGCTGTTGCAGTTTTATCGCAGTGGCTGCCTTCTCTAAGCGCAATCCGAAAATCCGGCGAAATCAAGCAATTTTTGCTAAGCTTCACACATTCCGCGTCCATTGTGAACGACAGCGATACTAAGGTGTGCCGAGATTCCAGACAGGTTGGTGCCGACTGTGGCAACAAGAGTGCTGAGATTTCCAACATCCGACTCAACTTCACCTTTGACCCAGGCCCCCGGGAAAGAAAGACCAAGGACACTCTAAGTGTACGGTACAAGGAGGTATATACAGGGTGGCCCCCCAAAAAAGGCACTCTTTTCAATGTGCATTTTAGGTGTGATGCTTTCAAGGATATTTTTTGTCCCGTTACTTTAATGGAAAGAAGAAAGGCTTAGCTACAAAATGCTTTTTTCGGACTTGAAATTCGTGAAAGGTGACTTGGAAAAAAAAAATTGAATTTCGGTTGTGAAAATCGGCGTTGCGATCACCAACTCGACCCAACATCCACTCGACGTCCCGACATTCACGAAAAGGGGAAGGGAAACACTGACCTCAGCAGACGTCGCGAGATAGGTTGGATTTGCCTGCTGCCGTATGCGGTCGGCGAGCGCAACGTCGATTTCTCATAACCGAAATTCGATAATTTTTTTTATACGTCATTCTTCAAGATATTTAAAGTCTGGAAAAAACATTTTGTAGCTGAGTCTTTCTTCTTTTCATTACGTGAAACCATATAAAATATAATTGACAGCATCACACCTAAAATGCACGTTGAAAAGAGTGCCTTTTTTTTGGGTCACCCTGTAATAGAGGTATGACCCGACCCAATGTGAACGAGGAGGCTCCATTGCAGAAACCATCAGACAAGGTGGAAGTGAAAATTTTGCTTAGAGTGCCGACATTCCAAATACTCACCCTACATACTAGTGCATTCGTCGGATTTAGATAAGCAAGAAAGACCTGCCATCCGCAATTATCTTGGATGCAGAGGCGTATGACTCATGCCAGGGTGTGGTATCTTCAGTCGAGAGTTGCTTTGCCTTCCAAAGGTCAAATCGAGCACGCGAACTCTTAATCCTCCTTTCTCATGCACAACACAAGAGTATACCATTTAGTGGTAGAGGCTCCATTTGCTTTCGGCGAAATATATTATATCTAGCTCCTCTCTTGTATATACCATACGACCCATGCTACACCATGCTACGCATTGCTATCATCTTCTGTAGTTTCTTCTACCGTGTCTAGACATATGACAAATTTCGCCGAAAGCAATTGGAGCTACCTATTTAGTAGGTGTTGGACCTGATATGAAAGGGAAGAATGGCCCATGTCTTCTGTCTCTGGGATTCCCCCAATGTGAAGAGATGAGAGAGAAAAATAGAGCATCTAAAAGGCAATGCTTAACAAATGTGTGAAAGGAAATGAACAAGCTTCAAGACGGATAAACAATCAGCCTTTACCGAAAGAAGTTTGTGTGCGAAGATTGAAAGGCATCCCTGCCAATCATGGCGCCCGCGTTCGTGCGCACGTGCGACTCACCGCCAAAGTTGCCTTAAAATCGAAAAATTGAACTACCCGTCATAGGCCTTATATGAGACTGTTTTTTCCGTGAAGGATTGCAAGCCTACTTTCTCGTTTCCTAAAGGTAGGCCTAATGGACTCGTCCGAGGCACATGGGTTGCCCGTGGACACTTTCCACTTCCATTGGAAAACTGAAGAGGGGATTGAAGTTTCGAAGAACATCCCCATTCCTCGCCCTCTCTTCTCAATGGCAGAATGGGCTGCTCTCCTTGTGAAGGAATACAATCTTCCAGGTTACGTGCAGCCAAGTAAGGCCGAACATTGACCAATTAAGAAATACCCGATTGAGCGTTTCTAGCGAGGATGTGTTGGCTTGCTCTGCTTCAGTCAAGTTATAAAGTTATGCCATTTGTGCGATTCCTTATTTTTTCCTACCCACATCTACTTTTGAGGCCCAACAGTAGTAGGTCCCACTTTCATATTAAATATGCCATCTACAGGGTGTATGATAAGTTACTCCCTATTTTGAAATGCTTGTAACTCTTATTTTTAAAGGAAATTTAATGAAACAAATTGTGAATTATGCACCAGTTAGGGAGGTTTTTATTCATCCACACTTCCATGTATGCTTCCATGTCTGCATTGTCAACTTATTTCCTTAAGTGAACAGGTATGCTCCCCACTGCTGATTATAACATGCGTCGAGGTACATTATTAAGAACATTGTTGATTCGTTCTTCCAGTTCATGAAGATTTCATTCAGTTCCTTAAGAACAAGCACTTGCATGAACTGATTCATCGGGACCTCTTGTAAACATGGCGTTCCTTTTTTCTATGTTTACAGGTGTTCACAGGGTTGATGGTCGTCTTGATTTGGTCTTGTCTGTTACTGAGCGGGTTGTCATTAACTTCTGATGAGAATTCCTTATTGTCTTAGCATCCAGTGTTGTATGAGGAGCATTTTCAACCCTCCACCATCACTGGACTTTAATTATTGAGCCCTTAACCTTGTAACTGGCAGCTATTTTGTCCCTTTGTTGAACTGTTAGTCTGTTAGCCATTCTTTAACTTGAAACAAAAGCACACAAAAAATAAAAACCTCACTAATTGGTGCATATTTCTCAGTTTGTTTCTTTAAATTTCGTTAAAAAATAAGAGTTGCAAACATTTCAAAATAGGGAGTTACTTATACACCCTGTACATCACAAACTTCTACCTGCATCCCTGTATTGCTCCTTCTGAACCTGACCTTCTGCATTCCCACTCTGCCTTCCTTCACTGTTTTTGGATTGAATTGGTACCCCCCCCCTATTGTGGAGAACGGAGAAAGCACAAGATTTAGAGACAATTCACAAGATGTCAATTGTGCTGCAATGCATGGCTGTCAGATTTTTGGTATTAATTGAGCTTTTGGGATTAGTGTCAAGAAGGAAAGATGCCTTATTTATCTTGGAAATAAAATGAATGTAGTGAATGACCTTGGAAGAAAATTCTCCAGTTCTCAGGATGTCATACTTTGGTAAAATAGTATCCCATTCCTGAACATCACTGCATGTCATTTAACACTGGCCATGTGAAAACAATCAGAGCTTGCAGGCCTCTCAGGAGGAAGAGGCTTAAAAAATCATGCCTACTTATGACAATTATTGCAGCATTTCTGATTTACAGGAATTTTGTCATCCAAAAACATCAAGATGACCATATGAATCGAATGCTTATGTGTTTCATTTTCAGCATAGGAAGACACAACAGTAACAGTAAAACACATTTGATCTCACACAGAATGAATCCATTAATGCAGACACATAAAAGTTGAGGAAAAAACAGCCAACTGAAACTTGGAAGCTCTCAGTTCCAACTCCAATGGCTTTTGGTTGTCAGAATTACTTCCCCTTCCCTTGTCCTCTTTGAAAAATCTTGATTTCTTGCTCATTTTTTCTTTGTTCTGCACTCATAATCCACTTTATGCTTCTTGATTAGTTGACTATTCCATCAGTTTGTTGTCAGATACTAGGATGCTCTCAATAAAAATGACAGTTAAAAAAGAGATGAAGATCCAAATTGGCATTGATCATAAAGTGGGGAGATTCAAACTCAAAATACCATGCAGGACTCCTCGGATTGGGAATCAGAGACTCACAAAGGATTCTACTAACACTAAACCTTGCATCTGTTAGGTGTCCTGCTTACACTCGATGGAAGTGCTTCTACCAATTCAATCCAAAAGCACTATAACTCAACCATCCATATCATACTATGTATAGCATTCAAAACTCCAACCTATACTTGTGAAAACAGGCAAGAAGGAATGGGAATGAAGCTGGGACAGTTGGTATTGAAGTCTGACTAGTCAGTCTTTTTGCTATCATCTCTTCAGCATTTGAGGGTCACATGGAATGAGTATGAAGAGAAGTCTCACCTTCCATTGTGTATGCACCATAGAGTGACTGCCCTCCAAAATGGCCACACTGTTAAAAATACAAAATTTACTGGGTACTTGTCAGCCAGTAGCATGACTAAGCCTAAACTAACTAAAAACATAAGCCTATGTTCAGGAGGTTTGAATACCTGCCCACTGGATTGGCCCATTGGATCAAAGCTAAATCTTTAGTCTCTAATGTCAAGAATTAAGTTAACTGCTGACAGTAGTGGCACAAGAGTTGAGTTTCAGTGGGTGAGGGTTCACCCACAATGGCATTACTGGCTACATAATTCTGCCAAAATTATGAGGGGAGGGTGAGGGTGAGTGCCTCCCACCATCCATATAGATAAGGAGGGCATAGAGAGGAGTGACTATGTCCTGGGGTTCAGTGGTGTGGTGATAGCTAAACTGGTGCACAAATAGGAAGCCTGGGTTCGATTCCCAGACATTCCCCAGTGTTGTCACCCTGACTTCCGTGCTTTCCTACATCCAGTAGGAAGATGCCCTGTAGGTGTAGGGGACATTAGCATTTACATTAGCTATACTTGTCAGGCAACAATTTAGTCACCAGTTTGGTCCTCTACTGAACCATGGACTTGCTTTGTGTCACAGAACTGGAGTCTGCTTTGCTCAGACAAGCACAGGATATCTTGAAGCAGGAGAAGTGTGCTGAGGGTGATGAGATTCTTCAGAGCAACCTGGACATCCAGAAGATAGCAGAAAAATGGCAGAGGGCTTATGAGCAGGTGGGTGTAAGTTTAATAGTACTGTACATGTTCATTTTACAATAAGGAAGCCTAAACCTGTGAGCTGCACAATAGCAACAAGGCTGCTTGAAGTTTTTTTCTGGCTTCTTTCACTAATATTGCTGTTAAACCTGAGGTAAGCTCTTGTTAATGAGTCCACATGCATTTTGTAGGGTCTCTGTCCCATATTTTTTTCAGGAATGTGAGGAATATTCAAAACGAGAGAAAGCTACTGATGAAGAAGTATTTGCTGACATTTATCATTCCCTCATCCACTCGCGTGGCTCTCTTGCACTCTTACGAAGAGAGCATTCCTGTGCCCAAGCCACTGCCCAACTCATTCAGCGCAGGGATAAGGATCTGGAGCAGCTGTCAAGAAAGTAATTTTCTTGGTGCTAAGCATTATAAATCATTTGCAGAAATGCACTGAGTGGATTATGCTATTCTCAATCAGACAGAGTGATGAGATGGAGGAAATGATGAGAGGAGAAGGGAATGATGAAGCAGAAGTGAATGCCCTTGCTGAGAAGCATCATTTCACCCTGGAGATGGCTCAGTCCCAATGGGCCTCTCGTCTGTGTGCCCTGGAAGCTTCAGAACGGAAGGAATTTGCTGCCTGGCTTGTTGCTGTACATGAGAGCATGCATATGGAGAATGAGCAGACTGTGAAGTATGACAAATTTTTAGCTTCAGATTGATTGAAGAAATCTTTTGCATGATTGGTTTCAGTTAAGTCTTGCATTTTTTCCCCCAGGAAGCTTTTTGAACAACTCTCAAAAGACTTTGACCCAGAGGAGGACTTAGATGATGAAAAGCACAAGGACAAGGGAAGTGAAGTGAGGCAGGAGAGTTTCACAGTTCATCTTGGTGCCCAGATGAAGCAGACTCATAACCTTCGCATTCTTGCATCTGATGCATTAGCTCCATGCAGACGTTACTATAAAGTAAGACTCAGTTCATAATTCATGTCCTTGCCACCAGTTATGTCACTGAAAGTAAAATGACCTCTCTTTGCCCAGCATAACATGGCATTTATTGAAGTAAATGTTGAATGCCTTGCAGGTTGAGAGTGAAGGAGTTCCAGATCCCATTCGTATGCAGACAGCCCTTAGCCTCTATTCTAATAGCCTTCATGGCTTTGTTGTCCTTGTAGATAATAGAATTTCCTCTTATTCTGGCTGGAAGAAGGGTAAGATCAAACACTGCTTCATAAATCACCCCATAAGGTTGGTTTCTCTCTGTGTAAGGTGCATATGTCTATCTGCAGAGTTTGCATCTATTTGTGAGCAGAGTCCTGAGCTCCATTTCCCTCTCCTGGAGGAACAGTTGGAAGCAGTTAGACAAGTTGTCAAGGAGAATACCTCATCATCCAATGTGAGTCCTCACATTCTCTCTGCACAGCAAATCGGCACAGAGGCAAAAGTTGTGTTGAATGGGTCTTTGATTGCCATAGGGTCATTGTCTGTCGGTGGGAGATGTTTATGTGACTCGCCATTCCAACCTGTCTGAGGTGCATGTTGTGTTTCATCTGGTGGTGGATGAGGGTGTAATTGAGATGTCCTCAAGGCATCCAGTCATCTTGGGCTTGAGAAACATTCTCAAAGTTGCAAGTCTTTGTGATATCACCACTGTCACAGTCCCCCTCCTCCTGGCTCATTCCATTACAGAGGTGATTTGAGAGGGATTAGAATTGCTATTATCTTTTTTAATCAGAGAGGGCTTCATCTGAATGTCATTCCTTGCAGGAAATGACCATTCCATGGTGCATGAAGCGAAGTGAGTTAGTGTTGAAGTGTCTCAAGGGCTTCCTGATGGAAATGGCATCTTGGGGAGGTTCCCATATCTCCACTCTTCAGTTTGTTGTACCAAAGGTAGGAACTTCACAATTTTCCTCCCCCTTATCTCTTCAAGAATTCCCCATCCCCTGATGAGAGATTCAAATTCAGTGGATTTCATATGTATGAATTCCTTGACATATTAGGAAATTTCTGAGGATCTATTCTTGGAGTTGGGTGCCCTGCTGCCAAGTGTGTTTCGGACATCCAATCCACTCCGGGTGAAAGAAACGTCCAGCTGACGTCTCTGGCATAATTTTGGAAGACAAACTGAATCGAAGCCAATAGGCAGTGAGACAATATACTCTGAGGACTCCCTAGGTTATAGTATATCATGGTATCTGTGATATAATCTTTGCCAATTTGCATATATGTCTCATGTCAGTCCTACTTGAAGTTTATTTCTAAAATGCAAATGTTTGGAAAATGAATTCCAGATTTTATTCAAGCATGAAAACTTCTATTGTCAATGCACAACAAAGTCATACATATTGCTCTATGTACATCCCCCAGAAATGAATAAACATGATCAGGACTTGAATAGATTGTTTCCAAGATAGTGAATTTGAAGAGCATTGAAGGCCAGGAGAATGAAAGTTCTTCCTGAGGATGTACTATCCTAGGAACCTTAATTTTCAGGGTTTTTTTTTTTTTTGGAGAGATTCAATTTATGTAGACATCACTGTGTCAAAAGTATTTCAATGTTGGTTCTTTAAAATATATTTGATGTTTTACAGATGCTTAGATGATGCTTAGAAGTGTACTATCAAGGGAAGATGAATATTCCTTGACATCTGTGACCTTTGGAAAATATTTATGTTCTGCTGGGCTTGAAAGATGACCAGTTCAGTGTATGAATTGCTATCGCAGCTATGCGGACAGAGTGTCGCAGAAAGACGCCAGTTCAGGCCTCTGGTGTTTCACAGCCTCCTCACTCACAGAGGTAAGCTCCTCAAGACTTCTGTATTGGCCCTGAAACCTTCAGGCTGGGATTCATTAGTCTTCTCTTTTACAGGTGGTGGAATAAAAGAAGAACCATCAGATGCCCGTATCCAAGCCATGGCTTATGGTAAGGCATGGGAATACACATTGATGGGTGACCCTCAAGGCAAGAAACTTGAGAGTTGTCTTGCTGGATTTGAGGAGCAACCTGGGGGAGCCAAAACAAAGATCCTTCATTTTCTTCTTTTATTATCTCAGCCTGTCCCTGTGGACAAACACCTTCCCATCCAGGCAAGGAAATCTATTGGGGATCTATATCTCCTGTTCAATCAGATATGTTTAAATTTTGTATCCTTTCATTCAACAGTGTTGGCCATTGGTGGATGTTTCAAGCATGAGCCTGCTTGGGGTCCCAATTCCTATGACAACACTACGGATTCCTCGCTTAGGCCCTGTTCCAAGGAACCTCCCTTTGCGACAAAGGAAACCTTTTGGTTTTTTTAGCTGTGGCCAAGAGGTGGGCGACATTTAATGTTACTCTGGACATTATTTTGGTTTATCCTATATTATCTCTATCCTTGATTTCTTTGATGAAGGTCACAGCTCATTCAAATGAACATAAAGCAACAGTAGAGAACCAAGAAGAACTTGTATCAAGGGAGAGTGAAAATCGTCTGTTGACTGAATGCCCTGATGTTGAAGTTCATAGTCTGAGGGCTTTGGCAGTTCGTCCACTTTTGATCTTGGCCTCTTCTCCTGCCCCTGTTACTGAAGTTTGTTTTACTTCAGAAGAACTTCTCCAGTATTCCCTGGATGCTCTCCAGGGGATCCCCTCTTCACTCTTTTGCTTGAATCAGGTTGGTAATTAAGAAATTTGCTTGATTTTTGCTGATATTTCTCTGAGAAAGATAGACTACTTTTAGTGTGTTTCTCTGATAGACTGAATGTGAGCTTCATCTACTCGATGGTGCCAGCTGTGCAGGAGTAACTGCTGAAACCCTGCATCCTATCTTGGAAGATTTTGCTTCTACTGGATCTTGTGTGATTCGATTGAGGGAGTCACCTGTTGAAGGTGTGCGACAAATACTTCAGATGCTGCTCCTACCTCTCAGTCAAGGAGCATCTGATGTCTCCTCCATTCTTGACTTGCACGAGAGGACAGTGTATTTGAGAAAGCAGATTTTGTTCCTGTCACACTGTGTTCCATCTTCAGAATCTTTGTCAATCAGCTTACTCTTACAAGTTTCAAATGTGGCTTCACTCAATGAGAACCTTATCCTTGCTCATCTCCTCTCTGTTGCCATCTCCCCTCTTTCCAAGTACAGTACATTTCCTTCTGTTTCCCTTGGAGTTCTCCTTATCATATAGCTGCTTGTGTTCACAGGGAAATATATTTGTCCATTGCAGATGCATGCAAGGCTGGGTGTTCCAAGGTAACCCATCAGGACTGATTGTGAAGGATGAATGTGGTGACAAATCCTGGTTCCACAGCTTCTCAATTGCTGAACCCTGGAGAGAATCCATTCCAGAGGAACTTCGTGACCAGGTTGTCCGCGTTGGCAGGGACCTGCTGCTGCTGCATCTGGCTGGATCTCAGGTTGGTCTCTTGATGTCATCAAGCTATAAAGCAAGTATGTCTCATGAGATTTGGGTGAAAATAAAAATTGTTTTATTGGCTCCAGAACCCCTTGGTCACAGGATTTGGGAGCAGATAAATGTTACTTGCTATTAGGTCCTGGAATTTTAGTGCGAGCGAAAGCTATTGATTCAAGAATCCCTTAGCTCTGGAGAGTCAATTTCCCTCTCATCATTTCATTCTGGTAAATGCACATGTTTTCATAATTGAATAGGCCTGCAGATGACAGTCTTTGAATCATTGCTTTGGTCTCTCATGAGTCCACTCATTTCTTCTCTCATTTTTGGTACCATAGATCTCTTGTGCAGCAAGCAGAATAGTACTGTCCATGGTTTTGCTCAGATATAGGCTTTTGTCATGTCAACCCTTTCACTGACATTGGCATAATGATGCCAATGTGATTGGCATAATAATGTTTGGATATCCCCGCCAGGGAAAGGGTTAAGGGTCTTCAGTTGTATTGTTTTGATGATCTCAACAAGACTACCAACATGAAGTAGGGGCATTTGCTTGCCTCAGTTGAGTGATGAGCCAGGTTTGCCCTTGGTGGCAAAAAAAAATAAATCCCCATTCCAAATATGAGTTCAAGTTCGAATTCCTTATGTAAAAAGTGTTGCATAAAATATGAATAGCCCTTTAGCCATGTGTGTTGCTACATGTAAATCATGCCATTGATGACATGCCTCCAGCTTAGACTGCACCTGTGGTTGAGTTTGTTCCCTCCCACCCACTAGACTTTGTCTAGTGGCTGGGAGGAAACAAACATGCATCTGTAGATGCTCCTTGAGTGCCTTACCTAGGGTCCCTTCAGCTCAAGATAGCACCAGAACTGCCTATCTCTAGTCCTGCTAGTTTTAAATGATTTTGGCTCCATATTTGATAAAAGTCTTCGTTAGCCTATCTGATCTCTGTGCTAAACATTTTTCTATTAGACAATTTAATGGGCCAAGATCTCCAGTGAGGGGGAAGGAGTACTTCAGGTTAATTTTGAAAACAGATCCTGACGAATTTCAAAATAAAAAAATTTAGATTTGTTTTGGTGAGCATAGTTGTGAAACCTGGGACATGATAGGATTACAATTGCACACAATGCAGGCAGAGGTAAACATAGTCTTGCACTGTGCAAGTGACGTAAAAAACATGCTGTGGAGTGGTATTCCCTTCAATTGATTGTGATGTTCTATGCATGCAGGAACAAGGAATTGATATGTGGATGGAGGGTCATCCACCCTTTGATTTCTGTCGGATGGAGGAGGAGTGCAGTGAGGTGATGAGGAAGTGTGAAAGGTTTAGGAAGAAGTGTGAGGAAGCTCTAGATGCATTTGAGCAGGATCTGAAAGATCAGGCTGAAAAATGCAAGGCCATCCGCCTTCAAGAACGAGAGGCTCGCAGGAGGATCAGACTCCAGCTTGCCCTATCACAAATTCGTGAGGATGCATCTTCCAGTGTTCTGCCATGTTATCAGATGCATTGTTCTGTCATTGAGTCTGTCCTTGATAGGTGAAGCTCAGGAACAGAAGGAGAGGAGAAATGCCCAAAAGAAGAGGTTGTGGGAAGAGCTGCAAGAACAAGCAGCAGAGAAGCAGAGATTTCGGGAACATGCTGCTTTTCTTGAGGAGGCAGAATCTCTGCACATCAATGAGGTTCAGAGAATGATGGAGGAAAAGCAGAGGAAACGGGAAGCTCTTGTCAGGTTAGCGAGATACCCTTTACCTCTGTGCAAGCAGCAGGCTCTTTTTTTAAATAAAAATCTTCAACCTTGATGATTGTCACTTATCTATAGAGAGGAACTGGAAAGACATTACGAGAGGCTAAGCACTGAAGCTGTGGAACGACAACAGAAGGCAGAATGGCGTCTGGCCCGCATCACTGGTCATACAAGAGGTTTACAGGACCATCTTGCAGACTTGTCTACATCAGATGAAAATGCAAACCCACGTGACCCGAGTGAAGTCAGTGTTGCTCCGCAGGCCATCCAGAAGGACCAACTCAATGCCAACATTGCATTGGATGGTGTAGACTTGAATGCCAATCCTCCTCCAACTGTGGATGAGAACCAGAACCAGTTCAGTCAAGTTGATGGTGTCCAACAAGCCAATGAAAGTGAACGAATTCTTGTGCATCATGCAGTGCTGCTTGAAAGTCCTGAGAGAACCGAAAAGTCACCATCCTCTGAGAAAATGGTCACTGGGAAGTGCCCTGAGAATCAGCCTTTATCAACTCCATGTGGTAGAAAGAAACCTCTTGTGGCTGAATCCCTTAAAGAGAGCCTCAAGCGATATCGAGGAGGGCAGCAAGACAAAGATCGTGTTGATAGCGATCCATATACCCCATTCCCTTCTCAGTTCTTGATTCCAGCTATAGAGAGAGCAAAGGAGCAGAATGAAAAGAAGAGGTTTATCCTGAAGTTGCAAGAAGATAGGAGAATGCCTCAGATGCCTCTGAAAAATTTGTTCCTTCAGAGTCTCCATCTTCCTCTTCATACACAGTAGGCATTCTCTCTCAGGAAATCATGCTCTATGGTGGCTTTATTTAGCTAATCCCATGATGGAATTACTGCCTTTTCTCACTCCCAGAGAGAGATTGGTGAATTGTGCTGTCTGGATCCTCCTGAAGGAGAAGCTGCATCTCCTTGAGCACTTAGATGCTGTGCAGCATTTTTTCTTCCTTCACGATGAAGGTTATGCGCGATCCCTTGCTCTCCACTTCCTTGACTCGGTGAGTGATACTTGGAAGTGAAAGTAAAATATGGGAAGAAAGTACAGTTTTATCTTTGCTTAATGGTTGGGGCACTGGTGGTGGATTGTTTTGTGCCAACCTCTTTAGTTTTCATTTGGATTTCGCACTGTTAATTAACCCCAACTCTCTACCCTACTGATCAGTGAGGCTCAGACTTTTACTGTGATTTAGCATCCTGATTGGTATCTCTGAAACACAGTGGAAGGACTACGTAATGCAGTTTATTTATTTTTTTCTTCTCAACTTTGTTTTTCATGTCTTAAAAACTAATATAGTTCTTCTTGGTAGGGTAGAGGCACTAGTTTGTGGATGGGTGTCTATTTGTGGACAGTTTTGAATTTTTTGCTGTTTCACAAAATTCATGCCAAAAATTTATTTGCTCAAATGCTCCATGTTTTGCACATGCTTGTCAGCCACCATATAAATTATGCAAATCCATCATCATGAGTGAACTGGACATTTTTGCATATTTTTAGACTTAGCACCCCTGAATTCCATAATTTTTTCAATGATATTTCTTAATAGGAAATCAATGAAGATGAATAAAGCTGCTGTACATTTCTCATGCCCATATTTTTCTCTTCGGTATATGTACATTCATAATTGTTGAAAAAAAACTGGTGTCCACAAACTAGGTCTATGGATGTCCACAAACTGGAACCAGGCTGTCCACAAAGAGGAACCATGTGGAAATCAGCACATATTCATTTAAACAACTATTGTTGGAAAATTATATTTTAAATACTTTACTTTAGGGTATGGGGATCAAACTATGATAAGTGGCCTCCCATTGAAACCAATCAAACAGTTTCTCGATTACCCCAGCGACCGTAATGCAATTTTCAAGAGGAAAATTTTCTTAACCTGTCCACAAACTGGTGCCTTTACCCTATATGAAATTTATCCCTTTTTTTTCAATTCTGAACCATTCGCCACTCATTTCCTTTTCTTTCCAGCATCCTGTAGTAATACCATACTGTCAACCTACATTGACTTTAGTGCTATTTCTTATGTTATTTTGAAACTTTTGAAATTGGTACTTTCATTGTTCTGGTATTGCTGCTTAATACAGTAGGTATGCTCACAGAATAAAATTTGAGCATTTGTTCAAAGTGTTGACTTCTTATGCAGATGGAGAGGGTGGATGAGACACCACTGTCTACATATGAGTGTCACTTGGCACTGTCATCTGCCATTGAATCTTCCTTCCCTGCTCGTCTTCCCACGAGAAGAATTTTCCCCCCCTTCTCACCCGGAAATCGAGTTAACCGTGAGGAAATCGCTATAGGGAGTGAAAATTTCATTCGAGGCATCCGGAAATTCGAGATAAGCGAATTCGAGTTAAACTAAGCTTTTAACATGGTGTCCTACGGGGTTCCTCTGGGACCAAGCATTGAACTTCGAGATAAGCGGAATTTCGACTTATCAGGATTCGAGTTAATGAGTTTTCACTGTAGTTACAAATGGCCAAGTCATGACTGTAGAGTGGGTGGCTGAGCTGTTCAAATCCACTTTCACGAATAATTGCTTGAGAAATGTGATATGCATGAACTGGCACATTGTCACAGGGAACCATGACCTTTGTGTAATATTTCCTACCATTTGGTGGTGATCACTTCCTGCAGCTGTAGTACCAGATCAGTGTAATAATGCCCTTGTGACTGTTTTTTTTGTGCAGCAGAAAGTCCATCATCAGTGGCCCTTTGAGTCCAAGAAAATGTTGGTTATGACCCTGTAGAAGGCTGCATGTGAAACATCTTAGGTGGTGGATAACAATGTTGGTCCTATTGCATAGTCTCTTGCTTGCTCCCTGGGTCCTTGTGATAAATCCAGGTTTCATCACCAGTAATCTAGCAGGCATCAAGATCATCGAGATCAACTGGGTTTGAGTAGAACAAGATAAGAAGCTTTCTATGTAACATGTAATGATGAGCACATTGCTCTGCAAAAAGGCTTTGAGGCAACCATTGTCCTGAAATCATTTGCATCCTCAAATGTTCATTGAGGATGGTAAAAGCACTTTCATGAGAAATCTCAAGTTTGAGATTGTGGAATCTTTATTCAACTGTTGTTTAGAGCCAGGGTTTCAGCCATTGCAACTGTGTTTTCCATTATGGTATACATAGGCCTATCACCTATCGTCTTCAGTCATCTTCAATGGACTTATGTTTCTGGATGAATCCACATTATAAGTTTTCAATTATATGATATGTAGAGGAACCTTCTCCCTTCACAGGCAATTTTCATTTGTTTGTCCATTTGTTTGTACAGCACTGCTTCCTTTCTTAGTCAAAAATTTATTCACAGAGGATTGTTTAGTATCAGCCTCATTCATGGTTCCATGTCACCCACAACAGGAAAAAAACAGCTAGCTCATACTTATTTGATTCACTAGGGGAAAAACATTCAGGAAATTATTCAAGAGACAGAGTTTCTAGAACAGCACATATTCATGTGATCATAAGAGTTCCCAATATTGAGTTCTATGAAGTTATTGAATGCCCTTATACATTACATAGCTATGTTTTGAAGTACAGTGTTAGTATTGTTCTGAATTGATCAGTTTGAATTGACCCAGAAGTGCACATCTCCATGGATTGTTTGCTGCAAATTTTGGGCATGGTTGATTAGTAAACTTCCCAATGTTCATGGATAAGATTTTCCCTTTAGGATTGAAGGCACTTCATCAGATGTATCTGGACTATGATGTGGGTTGGCCCCTGAAGATCTTGTTTGATGAGGGGAGCCTCCGATCATACAATTCCATCATGGTTCTCTTGCTGCAAGTCAAAATTTCTTCATATGCTCTCCAGAGAGTCTTCCTCTCACTCCGAAAATCTGGTCAGACCCTACCATTATTTAACTGAACTAATATTCTTAAAATCCCTAAGGTTCCTTGCACAGACAAGAAGGTTTTATTGTCATAGATATGAAAGGGAGTAAAACCCACATGATGAGGAGCCACATGGTGCATTTTGTCCAGTCTGTTGAAGAATATTTGCATGGAAGGATCTCGTTTCTCTGGAAGGAATTCCAAGGACGTATTAAGGACATGGGGAAATCTCAGTCACTGGAGGACCTCTATCAGATTCACTGGGACTTTCTTGCCAAGTCGCTTAGACTGTATGATTTCCGATGTTACTCGGTACTCACTGCCACCATCGCAAAGAGGGTGAATAACGACTGACTTGATCCTTTGGTGTGCAGATGTCTACTGGATGGAGAGGATGGGAACGGACAATTGAGGAAGAGACTTGTGGAAGGCCTGGAGGCTGTGGTCTCTTTCTCGTCCCTGGCTTGTCAGTCTCTCGTTTCCCATAGCCAAGCTGAGAGCATCCAGGTTCTCTATGACGTGTTCCTGTCACATGTTCTCCCCCTCTTCCTCAGTGAGTTACTTTTGAATCACATGAGTTTTGGGATATTTGCATTATAGTTAATTTATTTACTGTTTTCCTTTTGTTTACTTTTGGATGTATTTGCATGCTTCTCTCATAACACCCTCACGATCACTTTGCACGTCACATCTTTATTGGGGTTTTTTCTCCCTCTCACCTGCAATCAGACTGGCTGCCTCACAGGAATACTCTCTACAGGTATGTCCATGCACCACTTAGCATTCCCAACCCACTTACTTCCTTTTCCTGTAGACGCACTATGAATCACTGACTTCCTGCCCTTCACATAACATAAGATTAATTACTGGTAGACAAATACCAGATCCTTGTGCATCATCTTTCTGCCTTTTGTATCAACCGCCAATTTATGCATGACCATGCAGATGAGTGACACATTAAAGTGATTTAGTCATTATGGTATTGAAGTTCCTTTAGGAATTGGAGCTTCTGCCAGCTTCTTGACTTGTGGTTTTCTTGGTATGACCATCGGCTAATTTCTTTTCTTTTTGTGTGCTGTGGTGCATATTGTATCGTTTTCCTTGCAGCATTGAAGGAAGTATGTGGAGGAGAGACGGCAGAGGAATCGGGAATTTTGTTGGCTCTTGATCTCAGTGGCTTTTACACCCGGACCTGTGTCGGAAGGACTTAGGGTTACGGTAATTCTCAGAGCACAACCCAGAAAGTTAAGGACAAGTAGAAAATGACGATAAGACTCCACTATACGTTATTTCTGGTCACGGTAACCCTATCGGTATAAATAAGTCAGTGGGCCGAAGAGGATTATATGAGGGTGGATAAAAAAGTTACGGCCGATAATATTTTTCTCACCTTTCTTTCTATCTTCGACTATGCAATAAAGACCAGTGCCATTGGGATAGCCATATTTATTCAGTGTGGGCCGAAGAGGATTATATGAGGGTGGATAAAAAAGTTACGGCCGATAATATTTTTCTCACCTTTCTTTCTATCTTCGACTAACTGCTTTTGAGGGTAGGTGCTCCCGTTTGTCACTGATGCTAGCATTAATTGATTTTATCGTTTGCCACGAGAGTTTGTTTATCATTTGGCACCGGAGAGATTAGAAAATGGCGCTACCATTGGAAACACGTACAAAAATTGAACCGCGATCTGTGATTCGTTTTCTGTGGTCGTGGTTTCAATGCCGCCGAAATTCACAGAAGAGTGAAGGCCCAATATGGGGGGCACGTGTATGAACGAACGGAAAGTGCGCGAGTGGCTGCAAACATTCCATGACGGTAGAACAAGTGCGAAAGACAGTAAGAGACAGGGCAGACAGCACTTCGACGACCCCTGACAACACGTCTGCTATGAAGGCTGCAATCTCAGACAACCGACTGACACCGATTGCAACGATGACGACCAGGAGGCACCTTCTTTCCTCTGTAAATTTCGGGAGCGTTGAAACCCTCGGACTATAGAAAAAGAATCACCTTTTGCCGTTCAAATTTGGTACTTGTCTGCAATGGTACCGCCATTTTCTAATCTCTCGTGTCAAATATTAAAATTAATGCATGCTTTTCGTTAGTCGTCTTCCTTCACTTAGTTGGGGTTCTTGTCGTTAGATGGCATAAAAATCGAGCTTTGGCATACACTAAAAGGGTCAACTGCCCAAAGTGTTCCTTCGTGCCATTCAAGTATTTCCATTTCGGCAGTCGAGACCTTCCCTTCTCGGCCTTTCGCGACCTTTGCCCTCCTCGTCGAAGCCTTCGAATGGTTTTCCCATTCACACCTGGGGCAGTGCGTCAGTCGTGTTCCATTTCTCGGCTCGATTTCTTCAGCGCCTCGAAGGGTCCGACCTACTTGACATATACGCTTTATAGGCTGCCTTCTTGGCAACAACGGCCAGCCGTGCCTCTGGTGTCCACTAGGGAGCCACTAGGAAATCCACTAGGGAGTCCCCTTAGGATTCCGCTCCGTGTTACTGTGCGCAGCTCCGATTCGCTTATCGCCATATCGCATACTTGAACCGCCAGATTGAAATATTATTCCCCCCTCCCCCCCAGAAATACCCCATTCGGTCTCTATATCAGGAGTCTGGTGAGGCAGTCGGGAAACTATATTTCTCTATTCCATGCTAATTAAATAAACACATCTCTATGCTATGAGCCCTCGAATCCACATCCAAATGGTCATCTCAGCGGTACGCGTCTTTCAATCCCCGGTCCCATTTCACTTCTTCTCCCTCACATCTTCGGCTGGAGATGATGAATACAATCCAGGGAAGGTGTCTCTTCGGTAACACGAGCGACCTGCCAATTAAATATTCGAAAGTCTAGTCGAAGAAGCGTTCAAATTATTTTTTTCCTGTTTACTTTAAATCGTCACTGCGTTCAGTATGCTCGCCTTCGCGGCACTGCAACGCACGCAACGGTCGTCGATAACGACGCAGTAGTCGGCCTTGGAAAGCGAAAAGCCCTTCCGCGATTAGCATCGACCGAGATAGGCACGAACCGAGATGCGCATCGGCCGAGATGACGTCACAAGTAGAACCTGATGTGACATTCGAGTCGTTGCGAAGAATCGCTTGCTCAACACACCGCGGAACGGAATCGTTTCAGAATGTCGGACGAAAGACTCGAAGACGACGACGTCCGATCTCATCGGCCCCGCGAGGCGAAGCGGCACGCGAAGCGGGAAGCGAAGCGCCGAGAAACGTTCTTCCGTTTCGAGGCGAGTCGATTGCGCTCTGGCGTAGAAAAATGAGGCGGGAAAAGTGGTATTATCATTATTATTATTATTTATTTATTTTTCTTAACGCTGGGTGCGATGGAAGAGAATCGCGTTCAGCAGCATTTTGTCCTCGGGAAGCCCTTTCTTTTTTTAAATTCTGAATCCAATCCTTCCACGAAACATCGTCACATTTTCGCGAGCGAATTTTTAAGGGAAATTATTTGAGAGGATAATTTTGCAATTTTGCACGAGCCTTACCTTCCCTCGCAAGCCCAAAATTGGCGGCCGTCTGCGCGAACCTAGTTTAATTTAAGTGTTTTCATGCCAAAAATCAATTATGGACTTCTTCGAGTATTCTAAATTTCTGATGATAAATACGATTCATTCTTTCCCGTCGGGAATAAACCGTAAATAAACCGCAAAGTAGGTAGAGACTGTCTATACAATTTGGGAATGATGTTTAGAAATAAATAATAATAATAATAAACTAAAAAAAAAAACCAAACGGTTGAGAAAGGTTTTTCACTGCGAAAGTTTGAGAACAAAACCTGCAGCAATAGTCTTTTCTTGCCTATTGCTCGGTTTTAAAGATGATCGCCCTTGAAGTGAAATCAATTGAGGTTGTCTATACAACCCCCCCCCCCCTTATGAAGTCTTGTCCCTCTCTTCTGAGACGAAAGCGGGCCCATTTCTGGGGTGAAATTGAATTTTTTTCCCATCTGAAATTGTCGGTCGTTAAATCGAGCATGAGGGAACGAGGAGTTCGAACTGGAGTTCATCCTTTCCGATCTCATCTCCTTCCTGAGAATATTTTTTTTGAGCTCATCTGTACGTACTCCTCCTCCATCCATTCATATACAGAATCGATGTTCATGTCCGTGTGAGGCTAATCTGTCCGTGTGAGGCTAATCTGTCCGTGTGTCATTTCGGGAAACTCCGCCTAGACGGATGAACGGATTTTCATGATTGAGGCGTCAATCAGAAGTTCATGACTTGGCGGCGATACTTACCCAGGTAGCACACTCTGCTGGGATAGAGCCGAGTGGGCAGCTGTGAAAAAGCGGAGAAAATCAGCAGATTCTCAAGTGGGAACGTCACACGTTATGCAGCTGAGTAGCAGCAGAGAAAATAGAAGAAAACACGGCTTTTGCACAGCTGAGCTGTTCTGCTCTTCTATTTTCTTTGCTGCTACTCAGCTGCAAGGTGTATGACACTCCCAGGTGAGACTCCACTAATTCTCTCCTTTTAGCCTAATGGTTCACACTCAGCTCTTTCCAAGCTGCTTCCCCGTAGAGAGTGCAACCTGGGAAATACCTTTACCTCTCACACCAGAGATAACGAGAATATTAACAAGAATAGTAAAACCAAGGTTCATGTTCGTGTATCCAAGAATGCTAGGGATTCTCATTGGGAATATGAGCTTGTTTATCGCCTGGGCTCCATATTTCTGTCTCGAATATGGGGATAATAAATGATTAAATGTCTGATTTTATTGATTGCTATAATGAAACTAGAAATGACATATAGTGAGGTACTAAACACTCCTGTGAGGGATGATTCCATGGAAAGAGGGAAGTGCACTTTTGTGTACTTGGCGAAAAGCGAGACCCATACCGACATCTAGTGGCATCTAGTAGAAATAGCCCTATGACGTACCCACGCAGACCAACTTGGTCTACCCCAGTTAGAATGCAGTTGCCTCACAACAGAGGCACCTCAGCTGTATGCAAGCTGTTGAGTAACAGCTGCACTTCAAAACGCAAAAATCGCCTTTTTTACTGCTGGATGATCACAGCAGGAAAACACTTGGGACACGACTGAACTTCCTCAACTTGTCTTGACTCCTTCACAGCTGAATCCTTGCTGGAAATAACCAGCTTCATGGCAGCTGATGAGATGCTGTTGTATCCCAGCTGCGGGACAGTAGGATTGCATGCATATCGCTATTTTCTCGCCTGGACGCTTTAATCTCAGCAGTGACACAGCTGGGATTTAAGAGTTGTGTTCATTGGGTATTGAATCAAAAGTCCCCCCGAAACTCAATCGCCGACTGAGCTTTCCGGGCCCGCTTAGGCCTCTAAGCTTCAGAACTCAGGGTTTCCTTTTTTTCTGCTCTCTCTCCGTCGTTTTAATTGGCCATGGGAGCAGTAGTGATGTAGCATTTCTTAATTTTAAAATTTTAAAGATTTTCCTCTACTTTAGGGGAGCGGGTGTTCGAAAATGAATATGGTAGGGATGTGCTCTTTTATCATTTGAACTAAAGAAATTGGAAACTTTTTTTCCAGTCAGACCGTGAAGCAGTAGATTCGCCTTTTACCTCCGACGAATTTGTGAAAATGGATATCAGTGCCAGGTTCCAGCTCGCTAATTTTCGCTTCCTTCGCGACGCATCTTCCTTCCATAAATGAAGCCCCTCAGTCGAACATAAGGAGTCGATCCAGTCGACGGAGAGGAATGAACGAGACGCTTGGAAATGCTCTATTCAGAAACACACACGGTTTTTAGCAGACATCTAAACAAAAAAGAAGACGATAGCGGTGTGCGTATGCCCGCATCCGGGAATCTCATGGTCACCCCAAAGGATTAACCAAGGTAGGGAGGAGGAGGGGGGAAGAGAAGGAGGAAGAAGGGATGAGGGAGGGAGGAGGAGGGGGGAAGAGAGGGAGGGAGAAGGAATGCGGGATTTCTTCTCGGCAGTTAGTAGTCGTCGTCGCTGTCGCTGTCGTATCCTCCTTGGTCGTAGCCGTATCCACCGGAATTCCAGCCGTAGGGCTGATTGTAGTAGTTGGGCAGATTGTAACCTGGAAATTAATGGAAAACGGAGATTCTCGGTTCATTCTTCTTTTTTTTTTTCAAGTTAGCACTTTATTTTAAAACGTGCACTGACGAGTAATTTGCGGTAATACGGTACTCTCATTGAACTCGGTAGCAGGTTTTGATAACTTAGCTTCTATCGGGATTGGCCCGATGTCTTTCGTAAGATCGTGTCCATGAGGTCTGGGAAGAGAAATTTCTTTTTCGAATGCACAGCGCGTTCCAGGAAACTAAAGTTAACTTCCACATGATTTATTTTACTTGTAATTTCCGAATAAAATGCATACCAAGCGTGAAAAAAAATGGGAAGGAGTATAATATCATTCTGCCAGAAATCCGTCAGCTATTTTTCAACGAACGTGATGACAGATACGATCTTATTTGATATTGAGCTAAGGCCCGTTCGAAACAGACATGGACCAGACGGAAACATTACGGCTTCTTCTCTTCATAGCAGGCCCGCAATAGCGCCAAGAAGTTCCCAAACGGAGAGGAAAAGACTCACCATAGCCCCATTGAGCGGACTCGGCCGGGACGAGGTCCTCCCGGCGTCCCCTCCTCGCGGCCGAGTGGACGCCCGTCGGCTTCCCCCGCACGAGGAGAAGCAGGAACGCCAGCACCAGTAGTCCGAATTCCTGGCACGAGGGACGAGTGTGGGGGAACTTACGTATATGGGGTACGAAAGTAAAAAAAAATATGTTTAAAAATGGAATGAGAATCGAAATGAAACGCGTTTTGATGCGAAATGTATTGATGGGGGTTTGCTGATCGTTCAAAAATTTTAACTCGGTTAATTGTGGGCCGCTTGATCGATGAATTAATCGATTGATTGAATTTGAATCAAACCATGATTACCTATCTCGATCTGGTAAAGGATACAATAATAAAAATAAAAGAGGTGATCATCTGTTCCAAGCTACATAGTCCTTCAAAGAAGAATGAGAAAGGATAAAAATGGAGGATCGGGGTGGGCCAAAAAAAAAAAAACAAAAAAAAAACATGAACATGAAGTTCTGAAAATTTTTCGACATCTAGCGGGTGGTGAAAACGGAAAAAAAAGGCATCAGTTAACCATAATGGGAGAATTCGTGCTCGATAAATCCGGATGAAATGTTCCAAACCTCGATTGACACTCGAATCAATCGATGACTCGAATCCGATCGACAGCCGTAATCGAAGGCGAAACTCACGAATTTCATCGTGCAGAAGTGTGCGTCGTCGAACACAGAGACGCGATTCCCGGAGAGGAGACGACGGAATGCCCAGCCCAATACTGCACTGGAGAATCCCATAGCCCAGGGAATCCCGGAATTCCCCTTTAGCAATCTCCGCGATCTCCATGAAAGATGGATGAGAGCGTATCAGACGAATCGCCTGGGATTCCCAGGTGAAATGCGACGTTCGTTTTTTTTCTTGCTTCGTCCAGAACATTTCTTCTGCCCCCCACCGATTTCCTCAGGGGAAATGGCTCCTTGGAGCTTACTGAGAAGTCCTCAAATCTTTCCTCATTCCCTTTCCTCGGAGAAACGAATCCCTTAAAGATGTTGCAATGTTAACGTTTTGGTTACCCGTTCTTGGGAGGACGGGATGTCGGTCCACTGACGTCACTTGTGACGTCACCAGCACTATTAAAACCCGCGAAGGGCTCTCCCATCCGTTCCAGGCAGTTGAAACGCGAATCTTCCCATACGAGGACTCTTCAAATGAAACTTTCCAAGCTGAGGTTCCCCCGATTCGTCCTCGAAGGAATTTAAAGTCTCATATCGTGGAAATAGATGCTTTCAAATTGGGATTTCTTGCTACTCGACTTTATTCGTGGGTAAATGTCAGGGCTGAATTTATTGCAGGATTACCTTGCATACCCGGTGAATCGACACTTTTTCGACGTGATCCTTCCGTAACGCAATGCGTTCGTTCCCGGCGATGTACCCATGCATTGCTTGCGTCCTTCGCGCCGTTTTCCCGCATGCAACGAAGCCTCTTCGTCGCGGGGGGGTCAGAGGGGGGCAGAGGGGGTCAAAGTGGTTTAGAGGGGGTCAGAGGGGGTCAAAGTGTGTCGCTAGCAAGAGTTGAGGCTTCTTGTCTCTTAGTGTTTCGCGAATGCCTGGATACTCCACTCCTGGAATCGAGGTTTTCGCTTCCAGGAAGTCTGTCGCCAAAAAGCCCTGAACGTCGAAGAACGTGACCAAACCGTCATCATAACATCTGTAATGGAGTCACGTGGATAGGACACTATAGGTCCCGTCAAATCACCCAGTCCCGGCAAAATGGCTCTTTTTTTTTCGTCATCATCGAGCGGAAGCTGAGAATTAAAAAAAAATGCATCAGCCAGCCTCGAGAGATATTTGGGTGCGTATTTTTATTCGATCAACCGAGATTAATTTTTTCGATCGTGACTGAAATTTGGCACAGTAATCAACCAATTGCTGGAATCGAATCGGCAAACGAGCAAAACTCACGAAATTCATTGCACAGGATATATGGGAACTCGACGGAGACGAATCCGAGCAGCAGACGCTCCGGAAGCAAGCGAAGGAATGAAGGCATTCCATCCCAACAGGAGATCTTTATAGCTTGTGACGGAGGACTGCCCATTCACCTTAGGGCAATTCTTCGAGTTTCAATCCCCCCCCCCCCCCCAACTCCACCCCAGCCCCCCTCCTCCTCTTTTTCATAGCCTTGACCGTCGCTCCTTGAATCACTTTTATCGAGATGGAATCTGCATTCGAAAGGAAGAATCTCTTCCACCTTGGAAATCGATTTTTTTTTTCCAACATCTTGTTTTTATTTCCTTTCGAGGAACCGAGGTCAACCCCCCCCCCCCCCCCCCCCCCCCCCCATCAGGCACATTCACAGACGCACGCGCGTACTTTCTAGGTCAGGCGAACTTTCGAGCTTAGTATCGGCTGAGACCAGAGTCGATATCGGGATAAGTTGTGTGAAGTCATGGCTTTTCCTGCTTTTTTTATTTTACAGCATCCCCATCATTCTCGGCAAAGCCATCCAAATTATGAACGCTCTGTTGCGATTAATTTGACATGTCGTTAATATTCTGCTGAATATTGTCAAGGACAGAGGTGAAATTCATCGGTTACCTGACCATACCATGTTCACAAGTTTCCAGGGTCTGTTTTTCTTCTGGAAGCGATGGACCTCTTCACATGTATTTAAATGCGAAAGTGCAGAGACACAACGTGCTGACTTTAGTCACTCGAAAAAAAAAAAGAGAAGAAAAAAACTTGCATGAACCTACTTTGATGTTGAATACCCGTACACCTTCCTTGGTACTTTTCACGCGTGATAATTCTTGTCCGGTCAGAATCGCAACTACTTAAGCTCGAAGGAAATGCGTCTTCAGTCTTGGACGAAGTCGCTTCTGTTCGAGGTCGAGGGAAAGTCATGGGAAATCAAAATTCTGCTTATCGACGACAAGAATGGGATAAAAATGCAGATGGCATCGCTTATCATCTCGTGGATTTCGACAGGTGGCGAATGGGCGCCTCGGTTCCTCGAAAGGAAATAAAAACAAGATGTTGGAAAAAAAAAATCGATTTCCAAGGTGGAAGAGATTCTTCCTTTCGAATGCAGATTCCATCTCGATAAAAGTGATTCAAGGAGCGACGGTCTGTCAATCACCTGGAAGAAATTTGGGGCCGGTTCGTAACGCTCCCGCAATCTCGCGATCGACGATTTTAATGCAGTCGAATTTTTCACCTGGAAATGACGAAGTGCGACGAAGACGAATTTTCCATTCGATTCCCGTCGGTCGTCCATCGAGCGACGGGAGCAAAGACGGTGGCTGAGGGTGGAACTCGATATCGCAAACCAGAAAAATAAATCTTTTCTATCACGTAACAATCGATAATGAAAAATGACCACATTGAAGATCTTGAATCGAAAAAAGCCCGAGCGGAAGGATAGAAAGAAGAAAAAAAAAAGCAGAGACCAAGGCCACGACCGTCCAAGGCGATCGACTGATGGCGAACGCGATTGGTTCCCCCTCGGGACACGTTCGCCACCTGGTTTTAGGAGCGGTAACTACATACTTTACGATGGGACACCATGGCGGAAAAGTTTTGCAGTCTTGATGCACCTGCTGGAAGGAGCTCCGAGAGCTTGACGAGATTCGTTCGTGAGGTTGAAAGGGAGTGCTTTTCCAAAGCAGTGAGTTCCCATTTTCAGGCAAGAATTGGGAGGGAGGACTTTCCCGTGAAATTAGGCATGGAGTTGTTGCAGGATGCTCTTCGCAGGTCGTTTTCTCAAGGTCGTTAGATTTCTAGGTGAAGCGACTCCCCTCGAAAGTGCCTGGTGGCATGAACGGCCGCTAGATGTCACTGGATCGCTCGTTTCTCAAGTAGGTCTACTCGCTATGCGTAGAGTAGAAGAACGGTACGTGCTGAGCACAATTTCCTGCTCTTTTGACTTGTGGACTTTTGATGCCTGCTGAAGCTGCCTCACTCGTGACTGGGCGGGTGGGGGATCGTCCACCGGATGGATCCTCCGGACGTTTTTCCGCATGAGAGTCTCGTGTAAGGCTTCGTGATGAGAATCTGAAATGGTGGTATGCCGCTGCGTCACGCCGTGCAGCGTATTTTATCGCATGCTTTGTTACCTTGAATCCCTGAGCCACACGTTCGGTGGGCAATATCAGATGAAGGAAAAACTGAAGGTAAATGGACATCAACGTGCCTCCGTCACCGCATGACCCACCGCCTAAAGAGAAGACGACAAAACAAACTGCAAGGTAAAAAGTGTTGCTGCGGAACAGCTGGCTTATTTTCATCCGAATTTGAGTATCGTCCTGGAGAGTCTGAATTCCCCCAGCTATGTCCACGAAACTGGGAGAAAGACGACGGATTTGTGAGGATTGGCAACCCTGCACAGAAACCATCAGCTCGAGCAGACGATTCGACTCTCACGACGAGAATTCCTGAGGTGCTACGTTAAAGTGGCTCTCGTATTGTCATTTCTCCGGGGCTGATTCGCATCCACGACGGAATATGCCGCTGCCGCTCCTTTTCCGCCTTTTCCATCGTTACATCGATGTAACGATGGAAGAAAGAGAAAGAAAGTGATTTTCTTAGGGGCGGATTTCGTGGAGTCGGTGGAAGTGGGTTTAAAATTCACTGAACTGCCTACCAGGTTGAAATACGTGCTCGCATTTGTGCAGATTCCTTTTCATATCCCTCTCTGGCACTCTTTTCGACCCTGCCACGAAGACGGAATTGGAAGTGGCTCGTGGATATAACCGCCAGACAAGGGGGAAAAATGAAAACCATCCAGACGTGGCCGGGGTGATGGATTTTCAGTCGATTCGCTCTTCTGCTGCTCTTCAGATAAGAAATGGCCTTTTTCATTTTCTCTCTCCATCATCCTTTGTCGAGCGAGTCCTTTAGGAGGTGCGGGCAAGCATCATTGAAGGAAGTCCCGCGAATTCTCATTGGCTAATTCCTATCGAGCAGGCGGCTCGGACTCCATTCACTTTGTTGGTTTCATCTCCTTCCTACTTGTGAGTCGTGCTCGTTCCATCTCCTTCCATTTTGCCCTCTTCCGACGTTGGGGCAGCGAGTTTCCATTCGGGGGTGAGATGAACTGAACGGTCACGTGCGTCTTGTGCTTTATTGGAAGCCTGCATTAAATATAAATATTTGCCGTGTCCAGTCAAATCGTGAAACAGTGGATTCGCCTCTCACTAAGGCACCAATTATTTGCTCTATATTGCACCGACGAATGCATCCGCTCGATGAACATGGAAATGATGCAATTCCTCTCTTGCTGATTTTCGCCTTGCGATTAAGCCCCACTTTTAGAATGAAACCACTCGACGAACAGGGGATAAGTAAAAAGCTCGGAAATTTTATATTCAAGAAAGCATCGTCACCATCATCAGTCATCGAAGCGAAAAACGCGATGGAGCTGGGCGAATGGTCGCATGTGGTGGGAATCCGCGGGATATGCCAAAAAAAAAGACATAAAAGACAAAGAAAGACAAAAAAAAGAGGCAAAAAGAGACCAACGACTTTAACCCAATATGTCTCTGTTCCAACTGAAGCTATTTACACGAAATTTTAAAGGTGAATGTTTCCAGCATCTTTTCGAGACTTCTTCCCAATTCATTGCTCCGAGGCAAGGAAAGATAAAATTTAGGAATTATGTGGCGAACTTAGTCTTCTTATTGCAATTTTCGTGAAAGCAGTTCCAGTGAGAGCCGATATAATCCAGTTAAGAGTCCTTTCTTGCCACTCTCTGCCGCATCGTTGCACCAGAGAATCAACCGGGAAAGAAAGCATGGCTCAATCCCTATTTGTAGTCGTAGTAGTATCCTCCGTAGTACGGCCAGCCGTATCCGCTGGAGCTCCAACCGTAGTTGGGCCAATAGTAGTTGGGCCAATAGTACCCTGGAAAGGGATGGGAAACGAGAATTTCCAATTCATTCCGTGGATTTTTTTTTCGTAGCATTAAGCTCCTTTTTTTTTTAAAACCAATGTTGAGATGATGACACATGATTTTCAAGAATAGGATATGCTCAATGGACTTATTATAGGGTAAAAGACCCAAAGGCCTGTTAATAGCGGGTACTCAGTGATGGGCCACTTCGCAGGAAAATTCCAAAAACTAGGCATTTGTTCCATTACCACCTCTGAAGTGTCTAAGTGCTTGTTTCAATGCTTTTCATATTATTCGCGTCTCTATTAAACGCGTTTCATCTCGGTTCTTGTTTATTTTGGTATTATGGCTTCTGTGGGGTTTGGTGCGAGGAAAAGTTAGCTCTTTTCCACTAACAGCCCAGGAAAGCTTCTATGCTAAGGTCTAGAGAGAAGAAAAAAAATTGCTTGAGCATAATTTTTTGTCCCAGAGACATAAAAACCAAGTTCCTTGCTACTTCTATTTCGCATAATTTTTAAAGGAAATGTACACTAAGCATACAGCAGTGGGAAGAAGAATTTGATTCTACTGGAATTCATAGTAATTTCGCAACCAATGTGATGCCAGATTCTGCGATTAGCAAAATTTTTGACACGCAAAATATGCATGGGACGGTTTGGATCCTATTTTCAACTTTGGTTTTATCCCGGTTTTAGCTACTCTCGACTTTCTCAAAGCAAGTCACCGACCTAATTTATCATTGCCCAAAGCTTGGTCGAAATACGAGTATTGAGAATTAAATGTCGCCCCGTGTTCCTTTGTACGACAGGAACACGGAACCATAGGAACAATAAGAACCATAGGAACACGGAACCGTAGGATCAATAGGAACTATAGGTTTCTATGAACCGTTACAGCTGTTTCTTACGGTTGGTCTGTGATGAATGGAAGGACCGAGGAAGACCCGCGGCTGGAAACGAAGAGACTCACCTCCTTTGTATCCCCACCATGCGGACGCGGCGGGTGCGAGGTCGTCCTTGGCTCCTGCGTTCTGTTCCGCCGAACTTCCGCTTTTCTTATTCCCCTGGGCCAGGGTCGCCTGGGTCACCTGGGTCATCAGGGTCACCAGGCACGCCAGTGCCAGCGTTACCAATGCCTGCGCAGTGCACGTAGACGAACGGGCTTTTGTGATCTCAGTACGTGAGGAAAAACTTATGGGGGAAAGAAATTCCAAAATAAACAAGAACCGAGATGAAACGCGTTTAATAGAGACGCGAATAATATGAAAAGCATTGAAAGATTTGACAGGTTAAACATGTAAACCCGGTTAATCATAGACTGCATCATCGATGAATAGCTCAATGAATCGAATCTCAATCGAACTACAATTCCCTTCGAATCTGCTGAAGAAAACGTAAAATTCTAAGAGGAATTCCGTGGTGGCAAACAAAGTAGGATAAACAAAGTCCTTTCGGCTCTGATTTTTCCATTCTTGCTAGCTCCTCTTCGTCTTCTTTTGCCCAAAACAGAACTGTTTGACTCTGGAACTGATCTTAACCGTAGGTGGTCTCATCGAGAAAAATTAATCGAAAACGTAAGCGGTTTGCTGCAGTCGCTTCTCTGTTTGCCGAGCATTACGTTTACATCTTTTTGCTTCATAAACTTCGTGGATAATTCAGTTATGCTCGCTTTAGGCCTTCGGAAATTCACAAAGCAATTATCTCTCAGACACGAAAACTCAAAGCAATTATCTCTCAGACCCTTTTGAAGCCCCAGAGACTTGACGTTCATCAACTAGGTGATGATGCCTGTCAAAGGAAAGGTGTAGAAACTAAAGAAAAATACGTATCCTGAATTTCTTCAATCACGGAAGATGTAAACACATAATGGAAGTCCGTGCTTTGTTTTTTTTATATTATTAATTATTATCCACCCCATAGGTGCAAACCACCTAATCCTAATCCGTCCATTCGATATTAACTTTTTTTTTTGCTCCTAACAGGTGCTGATTCTACAGGGTATATATTCAATTAATCATCAGTTATATTTGGATCGCGATCGTATCCTCGATCGGCCGATTACTCTAATCGAAAAGACAGCCCTAATTCGAGATGGAAACTCACGTATTTCATCGTCCCGAAAAGTGCGTCGTGGAATGCAGGCCGAGACGAAATCCCTCAGATCGACTTCGCCGTCCGAGCGGAAGCGACGGAATGAAGGCAGCCGGGTGGAGGCACCTGGCTATGTACCGATCGGCTGCAACGGGGATTCCCGCGCGCCTTCATCGCGGAATTCCCATCGGGATTGCGTGGAGATCGGACGACTCTGATTGGGGGTGGCTTGCTTGGACGTGCTTGGGGTCCTTGCTTGGACATGCTTGGGGTCCTTGCTTGGACATGCTTGGGGTCCTTACTTGGACGTGCTTGGGGATTTCCAGATGAAGGATATGGCACTCACAGCCGGTTTTTTCGCATGTTCCTTTCCCCGTGGCCATGTATTATCGTCCTATGGATTTTTTCAGGGTCAGTGGGCCTTGGAACCGGCCGAGGAGACATAAATGCCTTCGACGTTTCCTCTTCGAAGCGAATGGCGTCGCCAAGCAAACCCTAGCTTCTTCCGGTGCAACATATGGGTGTGACGAAAGGAAACGGCTTTGGGATCCGAGAGCGGTCGAGAACTTGCAAAATCACAGCTGAACATAATCAGGAATAGTGCATATTTTCACGCGCCGAAGGAGACTGGGAAATTTGCAGTCGAATTTGCCTATTAGAAACGAATTTGCAGTCGAATTTGCCGAACAAACTCGCTCGATGATAAAACCAGATGAGAATTTTCAGGATCACGCGCGCTCAGCTCGCTGAAATTGGTGATCTTAAATGAAAAAAAATGTCAATATATCCCAAGCCGGTAAATTTATCAGTTAACTCTTTGAAAGCACGAGGACACACTTTTTACACACCTTTTCACCGGCGGTTAATGCGTGGCCGTTCAGAATTCCTCCCACTATAAAAAAAAAGTTATGCTTATTATTAAAAAAAAAATGCTGAGACGACCGCAACTTCCACGGCGGTATGAACGGTGTACCGCAACATACTTAAACATTTACTAATTGTAATTTCAATTTATGTGCATTTTTATGTATCTCTACTCATTTATATACCTCTTGATCAATTTCATATTAATTTTAACGGCAGGAATAAAAAAAAATATTCCAAGCAAGGAGAGCATTTCCTTGTTCGAAGACGTTCCGTGAATCATTCAATTAATTTCCCTTCCCGTTCAGAAATTTTCCTCCCCATTTCCCGCCCAAATTTGCAACATTTTGTTCTAGTTTGGCATTGAAAAAAAAAGTATATATTTCACAAGCGACTAGGAATTAAGTTGAATTAATTTGGCTCGGTCCTGAGGTAGGGTCTCTTGTGCAAGTTTGTTCCACGAATTTTCAACTCGAAAAAAAATTGAAGGAACTGTCCGGGATCCAGCATTTTGTAATGGTGCTCAGCCTCTAATGGTGCTTTTGTAATGGTTTTATCGACTCGATCGCGTACCGTTCCTATAGTTTTTTTTCTAATACTATCATCGGTACTTCTTCCTACTGCCATTTCGGTCCATTTAATTTCATTGCAGTTTTGGGCCATTGGTTGAATTTCGACACGATGCACTCTTTTTTTTTTAAGTCTTATTTTGCTTTAAAAAAAAAATTCATTCGCACGTATTTCATTTACTTATGGGAAATGCGTGGGGTTATGTTTCACTTTCGAATGATGGAAGGAATTTTTCGTTCTTGATGAAAGAATTTGGAAAAGTATTCTTTCTGATCCTGATTTTTTTTTTTGGGGCCGTCGAGCATTCCTGCAAACCAGGTGGAAAAAAAAGTGAAAGGACGAGGAAATGACCTTTTTTTTATTCGAATGGTTCGTTTTAATAGGGATGACTGTTGGTTATTCCATGCGTTGCAGGAAACTAACAGGAGTAACGGATTAAAAGTTATGCATGACCGAAACGGACATCATAACATAAAAAAGTTCTATTGTTCTAAAGCACCTGGGATTGGTGACACCTAATTAATGAATGGGAATTAATGAATGGGAATGAATGAATGGAACGTGAAAAATCGTCAAGGCCAGAGATACGTTTCATAGCGGTTTCAAAACTCGAGAAAGTGACTGGAGTCGATGGTGGAGAATCGTCAGGTTTCTGTATTTCATCAACGTGACATCGAAGGGAACAAAAAAATTGGCACCGATTTACCGCAACAGTTATTACCCGTCCTAAAACGTGGTCATAGTTGAGATGAAAATCAGGCGGTGAAAACTGGAAACACAGGTGATCGAAGAAACGGAACTTAGGTGCATCACACCTCACCAGTGGGGTCTCTCCCCCCCCTCCCCTCCCTCCCCCTCCCCCTCCCCCTCCCCCTCCCCCTCTCCCCCCGTCCATCTTGGAAGCAGACGATGTCTGAGGGAGCGGCGTGGTATTTTGCAAGTCATGAGAGGAAAGTGGAAACCCATGCTCGCCAGGCTACCCTGTCCAACTCTCGATGCTAATTCGAGAGATTTGGGATGTCGACGGGAGAGACCTTTCCAAGGTCATGGGGTTCACCCAACGAATCCGAGACAGGAAAATCCCGTCCTCGGTCCTCCCAGAACCATAAACGACGAAGCCGACCGCCAACTGGACAGTGCCAGGGGGAAATTCCCGATTCGACGGGATTCTAAACTCCCGCTGAAAAATCGTGGAGCGATTTCGCCGTTCCGAGAAACCCATCCAAACTCTTAGAAGGCAATTAAAGTCCGTGGCGAGCGAAGCATCGATCCAATCTCGATCCAATCTCGATCCAATCTCGATCCAATCGTGTCACTCAGCTACTCCTAAACTACTAAATGGTCGAAAATGGATGAAAACCCTTTTCCCGCCCGTCGATAAACCGAGATCGAGGAGAGAAAATGAGACGGTTCCGATATTGAAAGGTGGAAAAGAAAACAATGTTTTCGGGTGCAAGAGTGAGGAAGGCCCAAGTTTTTTTTAAATTATTATTAATATCTATTACTGAAGCCTTGAGGTCGTTGTGGAAATTAACACTAAGAAGTAATTAATCATTATTCAAGTAAAGAAGTCATTACACTTGCCCATTAGGGACTGGGGGTTGCTTTGAAATGGAAATGGATTCGAGCGACCCGGATGCATTCTGTTTTTAGTTAGCAAAAAATATGGACCGTTTGCACGTACGTTTAGATGCATTGTTAGAGCAGGATGCCTTTAGCTACAGGGAGATTAATGCTTCAGTCGCAGCTGGTAGACAAGGTCAAGGTCAAGGCCCGGCTCCCCCCCCCCGCAAAAGAAAGAAAAGAAATTAGGATGAGTGCACATGAGCGTCCGCTAGATGTCACTTGGATCGCTGTCTGTTCCCCCCGTCCGGTACGCAGGAAACAACTTCCTGCTTTCTTTCCTTTTTTTCTTTGCTTTGCTGCTTTCTTTACGTTTTGACTTTCTCTTCATCTTTGAGCGTCTTTTACGCCTGCTGATAGTTGGCTGGGATTCCTGTCTCGTCGTGGCAAATGTGCAGGAATCGTAGCGATTCCGATTGCAGATCCTTTCGTGTGGCCAACCTTGCCTGGTGCTTGGTGACATCTTCCATTGTGTCACAGGTGACATCTTCCATTGTGTCACAGGTGACATCTTCCACTGTGTCACATGCTTCTGGAATGTGCGTGGCGGGACTTGGAACGCATTGCCCTAATTACGCTCTCTAGACTAATTATGCTCTCTTGAAATTTCCACGTTTTATTGGAATCTCTCGGTGGGGTACGAATTGAGAATTTGAAATGTCGGTACTCGCCATGCAACAGCTCCATGAATAACCGAGTCTTATCTTAAGATAGCAATTATGCTGATTTACTCCTTGCGCTTCATGGAAGAGGCCAGCCTCTTCCCCAAGGGTAAATTTCCTTAATGTTGCAGCCAACTCTCTTACCGCCTCGCTTTAGCGCCATTCTCTCGTGTTCAACTGCGAAGCCACGCCAAACCGACGTCACCGAAGGCAATATCCGAAAGTAAATTGGCAAAAGTGCCTTCGTAGAAGGCGCTTTGGCATGACATGGGGGGGAGAGGGGGAGCGGGGGGGGGGGGGAAATATCGTCCTACTTTCTTGAGTTAAAAAATGAAAGAGGCACGGACCTGATCCTTTTTCAACCATTTGTTTTGACTTGAGGAAGGTGTACCATTTTCCAGTCAGATCATGATATAGTGAAATTCAAACCTCTTTATAAGCTTGTGGCAACGAAACGACAAATGGTACGAATGCTTCATATATATATTAAATTGAGCTTCCGTAATTTTTGCTTTCCTCCCGACTCACTTCCGAACGAAGAATTGAACCGATGGAAAGGAAAAAAAGTTGTTTCATTCGAGAAGACACCGTTGCAAGCAGTCCACGAAATGAGAGAGAACATGAAAGAGCGGAACACGAGAGAAGATTCTGGGTCGTCATCCCAAAGGATCAACCAGGAATCCGGTCGGCAACCTCCACCAGTACTCACCAGTACTCACCAGTACCTTCACCAGTACCATCCTCCGTAGCGACGATAACCGCCGCCCCACCCGCCCCCCCAGCCGTAGGAGGGGCCATAGAACCCTGGAAAGGGGGGAAAAGTCTCCTTGTGAATATGAAAAGAAATGTAAAGTGAAACGCGGGGATTGACTCATAATAATAGATAATAATAAAACTCTCAGTGAGGAAAAAAAATGGATATAATCTTCGTGATAAATTTCGATATTCTTTTTCTATGAGATTGGAGTGAGGAAACGCTGTTTTCACCTAAATCTTTTTTGAAACCTCGTAAAAATTCCGCATTTCCTGTGCAAATCCGACAAATAACAAGTAAAAGGGAAGGGTTTGATTTTGCTAAAAACGCTGTTGTCATATCTCAGCGAACGATACATCATCTTCTACGCCAATGTTTACGTGCTCGGAACGCTTTAGACCATATTAGACATATGGATTGGACGGATACTCACCTCTGCCGTAGCCGAATCCCCCGTAGCCGAAGAGTTTCTTGAAGAGCAGCCCCTCGGCGGGGGTGAGGTCCTCCTCGACGGCTCCCTCCGGCGCGTCGATCTGCCGCGTCTCCTCCGCTCCCAGGGCCAGGGCAGCCAGGCACGCCAGCAGAAGCAGTCCCAATGCCTGGGCACGGCGACAAGCATGGATTAACAAGCATGGAATTTGTCTTGGGCCGTTCGAGAATATTTGGCAGGGATAAAGGGCAGATATCGAGAGAACGATAAAGATCGGAAGTGAAGGGAGGCGCGCCCACAAATGATTCGCGAGGAAAAGCAAGTTTCGCGGAAACGTTTCTTCATCGGATTCGAAAAGATGTCGATAGATTAAATGTGATTGCTGTGGGGCTGCTTGACCGCTTTGTCGAATTTTAGTCGAGCCAGAAGTCCCACTCCGACCCTTTTCGTCGAAACAAAATACTAAAGGAAGCGTAAAAAATCCTACGAATGAACAAATAGCCATGAAAAAACACGAAGGTCATTTTAAAAATTATTTATTGGACTTGACGGTGGCTTGTGTGCCGATTACTGTTGGATGAATCGGGATACATTTTTGGATCGATTAATGATTAATAAATTTATCGGTCGATGATTCCAATGGAGCTACCGTAATAGAAAGCGAACTCACGAATTTCATGATGCACGAAAGTACGTCGCTGGATTGCGAATTCACTCAGCTGCCGGACTCGAAAAACGAGTGACTAATAGCACGAGCGATCCAGGCTGAGGTATTTATAGGCTGAATCGAGGAAAGCCTATTCGCCCCTAAGCTATTTTTTATACCTTTGTTCCCTCCCCCTCCCCCTCCCCCCTGCACTAAAAAAGGGAGAGCGACCTTGTCCTGACAGCCGAGATGCATCGAGATGAATATATGGAGTGGGGCCGCTCAGATCGATATGGATGGCCCCCCCCCCCTCCCAAGGATTTCGTTCCTCTTTATCGTCTGACCCCCAGGGCGACGTGCCTTTTGTCCTCCACATTTTTTCTGATAGCATTTGTTTGGACCTTGGTGTGGGCCAAGGACGCATTCCAGGATCTCCTTTTCACTTCTCTTTTCCTCG